ATTTACACCAAAAATGATACTTGCGGAGGTAGTAGCTAGCAAGCCCATCCTTACAGGGGAATGGCTTTTGCTCAAGAGTGAAGCTATTCTCCTTTTCCCATTAAATTGCACCCCTCTCTCCTCTCATTTATTTTATTTGCAGCAAAGGAGAGAGAGAGTAGAAGAGTACTGGGGAACCTGAAGCCCTCCAGGCATTTCTGGACTCCGACTCCCATCATTCCTGACCATCGGCAGTGCTGGCTGGGGCCAATGGGAGTTGGAGTCCAGCAAGAGAGAGTCACAGGTTCCTCATTCCTGGGGCAGAGACTCAGTGACAGCAGTATTGGGGAAACTCCATTCTTTATTGGGAAAAGTAAAAGCTGATAACCTTTTCAGTGCCAACCTGGAAACTACAAAGAGCCACAAGTTTTCAACTAGCCATGTCACTGCAGCTATGGCTCATTTTGCCCTCTTGAGTTTTCTGGGGTGACAGAGAAAGTTGTCCCTTCAGATTCTCACGCCACAAGCTTCTTATTGAAGCTATGCCTTACTGCCCTCTGGAAGGTCCTTAATGCAGGTTGGCAAGGGGTAGAATGTGGCCCTTCAGATGTTGCTAGACTACAACTCCCATCATCCCTGGCTATTGGCTGAGGCTGATGGTAATTGGAGTCCAACAGGTTTCCCCATCCCTGCCTCAATGCCTAGCTCCCCCCGCCCACGAGCAATTGCCTTTGGAGGAGGAGATGGAGATCCTCTCCACTCACACCTGTTCAGACTCATGCTGTGTATCTTCTGTTGACCACAAGCTGATCTTTTTTAACAAATGGAAGAGAGAGTGTAAGAAAATCACAATTCCAGATCAAAAGTGCCTTTTTGTGTGATTCAAACTGTAAAATAATCTTTAAAAGAAAAAAAAATTACAAACTCATGAGAACAGCCTCTTGTTTTTTTTCTGTGTGACCTAAAGCATAAGCTGTTGTTTCTTTGCTGATCATGGGTATTAAGAAGAAATGCAATACAGGTAAGGGAATTTCATTTTATTAGTGCAATAGTCCTTAAAACAGGATTATGATTTAGGGTTGTTACGGTTACTGTCTAATTTATATGTCGCTTACTTGTCAAAAGGGCTTCTGAGCAGTTTGAAAGTATAAATCCAGTTATGAAGGTTTGTTTCCTCACACTTGAACATTTGTTGGCCAACTCTTCCCTCCACATTTGAATACTGGAAGCCCTCTGAGAAACTGAGAACACACAGACAGGGTCTAAATTGGCTGTGGCAGGACGAGAAAGATCTTTGGGTCATATTTGGAAGATGTCTGAAATTCATCTTGAGTGCTCAGCAGCAAAAAATGGCAAATTATACTTTAGGAATTTTTAGAAAAGGGGTTGAAAATGAAAAAGGCAGGATCGTCAGTATCTTTATATAAGCCTGTAGTGTGGCTGCATTTGCAATGTTGTGCAAAGTCACCTCATCTTTTAAAAATCTCTCACTATAACTGGAAAATATGCACAGAAGAGCAACAAGAATGAAAAAGTTGCCGGACAGTGAGAAATCAAATAAAATGAATGACATACTGATGGAGAACCTGTGGCCCTCCAGGTGTTGCCAGACCCCATTTCGCATCTGCGTAATTGGCCAATGGTCAGGAATGATGAGAACTGAAGCCACCAACATCTGGTGGTGGAGGCAGAGCTTCCCAACTTTGGAACTGAACAAACCAAATCCAAATTGACGAGTGTAGAAAGTTCTGGAGGTAACAACTTAAAACCGTTGACAAAGCGAGTGACAAGTTATCTGATAATCTGGATCTGGAACTCATTACAGGCAGGATATTTAACCATTTTCCTGATATATTTAGAGGTGGAGAGGGACTGTAGATCAGTGGTGGAGCATATGCTTTCAATTTGAACTGGACTTTGGGGTGACCTTCAGAAGGACTCAACTGGCCGACAGAAGTAACCCAATTATGCAACAAAGAGGTAAGGGTGCTGGATGGGGCTGGATTACAAAAGAAGAAAACAACCACTGACATGGGCCAGGCCATTTTGCACACAGACACACATGCCCCTCCCAGAAAATGATAATAGTTTTACTCCATTACAGGAGAGGGTTCCCCGCTCCTTCTTCTACATCTCCCATATATGCGCACAGCCTTCAAATGTCCTAGTTGGTTTCTGTGTCTCAAAAAAAATAGATGAGGAATATGTGCCCCTCCATACATTTTTGGACTCTCAACTCGCAGCTGCCCCAACCAGCATGACCAATAGTCATGGGTGAAGGAAGCTGGAGCCTTAAGAACTTACCAGAACAGGTGGTACATGACTCCGGCTAAGTTAGCAAAGATTTATCATCTGCCCAATAACAAGTGTTGGAAGTGTAACGAAACGGAGGGAACCTTCTATCACCTTTGGTGGACCTGCCCGAGGATTAAGGCTTTCTGGGAAATGATCTATAATGAAATTAAAAAAGTTCTGAAGAGAACCTTTAATAAAAAGCCAGAAGCCTTTCTCCTGGGTATGGTGGGCCAAATGGTGCCAAAGAAGGAGAGGACATTCTTTATGTATGCTACAACAGCAGCAAGAATCCTCCTAGCAAAGTATTGGAAGACACAAGATCTACCCACGTTGGAAGAATGGCAGACGAAGGTGATTGATTATATGGGACTGGCAGAGATGACTGGCAGAATTCGAGACCGGGGGAAAGAGGCGGTGGATGAAGACTGGAACAAATTTAAAGTTTATCTTAAAAACTGTTGTAATTTGGAAAATTAGAGGACCAGGGTAATAAGAGATAAAGAACTACAGTTGTTTTATTATTTTATGGAAGCTAAATTTATGAAATAGAAATAAGTTTAATACGAAAGGGTTGCTGGGAAATCTCGAAACATGAATGCAGAAAAGGGGTGGTATGGGGAAGTCGTTTTTGTGTTTACCTATGTTTCTACTTTGTTTTTTCTTTTATTTATGGAAAACTAATAAAAATTTATTTAAAAAAAAAAAATAAGAACTTACCAGAACAGCCCTGCTGGATCAGGCCAGTGGTCCATCTAGTCCAGCATCCTGTGGACTAGCCAGATGCCTGTGGGAAGCCTGCAAGCTATACCTGAGCGCAACAGCACTCTGCCCACCTGCCATTCTCAGCAACTAGGATTCAGAGGCATAATGCCACTGACAGTGGAGGCAGAACACAGCCACTGGGGCAGCAATATTTCCCTATCCCTGACTCTATAACCAATGCCATTGCAAAAGGCAGCAAGGTTCCACCTTGACTGTGTCTAAGTGCTTTAGGGGTGCTGATATGGAAGGTCTTGCAACATTTGTTGCAGAAAGTGGGTGGGCAGGAAAAGGCACGTTCATCAGTCCTAGGTGTGTACCCAATGAGGCAGTTGCAGCAACAGGGAGCCCCCACCCCCAGCCTTCTGCTTATGTATCTCCGCTACCCAAAGCTGCGGGCAAGCAGGCGAAGACTACGCCTGCATGTAACCTGTTTCTGACTTATGTCTTCCTCCTCCTGCCCCTGTTCTTCGCTATTCAGTCCTGCAGCAGCTTCTGCCGCTTGACTCTCATCTCCTGGCTGTTACAGGCTCCCCCAGTTCACTGATCCCTGCTTCAAAGTCTGTCTCCAACCCCCCCTTCTCCCAATGCCCACTCATCATTATCCAGCCACCAGCCCTCAGCCCTCAGTGTCCAGTCAGTCCCTGACAACCACACCAGGGAGAAAGACTGGGATAGAAATTTACAAAATTTACAAAAACAGGTAAAGGTAAAGGACCCCTGACAGACTACTCTGGGGTTGCGGTGCTCATCTTGCTTTACAGGTTGAGGGAGCCGGCATTTGTATGCAGACAGTTTTTCTGGGTCATGTGGCCAGCACAATGGAACACCGAAACCAGAGCAGTGCACGGAAACGCCGTTTACCTTCTCGCTGGAGCGGTACCTATTTATCTACTTGCACTTTTTTGGCGTGCTTTTGAACTGCTAGGTTGGCAGGAGCTGGGACTGAGCAACAGGAGCTCACCCTGTCGCAGAGATTCGAATCACCGACCTGAGGCTCAGTGGTTTAGACCACAGCGCCACCTGCGTCAGCTTACTGCAAAGTTGTTGTTGCTGCTTCTCTGTGAGAGAGTTTGTGTCCTTTGCCCAATACCAGGATAAGTGGGGTTGGCCTCTTTCGTCACAGGGCTAAGTGTCATTTCACATACAGACATCTTAGTGGGAAGAATTTCACCTGTTGCACATTCTTCTCTCATGATGATGAGAGAAGTCATGCATGGTTTCCCTTGCTAAGTAACTTTCTGATTTACAGAAGCTGCCTGAGGGTCTGGACCCAACAATCCTACAAGCTTGAGTGTCCCTCTCTGCACCTGTTTGGGAGTCTGGGTGCAATGGTTTAATCCACCATGCCTCTGAAGAGTCCATGCTCAGAATACAGAACCAGGAATCAACTTCAGCCACTTCTGGACCAAGGCATTTTGCTGCCCCTGCCCCTAATCAAGGGCCATAGTACCCAAGGCCAGTACAGAAGTTACTTTTGCACCTAAAGCGAAAATAAAAAAATCTGTAGCCCTTTTATGACACCACAAACCAGCTGCCTAAAGCAGATGCCTCCCTCTACCTAATGATAGGGCCGGTCAAGTGAAGAGGGATGGTTCAGCCTTGAAGTTTTGTCCCTGCACATTCAGTTCATCTTTTCTATTGTGCTTTGGATCTAACCCATTAGTTCCACCCAGAGGCTGCAGAAAGGCCAATTTTCTTCATCTTGTTTGTTTGTTCCTCAGTCTCTGTCTGGCTCTGTTCCTCCTAGTTAGGCTTGACTTGGCCTTTGTTTTCTCTGTTCTCTCTCTCCCCCCCCCCCCACTGCATGAGCTTCTGTCTTCCCCACACCGCCTTTTAAATAGTGTTTGCTGGAATTCAGCTCATTGGGGGCCACAAAGGGGGGTGTTAACTGGCTGTCTACTGGAGCAGGAATAATCCATGCCTAGGCTGCTGGCTTTGCCACCCTCCCTCACCCAGACCGTTCTGCTTCTCCCACACAGACTAGGGCATAGCAACAGCAACCAGCAGCAAACTACAGAACCGAATTAATAATTTGGGGGTATTAAAAATATTTGGCATCTGCTCCTGCATCAGGTAAGCTGTGAGGCTGTTGTCTTTGCACTGAAGGGGTCATGAGCTGGAATGTCAGAAGGTGGGGCAGGTAGGATTGCCAACTTATTCGCTGGCCACTGTAGCTGTCTCTCTGGAAAACAGCTTAGGATCCAGACAGTCAGTGGTGATGTTTATCTCTTTGCTGTGAAAAGCTTCACCTTCTGATTTCTTCATATCAAGCTGTTGTTAACATCACAAGAGCAGGCCAGGCTGTTTTTTGTTTACTTGTGAGTTGGCAACCAATGGGTTGGTCAGATGGCAATCATTGGAAAACCAGAATTTTGCGTGAAACAATGATTTTCTGCCTTTTGAAGAGATGGCGATTGGCAGCAGCTCTCCAGGGTTTCAGACAGGGGGCATTACCAGCCTTTTCTGGGGATGCTGGGAATTGAATCTGGAACTTTCTGCATACAAATCAGAGGCTCTATCACTAAACTACAGCCCTTCCACCATACATTGCTAGAGGCTCTTTGCTCACTATGCAATATTAAATCATATTGACAGCCGACAACTCACCTTGTACTGACTTTTGAAAGTGGACATCCTAGTACATGGATAATAAGTTTTACTTTTTATTTTTAATGTATGCCTCACTTTTTCATCCTTGAGAGGTTTAAACTGGTGTTTGCTATGCAAGAAAGAAAAGAAAAAGAAAAAGAAAAAGAAAAAGAAAGAAATTTATTCTGGTTGCGCTAATTACAGAATAGTGGCAACTCAGAAACATAATCAGCACCATTACTTATCTGAATAGACAGTTATGGGATGGGATGGTGGAGAAGCAGTTCATTCAGACAGCATTTTGAAAAGCAGCCAAATAGGAACTATGATTTAACAAGCAGGAAATAGGGGTCATTGGAGGACATGCATTTTTGTTGACATGTTGCAGGTCTTTAAAAGATTCTTATGTGGGAGACACAGGCTGAAAAGCTGAGTGAGGCTAAAGTGAAGCCCATCATCACAGGAGTGGGTGACCGAACAGGGGTCCAGACCGCCAGGGCAAAGAGGAGACAGGCAGGCCTGACTGCAGAAACAACTCAAGTAGAAGCAGCTCCATTGTATGCCACATAGCAGCCAACTCCTAGGGGCCGTGGGGGCTTTGGTCCCTGCAATAAGTCCCTGGGCCCCCACAAAGGTGATGGGCATTGTCATTCAAATGGTGTGTGTGCACCATGTCATGTGATTGATTATGCAGGGCGGGGCTTACCTAGGCCCCCACAATATGTTATTCTAGTTAGCACCCCCGGTATGCCATATCTTCAATGTAGCCACTGAAGCATCAGCATGCCATTTGAGAGTTGTGCTCCAGCACTTTCTGCAATGGATTGAGGGATGTGCACCCATCAAATTAATGGAAATGCAGCAAAGCATTTCACCCTGGGATTTCTCCATCACCCATTTTCTTAAATGAGGGGGCTTGACCCAACAGTCATTATCTGGAACACACCCACCCACCCACATCCAAGGCAGGAATATATTCTAAAGGTCTAAGAAGCATGAGCTTCTTCATTTACCATAATGCAAAAGGATTAAACTAACGCAGTAACGTTTAAATGGCGAAAAATATTCCCCCCACCATTCACAATTGATCATTGTAATGTAGTGTTCTGCACTGTGTTTAACAAAGGCCAATTCATAGCTGTAGATGCAATTGCCAGGTTGTTGGCTGATAGGGTTGTCTTCAAGGATACAGACTGCATCCCTATGGAACCAAGATACTATCTGATGTTTGACGATTCATACTCCTGAGCTATTGCATAATTATTAGAAAAATACTGCTAGTAGGAGTTGTAGTAACAGTAATCGCTTAAGAAATACAGTTGGGTTAATTGGGGCCTTGAAGCAGAGGTGGGGAACCTGTGGCCCTTCGGAGGGTCTTGCACTCCAATTCCCATTAGCTCCAGGCAGCAATTGAGGCCTATATATTAATACTCTGTGTTTTATCAACACTTGCCTAGAGAAGATGAAGGAAGGGAGCTGGTAGCTGAGTTAGTCTGAGAGGGTGCCTTGAATAAATATCTAAACTGGCTAAACTGTCCAAGCAGCCAGAAGTACAACTGGAGAAGATTTGGGGTACAGAGATATAATGTCCCTAGCAGCCGGACTGAGTTGTGGGAATATTTGGCTGAGGTAGTGTCAGAGGGTAGTGGCAGCAACCGTGCCTCTTGAGTCTTCAGAAACAGTCAACACTTTTAAGACCCCAATGTGAGTATCAGTAGTCCCTCGTGTACACAGTGTCCCTTTAATAAGCCAAAAATCTTAGTTCAAATTTTATCCTGTCTCTAGTGTGGGTGTCCTACACTACACATGCTCTAATTCCTTTATCCCTCCAAGGCACTGCAAAAGATGATAGTCCACAGGCCAGGGGCAGAGTCGACATCATAAATGGTTTCTCTTCTCCATACACTGTTTGTTTTCCCTCAAGCGATAAAAGTAATAAAAGTAGGAAATTGCTTGTTAATATTTGAATAAGCTGCTGAGGATCAGCTAGGTAATGGGGAACAGACTTTCTTCCCATCTGAAACCACTGGTATTCTCCTAAATAAGACCACTCCAGCATCTTCCCCTCACCCACGAGTATCCTAGATCCTGGCCTTCCTGTCAGTAACCTTGTCAGTAACCAGATGTGGCAAACCTTCAGCCATCCAGATGTTGCTGAACTACAACTCCCATCAGCCCCAGCAAGCAGAGCCAATGGCCAAGGATGATGGGAGTTGTACTTCAGCACCATCTAGAGGGCCAAAGGTTTTAGTCATAGGATTGCCATATCTTGAAGAGTAAAAAAATCAGACAGCCCATGCCCGAGTGCCTGCGCCCAAGCCACCCCCGCCCCCGCCCCAAAACAAAAGAATAAAAATTCCGGACATTCCCTTTAAAATGTAAAAAGCCCCCCAGATGGGCATTTTGGCCCCCCCAAAAGAGGACACGTCCAGGATTTCCCAGAGGTATGGCAAGCCTATTCAGTCACCTGTCCTATAAGATTCTTCCTCTTTGCCCTGCATGGAATCGTGTTCTTACAAATGATGCCTAGATGATGTTTTCATCTGTGTTAGGCTGATGCAACAGTTCAATGAGCTGGAGCGATGCCAGGGGTAGAATGTAGGGCTGACCATGGAGTACGATATGGGTTGAAATTTGCAGTTGACAACAAGCTCAATGGAAACAAATAAGCAGCAAGTGAAGCAACTTCCAAATGGGCAGGATGTGTTCCTTAGGACAGGAGCCAGTTAGCAGCATGGCTGCTTTATTTAAACTAACTGAAGTTCCTTAAAACATATTCAAAGGCATCCCCACATATAACACATTGTGGTAATCAAGGTTGCTGGTTACCAGAGTGTGCTTTTCTGAATGTGTCTCCGCTGTCCGGTGGTGTTGGTGATTTATTTTCAGTGGCTGCTTTGAAGACTGGGACTTTGTGCTCTGGGAGAGGCTGTTTCCTCCTCCCACCCTCTACCTATTAGCACTGCAGATGCAGGAATCTCATCTGCTCCTCTCTTTCCCATGCCCCTCCCACTCATAGCAGCTTGGGAGGTGGGGGAGGTGGGGAAATTTACACCGAGGAAAGAGTTACATGCCCTGTCCTGGAGCAACAGGATAACAGGCACCACACCCTTGTCCTTGATCTTCAGAACCACTCAGTGGGGTTGCCAGTTAGCAAAACAGTAGCCATGGGAGAGCCTAATTGTAGATTTCCCTTCCAGGGCTGGTTTGGGCCAGAGAGGGATGAAATTATTTTAAGTTACAATGCTGTTCTGAGCATTGCTTATGAGAGTCCTGATCGTTTCCACCAATCTATCGCTTGGCATTTCCTTATAAGCAAATACAGAGTCTTGAGCTGGGGTGCTGTTTGGTTTTTTTGATGGTGGATTATTGTTATTGTTGCTCTTGGGTGTTGTTGGGTTTTTTTGTATCTTTATTTTAGATCTTGAGATTTATTTATGACTACTTTTGTTATGAGATGTGGGTGGTTCTGTGGGTAAAACCACAGAGCCTAGGGCTTGCCTATCAGAAGGTCGGTGGTTCGAATCCCCGCAACAGGGTGAGCTCCCGTTGCTCGGTCCCTGCTCCTGCCAACCTAGCAGTTTGAAAGCACATTAAAGTGCAAGTAGAGCGGATGGCGCTGTGGGTAAAAGCCTCAGCGCCTAGGGCTTGCCGATCAAAAAGGTCGGTGGTTCGAATCCCCGCGGCGGGGTGCGCTCCCGTTGCTCGGTCCCAGCGCCTGCCAACCTAGCAGTTCGAAAGCACCCCCGGGTGCAAGTAGATAAATAGGGACCGCTTACTAGCGGGAAGGTAAACGGCGTTTCCGTGTGCAGCTCTGGCTCGCCAGATGCAGCTTTGTCACGCTGGCCACGTGACCCGTAAGTGTCTGCGGACAGCGCTGGCCCCTGGCCTCTTGAGTGAGATGGGCGCACAACCCCCAGAGTCTGTCAAGACTGGCCCATACGGGCAGGGGTACCTTTACCTTTTAGATAAATAGGTACTGCTCTTGCGGGAAGGTAAACAGCATTTCCATGCACTGCTCTGGTTCACCAGAAGCAGCTTAGTAATGCTGGCCACATGACCCAGAAGCTGTATGCTGGCTCCCTCAGCCAATAAGCAAGATGAGCGCCGCAACCCCAGAGTCGTCCGCGACTGGACCTAATGGTCAGGGCTCCCTTTACCTTTTACTTTTGTTATGTTGTAGTTAACCTTTTTTTTTTTTTCATGTTGTAAGCTGCCTTGATCGTGGCTTGAACTGTGGATTGAAAATTGTTAAAACTCCTTCCCTTCTAGTACATTGTCAATTAGGGAGATAGGAATGAGCGGTTGACAGCAGGAGTTGTATTGGAGAGAGATTTATTTCTGCTAGCTCAACAGCAGAGATAAGATAAATCGAGCGTTTCCCCAGAGCCATAAAGAGATCACTGCCAGAGTAAGAGAAGGCCTTTGGCCCTTTCATGGGGTCACTGACAGCTGTTAATCGCCTGGTTAGAGCCATAGGATGACTGAGGGAGACTTTCAGAGCTAGGTGTGGCTGCAAAGGAAGATATTGCTTCTGCCAAGAGTAGAAGGGCACTTCCAGATGGGCTGCTGTGTAATGTGTACAAAGCTGGGGAGCCCATTCCATGTTTTGTGTGTGTTCCAGTTCACCAGGGTCAGGAGGAGTTAGCCATGTCATACAACCTCCCACGCAAGGATGAATGTTCACCAAACAGGTGGTCTGGAAGTTCCCTAAATTTTATAAGAGAACTCATCTACGCAGAATATCCGATCACATGCCTTCTGATTGGAGATGAAACATGATTATGAAAATACAGTGGTACCTCGGGTTACAGATGCTTCAGGTTACAGACACTTCAAGTTACAGACTCTGCTAACCCAGAAATAGTACCTCAGGTTAAGAACTTTGCTTCAGGATGAGAACAGAAATCACGCGGCGGCAGTGCAGTGGCAGCAGAAGGCCCCATTAGCTAAAGTGGTACCCTCAGGTTAAGAACAGTTTCAGGTTAAGAACAGACCTCCAGAATGAATTAAGTTCTTAACCTGAAGTACCAATGTAAATTTAATTATGACTCTTCAGAATGTATATGAATTATAAATGCATCTTAATATGCAACATTAACTGGCTGAAGGACAATTTAATTTGAAATTTTAAGATGAGCATGCCATACCCTACAGTTTTTTTTTATGACTGTGTGCAAGGATCACCCTATGCTCCCCGGCAGAATGGGCAATTGGTGCTGACGATTGTTGGGGGTAAAAGATAGAATGTGTTTAGAAGAAGGGTGCAGTTCAAAAAGTCAACGGATTGCTGGCTCGCTGTTAATAATACTTTCCCACTATTCCCCTACCCCCGTCCCCCACATCTACAAGCCTGGTGCACTGATTGTGATATATTTCCGCCTGCATCTTAATTTGTTGCCAAAACCTGCTGTCATTTTTAAAAATCAAAACTGCAAAGGTTTGCTCAGCTCTTTCTTCCAATGTTTCTATTTGTCGACTCTCTTTCCTTGGAGGTTTTTAAGCAGAGGTTAGGTGGCCATCTGTCGTGGATGCTTTAGTTGAGATTCCTGCACTGTAGGAGGTTGGGCTAGGGTTGCTATATTTCAAAAAGTGAAAGTGAGCTTTTTTAATGAACTTCGCTGAAATGTACTAAACCGACATGGACTGCCATGCATCTGGACATTTCAGCAATTTCTGCTCCGGTGTGTGCACACATGGGGAGTGGGATGGGGCTCGTGTGCCAATGCTCGTGTGTCAAAGGACCTTGGGCTCACTCTGCCATTCTTCCGTTCTTAGACACGATTGCCCTTATATGGCGAAGGCAGGTGGCGATGGCATTCCGTGCCGAGGGAAGAAGGGTCCAAAGGTCACCCCGCTGCTTGCTCTGTTCAGGCACAGTCCGTCTCCAAGGTGCTGTGTGCCCACCAAACAGAGACCGCAGCAAAGGTAAGGAGGTGGTTCCGGGGAGATCCAGGGTCGGCTTTGGACTCCCATCTGTCCTTGCTCTAGCCCTCGGCTTCATGCCAGCATTGTCTTGCCCAAAGCAGCCTTCCCTAGGCTGGTGCCTTCTAGATCTTTGGGGGTAGCAGAATGTGCAGGCGAAAGCGGATGGCAGCTGTAGTCTAAAAGACGAGGAGAGCACCAGCTTGAAGAAGGCCGTCCTAGGAGAAGATAGCAAGCAGCCTCCTCCCCCCCCCCTGCTTAGTCTGGGTGGCTTTTCTTGTCAAATGATTTCAGGTTTCTGAGGGGTGAGAAGAGGTTCTGAGCCTTTATAGTGAAGCTAGGACCCCAATTTCAAGGTTTCTCCTGAGGCAAAAATGATGCTTATGCCTCCTGCTTGGACTGAACTCATTTTTCTATGGACTCCACACTGCATGAGGTTAGAGGTGTGAAGACCGGGGGGGGGGGGTGGAAACATTTTAGGGGAAATTAAATTTGGTTCTTCACATTTCTGCAGCAATTTGTGCTTTAAAAAAATCCTCATGAAAATTATTCAGCATTTTTGTGTGAATTTCTCCTAAGAAACACATTTTTACATGCAGTTTTTGTTTTTGCAACTAATGTCCCCTAACGTAATGCCTTCTTGTATCTTATTTCCACTAATATATTCATTTTTATGCTCATTTCCCCCTAGCACACATGTTTGGGTAACTGCTGGAGAACTGCATTACAAAATTTGGGAAAGTGTGGATTTTGAAGGGTGGCAGTGTTTCCGTTCTCATATTATTTCAGAAAGTGTGATTCTGATCAATTCAGTTTTAAATGCAAATTGAATTGATTTTCTCCCCTGTTCCTGGTAGAGAAGACCTCTCCTGGTTTTTAAAAGTGTTAATAGGAACCAGGGGGCATTGTGGATCCAGAGCAAATTGCTGAATAAATGTGAAGAACTGCATGAGAGTGCCCGGTTGTTGAGCAGCAAAATGGGAACATAAGACATTGATCCTAGAAAGGCAGCAATGGCTGCCTATGAGTTACTGGGCCCAATTCAAGGCTTTGTATTAGCTTGCAAAGCTTTAAATGGCTCAAGGCCCAAGTACCCACAGGAGTGCCTCTATATCAGCGGATCTAGTCTTTAAGATAGGCAAGAGAAGCTCTCGCTCATGCTCCTTGCTAGGATTCATCTCTGATATGCTTTCCCCTGCCTATCTTAAAGACACATGGCAGAGCCGTCTTCGCTGTAGCACCCTGACTATGGCACTCTCCTCCCCTTAGAGCTGTGGTTCTCCTCCTTGTTTAACATTTAAGCATCAGTTAAAGATGCATCTGTTTACTTAAGCCTTAGCAGAATGAAGGCATGCTAACTGTCTGGCTGTTAACCAGAAGGTTGGTGGTTCAAGCCCACCTAGGGACTGCTATGGGCAGGATTCCTGCATTGCAGGGGTTGGACTAGATGACCCTCAGGGTCCCTTCCAATTCTACAGTTCTATAATTCTAATGCTGGTTTTGTGATTGTGCTATGGTTTTTTAAATGTTGATGTACTTGTGTGAGTATTTCAATTATTTTGATTGGATTCTGTTGTTTTTAAACTTTTATTGTATATCCCTCTGAGCTCCTTTTAATGGAACAGGGATAAAAAATGCAATCAATTAATTGATAAAAACACGAATCTGCCTTATACCTGATCAAACTATTGGCCCATCTAGTCCTGTGTTTGCTGTACCAGGATTAGAAACATGAGGTCCTTCAGATGTTACTGGATTTTACCTCCCCTCACCCTTGGTCATTGGCCATGCTGACTGGTGCTGATGGGAGCTGCAGCTCATCATCATCTAGAGGGCATAAGGATTCTTGGTCTTAGGCAAGTCTTTCTAAGCTCTACTCTTTGAGACTCCAACTGGAGGCTGCCAGGCATTTGGTTCGCAAGCCATGTGTGCTGCCTTTGAGCTATGGCCCCTTCCTGCAAACCTGAAATCACATTTCATGTTCATTGCCCAGTTTAACACATTCAACTTAAAACCCATTGCCTGGAAGTGAAATCTGTGGCAGTGATGTAGAGTGAAAGGATAAATGGAAATCCCTTTTCCAAGCCTTCTCAAGTTCTCAAATCCAGAGCTGTCTGCATGCATAGCACTTAAAAAAATTAAAAGGGTTTGAACCAAGATATCCTAAATTCTGATGAAAGCTGAATTATGCAAACTGTTGGGTTTTGTTTTGTTTTGCATAATTTATTTTGCTTTTGCTAATCATGAAGAGGAGCAAGGAACCCACACAGAAGTCCTCCTCCCCAATGACCCTTAAAAATTTAAAGCAGTCCATTTTCTAACTTTTAATCTTCATAGCATTTTTTCCATCATACTTCCAAGCATAGCTCTGCAATCTTAAGGTTTTGAAAGCTGCTTTCCCCTTAAGCAAATCTTAAGATTCTTTAAGAAGCTGACTCCTGTGACCAATGATATGTCCAATGGCTTTTCTGCATTTCTGCCAGCGTGCGTACAGCCCTGCCTATAAATTGCCTATAAGCATTGAGATTTTAGCATTAGGCAGAGAAATTACAGGTGTGCATCACCTCCATGGACTTTATGATTTACGTGCCTGAGATAGACTGCGATGCACTCCCTAATAGCCTGAGCTGGTCTGTGGACAGCGACTGCTGCCTTTTTCACCCCTTAAAGGCCAAACTTAGCTGACTAGGGAAACACCTGGAGCTCAAGTGAAGACGAGCTGGAGAGCTGGGCATGTATTTTGTTATGAGAGGCAGGTTTAGGTTTGAATCACAGCAAATTGTTTTCCCAGGGCACCAATTTCCATAAGATTTGCATAGGTTAATTCATGTGCATAGATTCAAATTTAGAAACCATTAGTACAATTTAAATTGAAATAAAGTACATCTCACCATAGTGGAGAAGACTTTGATCAGGTGACCTGTGTGTGCCTGCTCAGTCTGTCTGTTGTCCAGGTGCTCACTTTGGATGGGCAACTTCAAGGTCCAATTCTGCTGTCCCTTCTGGAGATTATTTCTCTTTAAACTGGGCTTGGGCCGGCCTGTCCTAAGATGACAACTCTTTACTGTGTAAAGTAGGACACATGGCTCCATCCTACTCACTGTGGGGATGAAGGGGGCTGGGGCTCATGCCCTCTCTCCCTCAACCGTTCTCTCACATACTCTTGGGGAAGGGCCCAGGCTCAGTTCCCACCATCTCCATGTTGCTCAGAGAGCTGCTTCTGCTCAGTGTTGACAATACTGAGCTAGATGGACCAAATATCTTACTCAGTAACTTCCAATGTTTCTGTTCCTACACCTATACACTTGCTGTCTCACTCTCTCTTCTGGAAATAGGAAATAAATTTAAAGGAAATCAGCTGTGACATCCTTGGCAATGTTGAAAGCATGTGTGTACATACATAATTACTCATTCAGGAGACACAGGTTCAAGGCTGATTTCCCACCAGCTGTAAAAATCTTTACCTTTCATTTGAGTGAACCCAAACAATGTTTTTGGTAATAATAACGTTGTAATAACAAGTCTTTTGGCAAGAACTGAATTAGTTTGACTTAAGCAAAGCCCTTGGGCTTTTGACACAGACACCACAAGATCTCAGTTCATCTGCATGGTAGTTAAAATGTCTAGTTTCCTTTAAACTAGCTACCAACCGGTTAGTTCCGCTCTAAATTCTTGCGAGGAGAAATTAGATCTAGGAGTTCTCTAGCAGCTCAGGTTGAGCAAAGTCCTAAAGCACAGCAGTGTGAACCATCTTAATACTTCCCCCTTTAGCACACTTTTAGGAATGCGATCTGAATGAATGCAAGGAGTAATAGTCTGGTTTTCTCAACAACATTAATGTGGAGGTGGGGAGTAGCGATGTGAAGTTTGGGGTCTGAGCATAGACCCTTCTTCTGCAATTTTTAAACGTTGGTTGTTTGTAACCTGGCTGCATTGCTAATGAACTTTCCCATTCCTAAGGGCAGATCCCCCCACAAAACACTGACCATCACCATGTCAGCAGAACTTAGTGCCAAAGTGACCAGGACTCTGAACAAAACCACACCCGGACTCCAGATATGGAGAATTGAGGTGAGTGTTTGTTTAGGTATGTGGTAGTATAAAGGTAAGGGACGCGGGTGGCGCTGTGGGTTAAAGCCTGAGCGCCTAGGACTTGCCGATCGAAAGGTCGGCGGTTCGAATCCCCGCGGCGGGGTGCGCTCCCGTTGCTCGGTCCCAGCACCTGCCAACCTAGCAGTTCGAAAGCACCCCCGGGTGCAAGTAGATAAATAGGGACCGCTTACTAGCGGGAAGGTAAACAGCGTTCCGTGTGCTGCGCTGGCTTGCCAGATGCAGCTTGTCACGCTGGCCACGTGACCCGGAAGTGTCTGCGGACAGCGCTGGTCCCCGGCCTATAGAGTGAGATGGGCGCACAACCCTAGAGTCTGGCAAGACTGGCCCGTACGGGCAGGGGTACCTTTACCTTTACCTAGTATAAAGGTGAGAAAGAGACCAGCATTTGGAGGCATGTCTGTATGTGTTTCCTCTCTTCCCATAATTCCACCTTCTCCTGGAATCTCCTGCCTTTCAAAGGAGGAAGAGGAGAAGCTGAAACAGGATTTACTCTAGATCAGGAGTGGGGGGGGAATGTCAGGCCGGGGGGGGGCAAATGTAGCCTCCATGGATTCTCTCCCTGGCCTCAGAACTCTCCATAGGCCATACTCCTCACTGGTTTTGCTCTGCATCCTGAGTGTTTTTGCCTGGCTGGAATGTGTTCTTGAACTCGAATAATGCTGCTTCCTTGCCTGGGTGGAGGATACAAAGGGGTGTGTGAGTATGTGGTTCTATATGCAGCCTTCAGTCCCTGTCGTAGTGGGGAGCAAAGGCGGGGTGTGTGTCTGTGTGAATGTGTAGAAATTAGCAAAAGAAAAAACAAATTTGTTGCTCCACTCAGTTTTTGTCTCTGGCCCTACCCACAACTGGCAACTGCTGTGGCCCTCAAGCTGCAAAAGGTTTCCTAGCCCTGCTCTAGACTTCCAGCTCAGTGGTGCAGTGTCCTTGTATTGAATCTCCTATTCTGAGGGCCAAACTAGATTGATATTAATTATATAAATGCAATTGATGTGCATGAAGTAGCAGCTATGGGAGAGGCTGGTCAGCATTAGGATCACACAAGGGGAGAGGGGGTTAATCCTTTCACTTACAGCCATGGTCCCAAACCCAAATACTCTCTGATCCAGAAGCTGCTGTAAGCACTGGAAAGCCTCCACCAGCTGAGCTGGGGCAAAAGAAGGTGTTACAGCTGGCCATCAATGGGGGATTTCCTCCCAATGCAAATAGCAGCTTTGGATGACAGATTTTCATCAAGACTGCAACAGGGAAGGATAGGGTTAATTCTCCCCTTGCCCTCCTGTTCTTTGATCCTGATAATTATTGTTTCTCTTCATCTGTGGTTCTACCCTGAGCTATGGCCTTTCCTCAGAAGACTGAGGTGATGGGATTTGGCAAAACTAAAAAAAATTAAGGTGATGGGACTTGGTAAAAAATAGGCTATTGAAGAAAGGAAGGCAGGACAAATGTTTAAAAATGGAGATAAAGGCAGGAAGAATGCTCTTTACACAACACAAGGGTGTGTGATGATCTTTAGTACTGTATATAATTCCAGCTAATTCCACCCCACCCCCCTTCCCTTCCAGAATATGGAGATGGTGCCTATTCCACCAAAAACATATGGGAACTTCTACGAAGGAGATGCTTATATCATTCTCTCGGTAAGAGGAATTAAGAATGGTGGAGGCCTTTGTGTCACTAAGCTTGATGGGACAAAACAGCTGCAGAAAAGGACGAGACTCAGCCCAAGAAAAAAAGCGGGAACTTGTCTCATGTAAACAGTGGCGTAGCGTGGGGGGTGCAAGGGGGGCTGGCCGCACCGGGCGCAACATCTGGGGTTAGGGCAAATCCACAGGTTAGGGGGCGCAAATCTACGGGTTAGGGGGCGCAAATTACTTGCCTTGCCCCGGGTGCTGACAACCCACGGTACGCCACTGCATGTAAAGTATGGGAGGTGCACCATGGAGCATGATGAGGTCAAAGAAGGATACTTAAAGGGAAGGTCCTATGTGGCTAGGAGTAAATGGACTCCAGTCCTGCAAACTTACGTATACAGTAGGCTACCACCCTAAAGGCCGCACTAAGTTGCTATTACTTAGATTTTAACAACAGCAGCAACAACATTAATACCTAATTTTTGAAGTCAGGAGCGGTTCCCAGAGATGGGCTTTCTTCAGCATTAGGACCACATTATGTGCCTTCAGACCAGGGCTGGCCCTACCATTGGGCAAAGTGACCATCTTAAGCAGCAGGTGCTGGGGAACAGCAGCAACAACCCCCTCTGCCCCTCACTAACCATTATCTTCTGTAAGAGGACAGCAATGATTCCTTTCCCGGCCTCCTCTAAACTACCAGTAGTCTGCTGCCTTAGGTGCGTTAGAGGACATAGGAAGCTGCTTTATATTGAGTCAGACCAATGGTCCATCTAGCTAAATATTGTTGATGTTGACTGGCAGTGGCTCTCCAGGGTTTCAAACAAGGGATCTTTCCCATCCCTGCTTGAAGATGGCAGGGATTGAACCTGTGACCTTTTGCAGGCAAAGCAGGTGCTTTATCCCTATGGCCATTGCCCTAACACTGTCCCATGACCAGTGTTGAAGTCATATTCAGTTGCCAGTCCAATTAGCACCTGTACCTAGAATGGGGAGGGGGTGCCTTAGGTACAAAAGGTCTTGAGCTGGTTTTGATTCACACCACTTTGTGCATCCAAATGTCTGGGTTTGCTGTATTCATTTGTTCAGCATCTGTTGCAATGGCTTTGCTTACCTCTCAAATATCACCTATTAGCATAAGCAAGGCAAGTTTGGGGTTTTAAAACAATTACCCACTTTATTGATTTAATAAACAGGACCAGTTATTATGTCAACCCTAGTTGGAGAGTCAAGTGGTTTAAATACCTTTTGAGAGCTGATGTCGCATGGTAGGTAAGAGAAGACATGGAGCTCTGAATGAAAACATCACCAGTTCAATTCTGCCATGATCTTATAATAAGGTGGGCTTAAGTGTCACTCCTTCTCAGCTCAGGGATAACAAGATAAAGTACACTTCATTCTCAAGTGATACATAAAATGCTAAGTATTTTTTATTTTGTTGCTGATCTATTTTAAAGCTTGCTTCATTTCAGAGCTGTTTTTATATTAGCTGCTTTAACACAGTCACTTAATTTCATGTTTTTTTAATTGCTGTTCTTGCATTTCTGTGTATTGGAAGCTGCCTTGAAAGCTGGCTTTGGTCAAAAGGTAGGGTCGATATAAAACAATAAATAATACAGTATTTCACATCCTACCCTCCCATTCCCAACCCTTCTCTGTTCTCATGCCCTGCCTGTTTGTGAACACCTGTATCGTCGTACTGCACGTATTCTGGATAACTGGATAATGGCATACGGTTTGGATATGAGGATAAGGCATGGATAGATGAATGAGCTGAGTGGGTAGATCAAAGAAGAACTCCTTGCAAGAACCCTGCTCCTCTGTGTGATATATGTTATAGAAGGAGGATAAACATTGCAAGGTTTCTAAGAGAACAGAACAGCTCCATCCTCAAAGATGTCTGCTTGCTTTCTGGCCTTGAAATGTCACAGCGTGACTTTTCTTAATGTTTTTGCTTTTGTTTTAGAATTAGCTACTTTCCCCATTGCTTTTACTTTCAGCACAGATCCGGGGATAGGATAGTGATACTGATCCGCCCATGCATGAGGAAACCCTTTTGTGTTTGAGAGTAGAGATCTGAGTCAATGTCCCTTTCTAGTAGGTGGACTTACTTGGAGAGCTGAGTGTGTGAATCAAAATGCCCAGCATTGTGGCATTGACTGAGCGCCATGGGACAGAGAGGTCTCTGCAATTTTGGTGGGCCTGCTAACCAGCTTCAATTTTCCAACTAGACGCATAAGACTGGGAACAACTTCACCTACGACGTCCACTTCTGGCTGGGCAGTTCATCATCTCAGGATGAGCAGGGCTCAGCTGCCATCTACACTACCCAGATGGATGACTACCTGGGAGGAGTAGCCGTACAGCATCGTGAGGTCCAGGGCTACGAAAGTGACGCCTTCCGGAGCTACTTCAAACAGGGGCTAATGTGTGTAATGCTCCTTATTGCCTTCTGGTGGCTGATCCAGGCAATGACAGCTTCTTCTTCTTTGAGCCACTTTACATTTTTATGTGTTGTGCCTGAGACACATGCTAGGTAGTCTCAATTGGCAATGGCTCCTGCGGTACATGTCCACTGTGTGTTTAGAAACACACACCAGCCCTTCCAGTGTTTCCTATAGGTACTTGACAACTCTTGAAATAAATAAAAAATCTGGATATCTGGGTGGGGCCATGTGGGCCGAGGGGACAGGGCTTAGAGCCAGTTCAGTGATAGTGCTGGGGAATGAAGCCCAGCAGATTTTGACGAATCCCTGCAGGCAGCCTAACACAAAGCAATCTATTTCCCTAAAGTGAGCAGCTGGAGGAAAAGGGGCAGCTGGGAGGAACTGGAGATAAATGGTCAAAAGCAAAAATAGACAGGGACAGAAACAGTGCTGTCCTTACTACAAAGTAGTTGTTTCAAAGTGGCAGATTCCAGAGAGGGTTCCATTGCACTACCTTTCTTCTCTGTGTGGCCAGGTTCAGAGGACATGACACTAACCATGGTTTAGCAATCCTGCCTGTTCTTCCTCTGTGAATTGTATGTGACTGTCTACTTGAAAGTGTGGGCGTGATTGCCTGCGTGTGTGACCTCCATCTGCTGAGTAAATTTGCCTGCCTGCCTTCCTGAATATACCGTATGTGTGTCTCTTCCCCTCTGCTGGGCATGTGAGTGTATGTCCCTGCTTGCATGGTGGGTCTCTCTGTGTGTACATGTGGTAAGTGTGCTTTGACCACACTTCTCACTGGCACATGTCACTGGAGGGGTGACCAACTTCAGACTTCAGCTGAAAGAGATTTGCTGCTCCTTGTTTAGCATTAAAAAAGAACCACAGTGAGACTTGGCCTTGTATGTTGCCCTCTGCTCCTTGTATGTAAGAAGTTAATGAAAGCTTCCTTTTTTGGTTTTGAATAAGCCATAGTTTCATGTTATTCTAAACTTGGAAAACTGTTGTTTATTCTAACTGCTAGGGAGCTCAAATGAGGATCTAACTGTAGTTTCTGATCTAGGTTTGTTTGAACTAACCACAGTGCAAATAAACCATATGTCCCAACTGCAGACATAAACTGAGGTTTGTTCAAAACCAACAATTGAAGCTTTCAATCTCCCCCCCCCTTGCATATAAGGAGAGCCAGGGCAGGTGGGGGAGAGGAATGGGAGCCTGAAGATATGCGGGGCTCGTCATCTTATGTTTGAACCAGGACTACATATAATAAAATTTAAAAATGGGTTCCAAAGCAAAGGGCATCATTTTGGTTTTTGCTTTGGGGACAAAAAATGTCTAAAGTTGACACCTTCTAGGAGCGGTAGGAAACTTGGAAGCCTGTGGTCCAATTTCATGAGGTCCTCAGTCCTAGTTTCATGCAAATAGCAAAGAGGAGTTAAATGTGTGGGGGGGTGTCCCAACCCACATTTGGCTTCAGCTATGCCCACTGCTGATATGCAGCCCCCAACAGATTACACTTGGGGGAATGTAATGCTCAGCAGAAGGTTGCCCTCCACCCCACAGAGGTCTGTCCATTTAAGGGCCTGAAATGTGTGTTGTAGCTAACATAATGTTCTTAACATCAGAGGCTCTGGAAAAACTAAAGCAGAGTGGCTGTGGAAGGCAGCAGGTCTTCCCCCACCCCCTTCTGCCCCATGCTTCTATGAGGCATACTGGGTAGAGGTCAACCCTTTCTTCTATGGGAAGTCTGCATACACACTCTATATTTAAAGCATGTGGCTTCCCCCTAAGAATCCTGGGAGCTGTAATATACCCCTCACAGAGCTGCAATGCCCAGCACCCATAACGATCTACACTTCCCAGGATTCCTTGGGGGATGTTGTGTGCTTTATATGTGCCTTAGATGCAAAGTGTGTCTGCAGCTGAAGACTTAGCTGTTTGGGAATGTTGGGGCTCTTCTCCACAGTCCAGACCCTGACCCTGCCTCTCCTCTGCAGCTATAAGAAGGGTGGAGTGGCTTCTGGCATGAAGCACGTGGAGACCAACACGTACAATGTACGACGCCTGCTGCACGTCAAGGGCAAGAAGAATGTGATGGCAGGAGAGGTGGGTCAAAGATGGGCTGGCAATGTTGGGAAAGGGCTGGCCAGGGCTGGTAGCTTAGCTCCTGGTAAAACTGTCAGATCTAGACACTGTGGTCTTTGAACACTTGTGGGTGATCATGAAGACAAGGTTCATCACAGTGTTGCAGCCCATGAAGGCACACTCAGATCTTACAAAAATCAAACATTTTGCAGTGCTTTTGACCTCTTGTTGGAGCAGTACAGCAGATGCACTTTTAATGATGTGCTTGTGGAGGTCATCAGTGGCTACTGAAGCCACAGTGGCTATGTTTCTACTTCCACTTTTGGAGGCGGTGTGCTGCTGGCAGGGGCGGCCCATCCTGTTTCTGCACCTGTATTACTATAGGTGTTCTTTTAATAGAAGCACAGTGGAAATGGAAATAACTTTTATATTTACAAACCAACAAACAGCAAGCCAACAATCTATGAAATAAATATGTTTTGTTTTTTTATTTAGAGGTCCTATGCGATCTGAGGCCCTGATCTGTAGCTTCCTTAGCTTGTGCATATATCTTGCACTGCTCCCAGATTTTCCACGGGCATCTGGTTGGCCATAATGAGAACTAGATGTGGTTTTTGGCCTGAACAAACAGGGATCATCTTGTGTGAGGTCCCCAGACTGATAGAATCCAGGTGTGACTGTCTTTCAGTAAACTCACATAGGCTTTCCCACCAGCTGTTTTTTCCCCCTCTTGCAAAGGTGGAGCTGAGTTGGAGCAGTTTCAACTTGGGCGATGTGTTTCTGCTAGACCTGGGGAAGCTCATCATCCAATGGAACGGTCCAGAGAGCAACCGCCTGGAGCGACTGAAGGTGCAAAGTCTGCCATGGGTGGTGGAAGTGGGGAAGCAGGGGAGACGGGAGTTGTGCAAAGAAGGAGGCTTTTGGTGCCTGTCCTTTCTTGGGTGGGACACCTGACATTTGAAATCCAAATGTAACATTTCTATTGTAAGAAAAGGAGGGTTGTTTTGCTGACCAAAAAAAAAAATGGATTGGGAGGAAACGGGAGAGTCAGGATCAAGTGAAGCCACCAACTTATCATATAACAACCCAGTGGTGGGACATGCTAAAGACACTGAATGGCCTTCCTAATAGCCTTGGGATTATATTACATTGATGGATTCACTGTGTGATGATCAGCTCATAGTTCCATGTAGTTCAGCAGCCATTAATAAATTCAGCGTATTAAAATGGCTATTGGGCATCATTCTTTTTAGTATATCTCCCCTTCCTAGGAAGGGTGGTAGGAATAATTCATGACTACAAGGTGCTTCAAGGTGTTAGGTTCTGTGTCTGAGTTGGCTAAGACAAAAAGGGAAATAAATGAATTGGGTGATAGCTGAAGTGAGACTAGAATGCTGGACTAGATAAGCCTTAGGCCTGATCCTGCATGGGGTTTCTTGTTCACACCCACCATGCTCTTATTTGTGGGTTTTCTCATTCTTCTAATGCCATTCAGGCTTCCTCCTGCCACCCCCTGACCTTGGCTTGTGGTTGTGACCTGTTTCCTGCAGGGGATGACCCTAGCCAAGGACATTCGTGACCGGGAGCGTGGGGGTCGAGCGCAGGTAGGTGTGGTGGATGGGGAGGACGAAGCTGCATCTCCTATTCTCATGAAGATCATGGAGTATGTGCTGGGGGAGAAGAGGAACATTCAGCCTGCCATCCCAGATGCCGTGGTGGACCAGAAGCTGAAATCTTCTCTCAAGCTCTACCAGTGAGTGACATGGGGTGTGTGGTAGTGGGGACTACGGTGAGGCAAAGAGGTTGTGTGGAAAGATGCACAGCTGCGGGAGAGAGGAGCAAACATCTCTTTGATGGATGCAGGAACAGGGGAATGTGGGAAAGAAAACCTCTGATGGAAGTACAGACACTGGTCAAGAAAGCAAACGTTCCATATTGAGCATTTTGCCCATTTTTTCTGTTCATGGGATTAATACTGCTCCTGAGAGCACCTGCGTGACCTTCCTTAATGAGTACAATTCTGTTTGTCATGTTTGGGGTTTTTCTTGTGGATTCAAAATGATTTGGAAAGAACTGCGACAGCAAAAGGCATCCAGAAGGGATGTATGAGGGAGGACAATGGGGAGATCAGGAACAGGGCAGGAGCCTGGAACTATGAAGGAAAGAAAATAAACGAGAGATAAATCTCAAAAGGGAAGGCGACCCTACAGTTGGGCACCTTGGCTTTTGGACTGTTTTGGCCAACACTGCCCTCATTTTCAAATATTTCCTTGTAACCATGAAGGTAAGAAAATATCCTCCTAGTTTCCTGGCTCTTCCTCCCCTTTTTAAAATTAGTGTGTGAATGCGCCGAGGCAATTTGGGGTTCAGTGATGTCACTGCAGGTGAGATGCAGACGTTCTGCTTCAGATATCATAGGAGAAATACAGAAAAAAAGAAGCAGGAGTCATTTATCATTATTTTCCACCCCACTTTTATGTTAACTGAACTGGCTGTGAGGTTCTCTAGCTGAATTCTGCAAGGTTTTATATATTGAATAGGCCCAATCCTGATTTTTAGTTTTTAAGACCATTATTGTTTTGCATGATCTTCATCCCAGAGTGTAGACTAGTAACATCACTTTGGAGAGCTGGTCCCATGACTACCCTCTTGTTCCTCTCCCAGAGTCTCTGAGATAGAAGGGAACCTTCTTATCCAAGAAGTTGCCATCCAGCCCCTCACCCAGGACCTTCTCAAGAATGAGGTAAGACTCATCCCAGGGGGATTGGTTGCACCATGACAAGCTTTAAAGTATAGGTTGGGGGTTGGAGGGAAGGGAAGACTAGAGGAGACATTATTCCAGTGTCATCTAACACAGTTGTAGCCGTTCTGCCTATTGCCATTCCAACCCCCAAAATTATAATCTGAATGGCTTGAGTCTAAAATGGTGAGACTGTGGCCTTCCAGATGTTGCTGGACTACAATGCCCATCATCCCTGACCATTGACATGGTGGCTGAGGTTGATGGGAGCTGGAGTCCATCAACATCTAGAGGATTACTGGCTACCCACCTATGCTGTAAGAGAGAGCCTGGTAATGGAAGAGGGCTATACTGGCCTAAACAGCTTCTTTGTAATGAAACAACTGGATCTTGTTTTGTCTCCTGTCAGGACTGCTTCATCTTGGACCAAGGTGGTGTGAAGATCTTTGTGTGGAAGGGTAGGAATTCAAGCAAGGAGGAGAAGCGGCAAGCGATGACACGGGCCCTGGTGAGTGAGAGGCTAAGGCAAAGCTGAGCCCATACAGTTTCATATCTGGGCAAGGACCTTTAGCAATGTTCCAGAACTTCTTGGAGATACTGGAACAGAGTGCCTCCACTCTCTCTTCTGCCATTTCAAGGGATCAAAACCATTTTTGGCTCCATGATTCCAGATCTTGACTAACATGAATGCTACCAGCTCATTTAGAGTCTCTGTCTGGATTTTGGACCAGGGCTTGGATATTACCTTCTGCCTACCTGCCTGTCTTCCTTTTAGCCTTATCCATTTCATAGGCTTGAGGAGGGTATCAGGCAAGCAAGTATATAAAACAGAAAAAAAACTTTACAGGCTTTAAAAAAAATCATTTAATCACAGTCCTTATAATGAAGCAAAGTGAAATCATGGTGTTGAATAGCAAATTCTGGGAAGGAATTCTTCCACCAGTCCTTTGTTTAATGTTCCGTCAAAAGAAAAAAATGACTGTACCAATGCAGACAAATGCCCCAATAAATCATATAAATTAAGGTAAATTCTTGGTGGATTTTATTAAGCAGGACACCATTTGCAAAAAACAAGCAAACTCATGCCTTTTTTTCCAGACCTTCATTTTCCAGTTTGAAGAATATACAGTGTTTAAAAATGCAGCGATTCTGTCCCGCATTGCTACACTAGAAATCAGGGGTGCAAAAGACTGAAGCCCAAGCTAGTTTGTGTTCTACATTGTTTCCTTTTTAGCCTAAGTTAATGTAAGAGCGTTAATAATGTGAGGGCCAACAGGACTAGAGCCAAAGTGGGCTAATGAGAAGCAAGAGGAAGCTACTATACAACAAAATAGAGCTTTAAAAACCAACAAAATGTAAGGGGCAACACTCCCCCCCCCAAAAAAAAACCCCACATCCTGACCAATGAGGACCAAGCATGCTCAGTAACCACAGAATGCTGAGTGTTAGTTGAAAAAGAAAACTGGTGGCAGAGGGATGGAATGGAGCGTTCTACCAGGGGCATTGCTGGCTGGCTGGCACCATGTACATGAGCACTGCTGTTATAGTAGGCGAGGAATACACTTATCATTTTTTGTTGCAGTTGTCAAAGAGATAACACTGGGCCTGTTGAGGGTGATAGTCTAGGATACTTCCAAATATGCTCTGTTTAATGAAGTCTCTGTGGAGTCCTTCCTCACCTTGTTGTGAAAGTTGCTCTGTTCTGGTCTTCTCTTTGTCATCTCAGGGTTACATCAAGGCAAAGAACTACCCACCCAGCACCAGCGTGGAGACTGAAAATGACGGTTCTGAATCTGCTGTCTTTAGGCAGCTCTTTCAGAAATGGACTCTCCCCCATCAAAGCACTGGCTTTGGCAAGACCAACACTGTTGGGAAAATAGGTAAGTGCTGAAGCCTGATCAACTTAGTGGAGCTGATGGTTTAGAGGCTGCTTCTGACAGGTATGGGCCCCACAAGAAGAGGTGGGAAAGAATGTTGTTTTGGCCTGTCTCTTCCGTGAGCAGACAGATCAGTCTGTGTCAGTTTCTGGGTTCATTCCTCAATTCATTCTCTCCTGTTTCCATATCAATTTGCAAAGAAATTTGAAAGCCCAGAGTTTCAATTTGCAAAGAAAATTGAAAATCCACAATTAAATATGCACTTATTTACATAGTTAACATGGGCCACATCTGCACAATACCTTAAAAAGACTCTTATACCACTTTAAGAGTCATGGCTTTTCACAGAGGATCCTGTGAACTATAGTTCATGAAGGCTGCTTAGAGTTGTTTTTATGCAACCCCTCTTCCCCTCACAGAGGTGTCAGTTCCCAGAGTCCTTTGGAAAGAGGAACTGGTTGTTAAACCATTCTGGGAATTCTGGAGCTAAAGTTCTGCCAGACTCATTTTTTGTTTACACACACATACACACACACACACACACATTACGGAGGTCTAGTACAGTGGTAACCAACATAGTGCCCTCTATGTGGGATTCCAGTTCCCGTCATCCACAAGGTGCATAATGAATGGCCGGTAATGGTTAGGAATGATGGGAGAGCACCACATTGGGTAATTGTGGCCTTGAATGTGGGTTGAAGGAAGCATTTATTGTGAACCCCATCCTTAATACTGGCAGCATCCTTGACACGAGCTGCTGAGGGTTTGTGTTGTATATGAACAAACACACCTTTAGAATGAAATGTCATGGTTGCTGTTGTTGTTAAAATTTGCATACTGCCCTGCATCCGACGAACCCAGGGCAGTTCACAGCAGAACCCCAAATGTTGGGTTTTATAAGCATGTGGGTTGCTATCCTCTGCTTTCTGCTGTGGAAATCATACATGGTGGTGCCTCCTTCCTATAAGAGAAACACATGCAGTTTCCATCCATCCCATCAAAGTTTATTCTTTAGCTGTAACTGCCCATCCTTTGGGCCACACGGTCCCTCAACGCAGATGTGCTGGTTAAGACCAAACCTACCTACTTTCTTCCCTGGCTGCCCAACAGCCAAAGTAGAGCAAGTGAAGTTTGATGCCACCACTCTCCATGCCAAGCCGGAGATGGCTGCCCTGCACAAGATGGTGGATGACGGCTCTGGAGAAGTACAGGTGAGGACAGTGCCATTTTTCTAGAAAAAGAGGTGCCAGAAATCACCACAAACTCTTCACTTGTAATGGCAATGGTGCCCACCTGAGAGGTGCTGGAACTGAGCTCAGGAGAATTTCGGCTGGAAAAAAAAGCCCTGAGTAAGGACCAGGCCCACCCAAGTCCCCATCCCCTTTTGGCTTTGAGTTTAGTGGGATACCTGTTGTGAGACACAAGAGCACAAGACAGCTCTATCTCAAAGGCTTCCTCTTGGCCTCAGCTCTGCACATATGCAAAATGAATTGCCATGCTAGCATTATGAAAGTAGAGCTGGAGTTAAAGGTGAGCAGCTGCAATAAATCTGGCACTAGCCACACCTTTTGAACCTGTGGCAACAAAAGGACTGAAAATCTCCTTGGTTACAGCTGTCCAAATTTGCCTTTCTGAAAGGACGACAAGCTGCAAAATTATATCCAGTGCCAGTGACTTGGCTAGTTGGGGAACAGCAGCATGAATGCCACATAACATAAGGCCCTGGACACCTTTGAGAGGAAGGGTGGAACATAAATTCAATACCAATTAATTATAACTTTGATAGGGCTGTGGGGTATGCTTTGGTGCTCCTTAGGTTTGTAGGCTGGGGAAGATCTTTGCCCTGGGCTCACCACAGGCCCTGTAAGGACAACATCAGCAGGAACGTAAGGGAACTGAGGACCATCTTCATCACTACTTCTTTCTCTGGGACTTCACAAGGCATCACACAGTAAAGTTGAAGCATATCACCATAGCCATAAGGACTTGAAAAGTGATGCTTTGGTGGTGTTTTAAATGAGAATCGAGATCCTTAGAAGGCTGAATTCTGTATCCAGTGCCACATTTCCTTCCACCATCACCCCAAATGTACACAGTTGAGAAATTCAAATATACACCACTACTCTAGGGGCTTGCTCACACTCCCATTTGCCCTGCTGTTTTCTCCCAGGAAATTTCACTCTTTATCGCAGAATCTGCAGTGTCCAGTTATGACGGACCTAACTGCTAACCGAGCTAACTTTGCCAAGCACTATATTCCTGGCTAAACTGAGGAAACCTCCACCCACCAACCCCTGCCCACCCCTTGAACATCTACTGCTACCCTGTTGCTCATGTTCCACTTGCCTTGACAGGTCTGGCGAATTGAGGACTTGGAACTGGTACCAGTGGAGGGTCGCTGGCTTGGTCATTTCTACAGCGGCGACTGCTACCTTATCCTCTACAAGTATCTAGTCTCCAGTAAAATGCACTACATGATCTACATTTGGCAGGTGAGCAGGTGGAGGTGGGCAGGAGGGATTACAACAAAGGAAGCAGAGTATAGGCCAAGGAGATGGAGAGAGAAGAAAGACCTCCCACATGTCACCAAGGAGCAGTAGAAACCATTTGCATGTTCAGAACAACAACAACAAGTACTAGGAATTTGCCTTTCCAAAGGAGTCTGAAGTTCTCAGGACCCTAAAGATGCCACTGGATTCTGCTGTAGGATGCTGTGTTCCATTGCTCACAACACAGTCATGAGTTTTGAAGTCCTCTCTCCATTGAATTGTAGCCGAGGGACAGTCGGAACTGTACCCCAGCCTTTTAAGTCAGCCTACTCTGTTGCTGCTTTCCAGGGTCGCCACGCCAGCCCCGACGAGATCACTGCCTCTGCTTACCAGGCTGTCATTCTGGACCAACAGTATAATGGTGAACCTGTGCAGGTGCGAGTGACCATGGGCAAGGAGCCTGCTCATCTTATGGCCATCTTCAAGGGACGCATGGTGGTGTATTCGGTGAGCACAAGAGGGACAGACTCGGTGGTTAAAATTGTCTCCCTTTCCATTTCCCAGCTGTACAATGGGGAGCAAAACAGATAAGAGACAGGAAATCCAAAGAGAACATTAGAGTATCTTGTGGTGGCTCTAATTTTGATCAGAACAATAGTTCTAGGGGGGATTTAGGTTTTGCATCCAAGTAGGTATTGGGGGGGGGGAATAACAGGCACAATACAGGTTCCCTTATTTCCCCTCCCCCAGTGGAGATAATCATAGTTTTGGGGATTGGGGAGCAATTTAGACTAGGAAAATCACAGAGAAGTGAACACTTGCGCCAACCAGCAGCACTGCTCCAATCAAAATCTGAGATCCCAGAGGGGCTTTAAATAGTAATATTAAAAGCCCACTGGGAGATCAAAACACATCTTTCCCACTTCACATGTCTTTTGGTCTCAAAGCTTCCTAATCTGGAGTTATACCACTTCAAGGGAGTTTTATGACAGGCTGTATTCTTGTTGCCACTTTGTAAGCTGTTTGTGGTTGAGCACGCCACTGCTTCCTCATCCCTTTTCCTTTGGTGGCGGCACTTTGTATATTGAGCGGATGTGACCCTCCTGTCAGATTTCAGAAAGGGGAGGGGAAAATATCCCTTTCGTTCCATGTCCTGAACAGGACAAGGACAGCGGGTTTAAGTTCCAGTGGCAGAAAAGGCTACTGCAGAATGGGAAGCTATCAAGGCAAAGGGGAACCTAGAATGCATCAGTCACAGAGTGACCTGACCTCACCTGTGTCAGGAAAGGGGCCTTTTGGGACCAGTTCCTATAGTTCTGCAGTGGAAGGTGAAATGATGGATGGGACAAAGCTTGTACAAAATAGTTTATGTCTCTGGGGGAAGATTGAGGCTTAACTAATGGATCTTGCTTTCATGCAGTCCTATGACCTTTATTTGGGATGATATAACCAATGCACTGGGCTTTGGAGTGCAGCGATGCTCATGCTCTATAGAAGCATGGCTGAGAGGCTGTGGAATTCCTCAACACAGCGCCCATTCAGAAAGTGTGCAAAATTTTGCATAATTTCTCTTGCTCTTGTAGTATCCAAGCCCTAGAAGCCTGGAGTGATGCCTAGACTCTCATAGCTGTCTAAATTCTTTTCCCCCCTCCTCCTTACACCTAGGGTGGTACCTCCCGAGCTGGCAGCACAGCTCCAGTGCCCACCATCCGCCTTTTCCAGGTGCATGGGACCAACGAGTTCAACACCAAGGCCTTTGAGGTGCCTCCCCGGGCCTCCTCCCTCAATTCCAATGATGTCTTTATCCTCAAGACTCAGAGTTGCTGCTACCTCTGGTATGGGAAGGTAGGCATCCTTTCCGGGAGAAGTGCACAGCTGGTGGGTGATTTGGAGGCTGAGGGCACTAGCAAGTGTGATCCAGAACAAACATTCTCAGCTTTGGAAGAGGGAGTGGAATTTAGTTAATTGAAAGGCTGAACCCAACCCCCCAACCCCCACACCACAGTCTGGTTTTCCTTCCTGCAGGGTTGCAGTGGGGATGAGAGGGAGATGGCCAGGAGTGTGGCTGACCTGATCTCCAAGACCGAGAAAGCAGTGATCGCAGAAGGACAGGAGCCTGCGGAGTTCTGGATTGCACTAGGCGGGAAGTCCCAATACGCCAACAACAAAAGGTAACATCTGGCACCTGGGCACTCTTACACGCCAATCCTTACTCTCCTAATGCCAAAGTCTGAATTGGATGGAAGAAGCCACAACCTCCATCTCCACTCAAAATCGGAAGACGCTGGTGGCTTTTTAAGGCATGTGTGGGAAAACCTCGTGTCAGTTTCCCTCCCTGCAAATCCACTTGCAGAAGGTGGTTATTTTAGAGGCAAGTGGTGATGAGGAGTTTCAGGGGGAAATGAAACCCTCGCATACCCATTCTGGCTGCTTCTCTAGAATCATAGAATCATAGAGTTGGAATAGACCACAAGGGCCATCGAGTCCAACCCCCTGCCAAGCAGGAAACACCATCAGAGCACTCCTGACATATGGTTGTCAAGCCTCTGCTTAAAGACCTCCAAAGAAGGAGACTCCACCACACTCCTTGGCAGCAAATTCCACTGTCGAACAGCTCTTACTGTCAGGAAGTTCTTCCTAATGTTTAGGTGGAATCTTCTTTCTTGTAGTTTGGATTCATTGCTCCGTGTCCGCTTCTCTGGAGCAGCAGAAAACAGCCTTTCTCCCTCCTCTATGTGACATCCTTTTATATATTTGAACATGGCTATCATATCACCCCTTAACCTCCTCTTCTCCAGGCTAAACATGCCCAGCTCCCTTAGCCGTTCCTCATAAGGCATCGTTTCCAGGCCTTTGGCCATTTTGGTTGCCCTCCTCTGGACACGTTCCAGTTTGTCAGTGTCCTTCTTGAACTGTGGTGCCCAGAACTGGACACAGTACTCCAGGTGAGGTCTGACCAGAGCAGAATACAGTGGCACTATTACTTCCCTTGATCTAGATGCTATACTCCTATTGATGCGGCCCAGAATTGCATTGGCTTTTTTAGCTGCCGCGTCACACTGTTGGCTCTACTCTAGATTGCTCCAATCTGATGTGGCCTGGTAGAAAAGCTGGCTATATGGCTTTTTCTCCCTGTGCTTGTGTGTAAATAGGGAGCTGACCTGCCACCTGGCCTGTCTCTCCCCCTCTTTTTGTGCAGATTACAGGAGGAAACAATTGCCATCACACCTCGGCTCTTTCAGTGCTCCAATAAGACGGGGCGCTTCCTTGCCATGGAGATCACAAATTTTACTCAAGATGACTTGGAAGAAGATGATGTGTTCCTACTGGATGCCTGGGACCAGGTGGGTCTGAGGTGGGGGGTGAAGAATGAATAGGGAGAGGAAGCATTTGCTGCTCAATGAAGCACCTTGGCAGATGAATGCCCCCCCCCCCGTAACAATGCTATTGAATTTTACTTTCATGGCTAATGTTGCATGCTGGAATTTCTCTACAGCTGCTTTGTTCGCGCACAAACACTTCTCATCTGATGTAATTGCTGCGCTATATTAACACTCCATGCAGCTGATGAAACCTTGTCTTAACCAATGGGTTTGCCTTAAAAGTGCCACAATTTTGTTGTTTTGGGGGTAAGAAATGAATATGACCACTACCCCTCTAGTAACTTTGTTAGCTATCTCCCTCCCTAAGGTTTAGGGGTGATGGTCTGCCACAGAAGCTTTAAGTCTACGGTTGAGAGATATATGCAGGCAAACACAAATGCAAGGGCAGAATTCCCTGAACCTCTTTTCTCCCTTTTGATCCTTGATCCAGCTACCGGCACATGAGCTGCATGTCCGCTTCCGTTCATAAGAGCTTTTTCTCCGGCCAGGTTTACTTCTGGATCGGTAAAGATGCAAATGAGGCCGAGAAGGAGGCAGCAGCCGTAACGGTGCAGGAGTACCTGCGAACTCACCCGGGTGGACGTGACCTTGACACTCCCATTGTGATTGTGAAGCAAGGCTATGAGCCTCCGACATTCACTGGCTGGTTCCTAGCATGGGACCCCCTCAAAGGGACAGTAAGTGACCTAGTGGCCCTTATTCTTTCAGGTCTAACAAAGGGCAGCTGAGAACACCACGTCATGCAACAAAGGTTAATCCCATGTGAATTCAAAGACATCTGTTTGAAATGTGTAGAAAACATTACTTTCCCTCTAATTGCTCTGCCTTGTTAGAGCTCTCCTCTAACCTTCCAGATGTTGTTCAATTACAGCTGCCATCATCCTTGACCTTTGGCCAGGTGGACTGGAGACGATGGGAGCTGGAAGCACGTTAGCCACTCCACCTACAGATTTTCATCAGAATTAGCTTTCATGAACTTTCAACATGCTGAAGTGTAGCTAGCTACATCCAGACTGTCTGTATCCACAAATGATGATGAGAACATAGGTTACCAGGCTTAAGATTCTGCAAACTTCGTTTTAAGGAATCCTATTTTAACTCTGCAGCCTTCAGTCAAATCAAAATGTTCATGTGTGTGTGGGTAGTCTGGTAACTCCCAGGGTTTTTGTGGTCTATTTTCATGCAGGAGAAGAAATCCTATGAAGAGTTAAAAGCTGAACTGGTAAATGAGGACAACCTTGGCCAGATCACTTCTGTAAGTATTACTGAACACATGTTTGATCATATGTAAGTGCAGGTAGCACAGTTGCCATTTAATTTATAGGAAACCAGGAACAATAGGACCCAAGTTCATTTTATAGCAGTAACTGCTGTGTAGCTTTTCATGCCTGTACTATCTGATTGGGGGATGTAAGGCCTTCTTCTAAAGTTATTTCAGTATAAAAGGCTGCAATACTTACTCCAGAAAAACTTCCCTTTAGAGGGATAGTAAGTATGATCACAGGGACGCGGGTGGCGCTGTGGGTAAAAGCTTCAGCGCCTAGGGCTTGCCGATCGAAAGGTCGGCGGTTCGAATCCCCGCGGCGGGGTGCGCTCCCGTTGTTCGGTCCCAGCGCCTGCCAACCTAGCAGTTCGAAAGCACTCCCAGGTGCAAGTAGATAAATAGGGACCGCTTACTAGCGGGAAGGTAAACGGCGTTTCCGTGTGCGGCTCTGGCTCGCCAGAGCGGCAATGTCACCCTGGCCACGTGACCCGGAAGTGTCTCCGGACAGCGCTGGCCCCCAGCCTCTTGAGTGAGATGGGTGCACAACCCTAGAGTCTGTCAAGACTGGCCCGTACGGGCAGGGGTACCTTTACCTTTAAGTATGATCACAGCTGAGGATGAACAGAGTTGCATTCCTCTTTAAGGATGTTAACTGCTTGTAGAGAACATTGCCCACAGCATGCCCTCTCCACCTCCCACACTGTTCCTCTGGTGTTCACCTTTTTGCAGCACCTTAAAGACAAGAGCATTATGGCACAAGTGATTGTGCACTAGACTGTTTCTGCCGCAACAGACCAACATGTCCCTTTCAACTCTACCATTCTTATTCCTCTGGATGGCACTAGAATTTTTATTTTTAAATTCCTTTCTTACAAAGTGTACCAGAACCCACAATACTGCATTTTAGATCAATAAATGCATTTATTGATCTAAAACAGTTCAGCTTACCATGCCAATTTACCTTCCCTCAACTCAGTGCTATTTTTCTATAAAAAGAGGTGTTGGAACTCACCATGAACACCTCCCTTGTTCTCCCATAATGGCAATGGCCCACCTGAGGGGTGCCGGAACTGAATTCTGCTGAGGCTGAAAAAAAGCCTTGCCTCAACTCTTGTTTAAATAGATACAAGACACATTTGAGCTTTGGGGATTCCCCCTTCCAATTTCTCTTTCAGGAAATCCTTGATGCAAAAACAGTTTTCACTGCCAACACAACCTTGGGTAGTATCTCAATGTCAACCTACCCTCTGGAGAAATTGATGAATGTGTCTGCAGAGGAACTACCCAGCGATGTAAACCCCAGCAGGAAGGAGGTGAGATCCCAGGGCTGCACTCACATTTCTCTATTTATTGCATTTATATCCTGCCTTTCCTCCAAAGAGCTCAAAGTGGTGGTGTATGCAGATCTTGGCACAGCTTAATCTCACATCACCAAATCCAGGTACAGAATAGGCTAGCGTATGCTAAATCAGGGCTACAAACATCTAATGGGTGTAGGCATAAAAGCTTGCTAGTGTGCTGAAGCATTTGAAGGCTGGATAAGTATTAGATATGCACAGTTCCTTTCCATAGCCATCCCCATCTGCCCCAATTAATATTAGGTTGTATTCAAGATAGTGTTAAGGCTGGGAGACCATCAGCACAAGGATTTGTGTGTGAGCGAGAGATGGAACATTCTCTCCCTCTTTTCCCCATGTGTTCCCCCCTAATCTGTTCTGGTGGTTCCCCTGATGCTCCGGAGCTGATTTGGAGATGGTATGGGAGAAGGAGGAGGAAGAAAATTTGTGCCAGTGCTAATTTTTGCACTGGCGTAAAAAGTTAGCTGAATACCTCCCACTGTTCATTCATTCTGCTCCAGCATAAAGTGGCAACAACTTGAGGAAAATACAGAACAATCTCCAGTTTCCTTAGACTTCTTCTGAGCATGCCATCTTGTCTAAGTGTTATCAGGCTGTGCCCCCAAATACTCACAGGAAATCTGGACGTAGTGTTTTCACTACAGTGTGTTACCTTTATGATTGGACTTGCTCTCTCTCTCATCCTTGCCCTTTCCCCCCATCCCATAGGACTACATATCAGATGAAGATTTTCTTGCTGTCTTTGGAATGTCCCGACAAAACTTTGCTGCCCTTCCTCAATGGAAGCAACAGACTCTCAAGAAGGAAAAAGGACTTTTCTAAAAATGTAAACTTTCTGCTGTCATTGACTCAAAGTGGATATTTTTACTTAAAATAAAAATAATTCCAAGTTTGTTTGGAGTGTGCCAAGCATTTTCTGCCACTGGATTATATGCAGCAACAAAGGGGATTCTATTCATTAACCCTACAGGTGGTCAAATTCTGAGTTACTAGAAACAGAGGGCAGCCCAGGCAGGAAAAAGGAGCCTTTAAAACTTGTGTCTGCCCACTTGAGTCTCATCTTTCTCCACCTATGAAACGAGGTAGTGATTTATTTTAGTGAGTCACCAACACCAGGCTGTCTTGTAGCTGATCACCCCATTTCCCCCTTGATCTTGCCTTCTCTGAATTCCTGAATAAAATTTGGCACTTCCACATTGTTTTCCCCAATATATCTGCAATGACATCACTAAGATCTACATTATGTATGCTCAGTGTTGACAAATTTCTGCAGTTTTGTTTTACCAACCCCAGTACTATACTATAAGGGGGAGTCCCCCTACCCTGCCCCTGTGAAACAGGAATTGATGCAACTACATTTCCACAAAATTTTAAATTGTTTCTTTACATACACACCAATTTCCATGGTTTTTCTCTGAATCCAGAAGTGCAGAGTGAATTCCAATTCACTTGCACACAGAAGTGTGGTTTTTGATCACATTTAGTGGGCTAGGGCTAATCATAGGAAATTCAAATAAATTTTACAGAAAATTCATGACTCCAAATTCCCATTATTCAATAATCACATATGAAAATGTCGACAACAGGACTAGCAACTGCAGTTACTTCCATTTATCAGGCTTTAAGCAATGAGTAGAAGAGCAAGCTGAAGTTTCCGTAATGAAAAGTATTCCATATGGCTTACCATATGCATTTTATAATGCAGATACATAGGTCTTCAAAATGAGGACCTGCCCCCACTTGAGAAGCAATTTACCATACCTTACCTTACAGGACAAAAGCAGAACTAGGATGGATTTTCCTCAGGCAGTTGCTGTTGTGTCTCAAGGAGCTAGACTTTGTTCAGAGAATGGTTTATACCTATTCCATACTGGCAGAAGTAGCACTTCATTTCTCTGAAGGGAAATGCAAGAACAACTGCACATTTGATGGCCTGGTGACTTTCTGAGAAAGTCAGCTTTCTAATGCATATTTCTTTCCTCTATGGATCAAAATGGCTTTTCGAAACGTATCTTCTCTAATAGATTTACGCTTAAAATGAAACTAAGCCAAGCACACTAGGGACTGTATCAAAAGCTTTTATGCAAGCAGGACTTCTCCTTCCTCTCCTCTCCCCATATGCTCTCAAAATCTGCTCTGAGAGTCCTCCAACCCTCTGGAGCAGATTTTGAGGGTCCGGGGGGGGGGGGCTAGAGGGGAGAGGAGGGGAAAAGTCCATTACGCAAGCGGAAGCCTGCTGTACTAACAAACCAGCTGTGTTGGATACAAACCCCAAGGAATGGAATACGTTTTGAAGAATCATAAAAATAGAAGGCCATAAATTTAGAGTATCAACTGCAACAACAATAAACAGCAGTGAAATCTGAGAACCATCCAACCCTCTCAAGCATATTCTGAGGGTGTGCAATGCACTGCAGAGGGAGGGGAAGAATGTAACTCTGTGCTAAACAAAGCTGTAAGACACCTGAATTTTTTTTAAAAAAAAAAAAGAAACGAGATTCAGCATTAATGAAGAGTGTTTAATTTCTCTGAAATCAATCTACACATCATTTAAAGAGGAAGAAAAGAAGGCAGAATTTAGTAAAGAATACATAGAAACAAGTCTGCTAAAACACAGAAAAGTGCTGCTCCACATTAAGTGTCAAGGGACACAAAGTGACTCCCAACATTAAAAAAAAATCCCCAAGACAACTGCCTCAAACACACATGACAAGAACTCTCGCCCCAACTCACTCACTCCCCCTAAGTTTTTAGAGAATAACTTATTAAAGAAGCAGGGGAGCAAAGAAGTAGGTTAACACTGGGAAGTAGCATAGGGGCAACAACCCACCCACTTCATTTTCATTCCGAGACGGTTCACTCCCCATGTTACACTGGTTCAAAAAGAACACCAATTCTTGTACAGAAACTCAGCTCCGCATCTTACCCCAAACTCCCATCACAGGGATCTGAAAAATTCCATGGATTTCCAATGAAATACTATTTAATTATAATTAATCCAGCTTTAATTAGCTGCAGGGCAAGCAGGTTTTGTTAACCCATTTAGTACTTGAAAGACCCTGCATGCCTGAAACAAGTAGTACACCTTATGCTGTTGACTCCCCCATGGTGGAAGGGGGCGGGGAGCCCAGGATAGAGAAATCACTGGAATCCTCTGTATCTTCAAGGTTATTTCCACAGACTCCATTTATAAAACACTGAGCATTCATCTTCCAGTAGTGAGGGCAAAACTGATGGGACAGATTTAACTTTAAGTGAAACACTGATGCCTAATGCCCTATATTTGCATGCTTAGGTTTTCAATTTCTAGCCCATGGCTAGAAAGAACAAGCTTTTTTTATATAAGGAAAAATCTTCATTAAAAAATAGGTGCATGGTGATTTCTAAAGTTTTCTTTAGCAAACAACCTGAGCTATTTTATTAATCCAGCTATATACAGGATTTGTTGGGGAGGGGTGGAGGTTATGGAGAGTTTAGTTACTTAGTGCAAACACATATATGGCTATTTTTCTTTATCAAAAGTAAATATAGCAGAAAAATACAGCAAAAATAGGGCAAATGTAGAAAAGTGAGGTTTAAAATATGCAGGCATGAACCAAACTATAAATTCTATTGGGTGAACTCATGTTTAGTTGCTTCCTTCTTTTGAACCCAAGAATAATGTCTCAGAAAGTTACATATCACACCGCTCTAAAAACAAACCTTCCCTTTAGCAGGCAACAGGATTCTAAACAGCAGCAGGAAGCCACTGCTGTTTAGGTCCCCAAAGTTTCTGTATTTCTCAAGATGATCTATAGTACAAAATGCTATAAACCACATACTTAAAATTTGGTTCTAAATGTAATCCTGAATGGCCGAGAAAACTGTACAAACGTAAACTCTTGCACAGTTTCAGCACTTCATGTTAAAACAGTAGACAATAAAAACTGATTAAGTTTAAAATCTCCCTCGCACAACACATTCTACAGATTTTAATGGACTGCAAATGCCAACAAGGATGTAAATGTAAATTTACATATATAGAGGGAGCGCTAGATAGTACCTTCCTTGCCAGCACATTTCACCTTAGGGGGCAAAAAACTATTTAGAAAGTTGCCATAGCTTGACATAATCACTGGCTTACAATCACTTCTGGCTAAGTTGCATTCTCAATACTAGATGAAGCAAAAACATATGATTGCTCTAATGAGTCCACATTCCTGACAATTCGGATGACTCTGAACCTGAACCTGGATGCTCTATACTGTCTTATTATGACACCTACCTATAATATTTTGACTGTAAATATGGGAGTTAATTTATCTTGACCATGCTATCAATATGAACCTGTAGGTGTCATGACAACTACTTAATGCGTTTATCTGGGAGTTTCGAGGGAGAGGTGGCGGGGGGGGGGGCGGGGGGCGGGGAGAGATGGACAGCACTACCTCAGAATCAGTAAGAGATGTACAGCCTTACTCCAGAACAGTATTTCGTTTTGAGGTTCCTCTTTTGCACCTAAAGAAAAAACCCTTATTCCTTCCTAAAAATGCATTCAAATAACTCTGACCATCAACAGTGCAAAATCACGATAGAATAAATTTAAACACTATGCTTTTGGCAGTATGACTTGGGAGAACTTTTGTTTGGTTTGGCAGATTAGCCAAGCAAATAATAAAGTTATCACCCTACTACTACCCTTGACACAGCAAATGTCATTCAGAGTTGCCTAACACAGCCTGTAGTTCTATAAGCCCTGTAGGGAAATCCTTCCACAACAGGTAATACCTGTTGCCTACTAATGCCCATGGTTTGTGTCTTCTAGTCAAAGGATTCTATTTCTTAGGAAGTTCTAATTGTAATTAAAAACAATTGCCAAGAAGGGGGGACGACAACCCTCTCAACACCTGTTAACCTTTTCAAAAGAAAAGTCTGAGTTTGGGGCAAACCAAGAGGCACCTCAATTATTAGCAATTTTATTGCCACAAAAGTAAAAGTGAAAAAACTGGAATAAATTTCCAGTATTAAAATGAGGAACTGAAACAAATTAATTCTAGATAGTATTTTTCTTGTTCTTTTTGTCAAACAAGCTTCAAAATGAATTTCGTGTTATCCAAATACTATTAAATAACCAAACCCTAACATCTACACCCTGAAATGTCTCGAAAACATCAAATAACCACTTTTGAGAGTTCTCTGATTTTTTCAACTGATTTAACTGCACTTACCACACAACTAGAATAAATCCAGGTACATTTTAATATTTCATCTGTTGGCATACAACTCTTGCCCAACAGAGTAAAGCTGGGAAAGATATCACACACACACACACACCTTTCAAGCACGTGCAGTTTTTCAGGGCTGAAAGCCAACACAAACACAGGGAAAACAGAACTCTTGTTCGTGCTTCATTTACTGATTAGCTGGGCACTGGTAAAAAAAGGCCTGCCAAAAGCCAGGACTTGTACTTCCAGTTAGCTGCCTCTCTCATTGCCAAACCGGGACAGTCTTCAGTGAAACACAGCTAATATATATCTAGATATATATACACAGACTAATACAGATTATACACACAAATGCTCACAGAGAAATAAAACCTTTCTGCAAATGGCAGTACTTAGAAAAGAACACAGTCAAAAAAGAATAAAAACTTTAAAAATTATATATATATATATTTATATAGTATATATTTTAACTTTAAAAACAAGGACGAAAGTGAACTATGTGAAGATGCAATCCATGGGTTCCAAAGCACCGACAGTTTGTTTCCTGGATCTGTGTGATCCTTTATTAAAGACCATGGGTGTCCCAGTTTCAGCAATGCCAGGGTACTCCATTTAGCTGAGTCAGCCTTCAGCACTTTCCAATTCACGTTATGTACACAATATTTACCAGATTCGAGACTATTGCTTATTTTGCTCTCGTGTAGGGAAAGCATAGAAAACCACCGAATATGTAGCATCTTCTCAGTTTCCCTGTGAGAGGTAAATGGGTGAACTTGCAGTCGCTTCTCACACCATCCTTTTATGAGTTTTTAAAGGAGCCATTCAATCCTCTGGCCTGATTAACGCCATGGCTGCTGGCACAATTATTCCTTGACTATTTAAAACAAAAGAATAAGAAGGAAACTCCAGGTAAAAGAAGCTTAGCTGCATGGTTGAAATTCAAAGGGAAGGCGTGAAGTGGTCCATTCCTCCTATTCCATGGGGTTGTCTCAACTACGCCCTGAGTTCTCGGGGGTTTGTGGCTCTTGCATGTCAGACAAAAGTTCAGAAATCACTTGTGCTCAGTTAAAGCGACGTGCTTCAAATGGGCTGCCGAACTGGCTTCCCCACCTCTGTGCAAGGCAGCTGCATATTCTTTTCCGTTTCTAGCAACTCATCAAATATCTCCCTGGGAAACACAAAAGAGGTTCATGTCAAAGAAGAAGGAAAGCTTTTAATGGGGAAGCAAAGCTGTAGAGCAGGGGTAGGAAACCTTCTGGGCCTAGTGAGCCAGATGTTTATCTTCCTGTACCCCACGGGTGGGGCCACTCACCTGTCAAACAGCTGACCTCATGATGACATTAGATGAGTGATAGGTGAGAGGTCCCATTTACTAGTCAAAGCTGGCCAGCCAGGGTTAGGCTGCTGCTGCTGCTGCTTGTGTGAGTGCTGTGAAGACCGCTCCCTCCCCTGCCAACTCCATCCGGCCTAGGGGGCGGGGCCTGCACTCACCGCCACAGCATAAGAGGCCTGAGGCTTCCGGGACACGGCTGCTGCTGTTGCTGCTTGCGTGAGTGCTGGGAAGACTGCTCCCTCTCCTGCCAACTCCATCCGGCCTAGGGGGCGGGGCCTGCACTCACCGCCACAGCTTGAGGGCCTCCATCAAGGCCTCCGGGACACGGCTGCTGCTGCTCGCGTGAGTGTTGGGAGGACCGCTCCCTTTTCGGCCAACTCCATCTGGCCTAGGGGGCGGGGCCTGCACTCATCGCCACAGCATAAGAGGCCTGAGAGAGGCCTCCGGGACACGGCTGCTGTTGCTGCTTATGTGAGTGCTGGGAAGACTGCTCCCTCTCCTGCCAACTCCATCCGGCCTAGGGGGCGGGGCCTGCACTCACCACCACAGCTTGAGGGCCTCCATCAAGGCCTCCGGGACACGGCTGCTGCTGCTGCTGCTTGTGTGAGTGCTGGGAAGACCGCTCCCTCCCCTGCCAACTCCATCTGGCCTAGGGGGCGGGGCCTGCACTCATCGCCACAGCATAAGAGGCCTGAGAGAGGCCTCCGGGACACGGCTGCTGTTGCTGCTTATGTGAGTGCTGGGAAGACTGCTCCCTCTCCTGCCAACTCCATCCGGCCTAGGGGGCGGGGCCTGCACTCACCACCACAGCTTGAGGGCCTCCATCAAGGCCTCCGGGACACGGCTGCTGCTGCTGCTGCTGCTGCTTGTGTGAGTGCTGGGAAGACCGCTCCCTCCCCTGCCAACTCCATCTGGCCTAGGGGGCGGGGCCTGCACTCACCGCCACAGCTTGAGGGCCTCCATCAAGGCCTCCGGGACATGGCTGCTGCTGCTGCTGCTTGTGTGAGTGCTGGGAAGACCGCTCCCTTTCCTGCCAACTCCATCCGGCCTAGGGGGCGGGGCCTGCACTACAGTTTAGAGGCCTGAGCAGCTACCGGCAGCAATGGACAAAATGGTTTAAATGTTTTAATCGCTTTTAATTTGCAGCACCTTAAATGGTGGTTGTTGTTTTTTATAATATTATATTATTTCATTATTTTATTTTTGCTTGGGGTGGGATAAGCATTTAGTCAGCGCTATTGTTTCTTGCTTTGTTTTGTTTTATTATTATTATTATTCTGTTAAATTATTATATAGTTTGTATTTTGCCTTTTAAGGGGAAGGGTCATGGCTGCCTGGGAGTGGGCCTCAGCCAATAGATTGGGTGGGGCAGGTTCCACAGGGGGGGATGTATTGGGACACCCGATCTCAGTGATCACGGGCAGGAGGAGGAGTTATGCTAAGACCAGACCATGTCATTACCGAGGAGGCAGGTTTAGTCGTTGTTTGAGGACTATCCCTGCCTCCAGGTCTGGTCCTGACCGGAAGGATACAGTAATCAGCAAGGGAAACCCACATGACCTGAAAGTGTTGCTGTGCAATGCCAGGTCAATGATGAATAAAACCACTGCCATCCACGACCTGATTGTGGATGGAGGATTTGACCTGGCATGTGTGACAGAGACCTGGTTGGATGAAGCAGATGGGCCTGTCCTTGCCGCTGCTTGCCCACCAGGTTTCTCTTACGCACAGGTCATGTGGGCGGGGAGGGGGGGTTGCAGTGATTTTGAGGAAGTCATTAGTCTGCACCAGGCGTCCTATTGGGAAGACCCAGTTTTCTGAGTGCATGTTCTGGAAGTTGGGTAATAGGGGCAGTACAGGATTCCTACTGGTGTACCGACCTCCCCGCTGCACCAAGGATTCCCTGCCCGAGCTGCTTCAGGTTGTGGCAGATATGCTCCTGGAGACACCTAGCTTGGTTGTCCTGGGGGATTTTAACATCCATGCCGACACGACCTTACAAGGGGCCGCTCGGGACTTCGTGGAAAGCATGGCCTCCATGGGGCTGTCCCTGAATAAGTCTGGCCCAACTCATAGCCACGGGCATGCCTTAGACTTGGTGTTCACCTCTATGGATGTTGGTGATCTGACACTAACTAAAAGCGAAACAAAAGAAGTGCCATGGTCAGATCACTTCCTGGTGCATCTGGACTTCTCCGCAACCCTTCCCCTCTGCAGGGAGGTGGGACCGATTCGGATGGTCCGCCCCCGCCACTTAATGGATCCAATTGGCTTCCAGAGAGTGGTAGGGGATGCTTTATCCCAAGTTGATGGCCTTTCAGCTGATTCCCTGGTGGCACGCTGGAATGCGGAGTTAACCAGGGCTATTGACTGTCTGGCTCCGAAGCGCCCTCTCCGATTACATGGAGCCCGGACAGCCCCGTGGTTTTCCCCGGAGCTGAGGGTGATGAAACAATCGTTGAGACGGCTAGAGCGCCGGTGGCGGAAAACTCATTCTGAATCAGACCGGACACGGGTTAGAGCTCAACGTCGAGCCTACCAAGTGGCAATGGCGACGGCGAAGAGGGCCTTCTTCGCCGCCTCCATTGCATCTGCAGAAAACAGCAGCAGGAGACTTTTTCAGGTGGTTCGCAATCTATCGGAACCACCTGTACCACCGGGGCCTGGTAGGGACCCCAAGATCTCCTGCAATGCTTTTGCAAAGTTTTTTGCAGATAAAATCGCTCAGATTCAGAAGGAGGTAGACTCCACCGTGGGAGCAGGGCCAGGGTGGGAGAGTGCTGGAGTTCTGTCTGGTCCTGTTACATGGGATCAATTCCAATCTGTTACCTCCGAGGATGTGGACAGGCTGCTTGGACAAGTGAAACCGACCACCTGTTTCCTTGATCCTTGCCCATCTCGCAGCTGAAAGAGGCGGTCATTAAACCGCTTCTTAAAAAAACATCTTTAGACCCGGCCAATTTGGCCAACTATCGCCCAGTCTCAAATCTGCCATTCTTGGGCAAGGTGATTGAGAGGGTGGTTGCTGAACAACTCCAAGCACGCCTGGAGGAAACGGACCATTTGGATCCCTTCCAATCGGGATTCAGGCCTCACCATGGGACTGAAACTGCCTTGGTCGCGCTGGTTGATGATCTCCGGCGGGCTAGGGACAAAGGTGAGAGCTGTTTCCTAGTTCTGCTGGATCTCTCAGCGGCCTTTGACACCATCGACCATAACATCCTTCTGGACCGTCTAGAGGGGCTGGGAGCTGGGGGCACTGTCATACAGTGGTTTCGCTCCTTCCTCCTGGGCCGTGTCCAGAAAGTGGGGGGGGGGGGTTTGAGTGTTCAGACCCCTGGGCTCTCACTTGTGGGGTGCCTCAGGGTTCTGTCCTCTCCCCCATGCTTTTTAATATCTATATGAAGCCGCTGGGAGAGATCATCAGGGGGTTTGGACTGGGTGTTCATCAGTATGCAGATGACACCCAGCTCTACCTCTCCTTTAAATCAGAACCAGTGAAGGCGGTGAAGGTCCTGTGTGAGTGCCTGGAGGCGGTTGGAGGATGGATGGCGGCTAACAGATTGAGGTTGAATCCTGACAAGACAGAAGTACTGTTTTTGGGGGACAGGAGGCGGGCAGGTGTGGAGGATTCCCTGGTCCTGAATGGGGTAACTGTGCCCCTGAAGGACCAGGTGCACACCCTGGGAGTCATTTTGGACCCACAGCTGTCCATGGAGGCGCAGGTCAATTCTGTATCCAGGGCAGCTGTCTACCAGCTCCACCTGGTACGCAGGCTAAGACCCTACCTCCCCGCGGACTGTCTCGCCAGAGTGGTGCATGCTCTAGTTATCTCACGCTTGGACTACTGCAACGCGCTCTACGTGGGGCTACCTTTGAAGGTGACCCGGAAACTGCAATTAATCCAGAATGCGGCAGCTAGACTGGTGACTGGGAGTGGCCGCCGGGACCACATAACACTGGTTCTGAGAGATCTGCATTGGCTCCCAGTACGTTTCCGAGCACGATTCAAAGTGTTGGTGCTGACCTTTAAAGCCCTAAACGGCCTCGGTCCTGTATACCTGAAGGAGCGTCTCCACCCCCATCGTTCAGCCCGGACACTGAGATCCAGCGCCGAGGGCCTTCTGGCGGTTCCCTCATTGCGAGAAGTGAGGTTACAGGGAACCAGACAGAGGGCCTTCTCGGTAGTGGCGCCCGCCGTGTGGAACACCCTCCCATCAGATGTCAAAGAGATAAATAATTACCTGACATTCAGAAGACATCTTAAGGCAGCCCTGTTCAGGGAAGTTTTCAATATGTAATGTTGTACTGTTTTTAACACTGATTGGGAGCCGCCCAGAGAGGCTGGGGAAACTCAGCCAGATGGGCGGGGTATAAATAAATTATTATTATTATTATTATTATTATTATTATTATTATTATTATTATTTTCCCACAAGAAACCTGCAAGCAAAGCAGCACCTAGCAGGACTGAACTCTCTGCTCACCAGCTGCTGAGTGTAGGGTTCAATCATATTCTCTGCAGGGGACTACAGGGAATGTGCTGGTGAAGCAGTATCCAGTAGGATTGAACCCTGTTCCACCCAATCCATCAGCTGCCATCACACAGTGATATCAGTTGGCTGATAAGTGGGGATAGCCTCAAGGAAAAAACTGGGCCTCCTGGCAGGTCAAGATTGGCCTGTCGACTGGAGATTCCCCACCCCTGATGTAGAGGGTGAAAAAGACAGGCAAAATGCATGCAAGAGAATCTGCTCAGTTTCCAGAGTTACAGCCTCGCTATTTTGCACCTTCCCAGTCAAGGGGCTATAAAACAGGTTCCAATAATTCTTATAAGCTATTCAGGACCCTACTATAACTAGCAACTAGGAAAACAGGAATTAGAAACACATGAGCCCATTTTAGAGAATGCAAATGCAAATAAAAAAGGATTGGACCATTTGGGGAGGACACATAAAGTACATTTACTTGTGCATATAAAAGAAGATGTAGCCACTCCGGTCTCTGTCACTCTGCACAGAGGCTTCTTGAGTTCTGGATACTTCCAAGTCATTGTATGTGAACCATACTTGCTTGCGAATGTCATACACATCACTAATATAGTGACCTTCAATATGATGGGGGAGAAAGAGAAAGAAAATATTAGAACATCATCGACTGTAGCTTCCAGACTACATTACGTGTCAGAAGTATTTTCAAGCCAATTTGTTTATTAATTAATAAACTGAAAGACAATAACACTCCCTAGTACAAACTGCATTTTGCTATTTTGAAAATGATTGATTTAAATTAGCAAGATGAATTCCACTTAAAATAGCTGGTTTCTCTTGGATAATTATTTCTATGGGCTTCAGTGAGCTTAACTCAATTGCTGAATTTAGGCAACAACCCTGTTGGTTCTGGGAAAACTGATTTTTTTCCCCAAGCACACAAAATGAAATATTAACAATCTTCTTCTTTTTCCTCTGTGGTTTTGGTTGCTGAAAAAACACAAGAGACACACTTTTCCTGTAGAGAGCAGAGCTATCAAGGAAGTGATGTTTGCCTTACCTGAGGAGGAAGTGTCTCCAATATGGCTGACAACACTAATGAGTCGATAGGAGTTGGGCAGCTCTCCTGTCTGAGGAAAAAGTCAATTATTAGTTTAAGTTTGCTCTTCTACCAGACTGGGAAAGGTAGGTAGATTATGGTTTAGCTACCATAAAATCTTTATTGCGCCAAACACTGGAGCAAACCTTTTTATTGCTAATTTGCTCAGGTCAAAGCTTATGGGTAACTCAGGAGCAGAGAACATACAGCCTTAACTTCCTCTCATTTTTAAACTAGCTCTCATCATTGTTAAAACCCCAGAAACTGGAATGCCGTCAATGTGCCAATGCAGAGCTCCAAAAGGCTCAGTACGGAAACTCTGACCTTACTGGGTGTTACCTAGGTCACAGCCTACAATGCACTAACAGGAAGATTTCCTAGAGGGCATGTGTAAACCAGTAAACCAGCAGGGAGAGAGACAGCACAAAGAAACTATTCTGAAACATCAACAGAATACAACAGGCACAATAGCCAGAAAATTGTGAGGAAGAAGACTGTCTCAAACATCTCTACAGCAATATTCAAGATGTATGAAGGAACAGTGGAAAAATAATTGTTTGCCTGCATTCTCTAAAAGGGAAGGCTAGTTACTGTCACACTTCACTATGTTAAAAATTGGGTTTTAGGAATGCAGGTTGAAGGGCTTGTAAAACCTTTTCCTTTGAGTATAAAAATAACTTTTTCAATTTATACAGCAAACAAACAAAACAAAACTTCAACATAATACTAAACAGGTGCTTGTATGATTACTTCACAATTAAGAAACTTATCTTACCAATAATGTAATTACTGTGCTGCATGAAATACCAGCTTAATTAACCCAGGGATGCAGAGCCTGTGGTCCTCCAGACATTGCTACACTACAGCTCCCTTAGTTTCTGACCACTGGTCATGCTGGCTAGAGCTGATAGGAACTGGAGTTCAACAATCTATACAAGGCCACAAGTCCCCCCACCCCTGCTTAGCCAACAAATCAAGATGTGCATTTCCCCCACTCCATCCTTCTCCCTAAAGGGAAATTACTATTTCTCCACCCTCATCTCCAAGAGGAAGAGTAACTCATCCAAATGATGAGGCAGGCATTTAAACCCAAGTCTCAAACACCACCCACTGAGAGAACTTTACAAACAGTCTCAAAGATAGCTAAGGATATCATACCAAACAACCTGAACCATCAAAACAGAAAAGCTCCCCGTAAGCATTTATATATGCTTTTACTCCACGTATAGTAATAAAATGGGAGCTAGTCCCAATAGCCCAGACCATCACCTCAGCATTTCTTTTCAATTCCTCAGCTTCTGCTTCTGAGTACTCCATGTCCAGAACATCCTCATTCCCAGAGTCCTCATCAGAGCCAAGGCTGTCCAGAAGAGAGCTGTTAAACTCTAAACACCATGAAAATGATACTGTGTAAGACCCTTGATCATAAGCATATCACAAAACTGACAATATACCAGCACACCATTTATCCAAACTATTTCCCTCTCCTTTGCTAAATAAAGCACTGTAATAATGGGCATCAAGTAAATATTCTATATACAAACAGCAAATAGTTTCTGTATTTTCAATTTTATGCAAGGAAACATCCTTTTAAGGCTTCATTGAGGTACTGCTCTCAAATGTTGCTGCTCCAGTTAAAAGGTGGAATGCAACTAGTGTGTTAGCATCTTGCCTCTTCGCTCATGGCAAGAAGTGATCAAAATATAGAAATTTAATAGTTGCTGGACTGAGCAAAATACATGCAACTTTTTCTAAGTAGTGGGAAATTTTAAGCTTTGAGGCTCTGTAACATTTCCGCTTTAGTTTTCACAGAACTATCACCACCACCACCATCATCACAATAATAATACTCTGAAGCCAACTCTGCTTACTGCTAAATAAAAAAGTTCTGCTTTGAGTTAATTACTTGCATATGAAAGTTATGCCACTTGTCATAGCTTTTGCTGTAGATCACCTAAACCAGGATTAAACCCCATGTTGTTTAAGTTTTACAGATTTGGAAATTTGACATTCACATTTTTACCACTGACTCGGTAAGACAGGTCAGGATTGGTGGATCACAGATCAGCCTACATACAAGGCACAGTACAGTTGGTCAGCAGAACAAACTGAAAGGGAGAAGGAACCACAGAAAACAAGCCATGATTGCCTATAGAGCATTCTGCTACGCCCACAAATCCTACCAGCATTGTATCTACCTCTCTCTAGTAGCAAAAGCCTTCAGTAGAAAACCAGTACTTTGCATCTCTTAACTATCTGTGCTTTCATGGAGCAATGATATGAGTAAATTCCTTTATGTCCAGTAACTGTCTACCAAACAAACACATTTCCCCCTGTTGTATTCATTGGAAGGCTAAGAAAACTCACTTGGGGGAGAGCTTAAACCATTTACTTTTTACAAAGGCTTTTAAGCAGAGTTGCTGCCAAAAATTTGCAGAAAATGAAATTGGAATGTGAACTTAATGAGGATTCTCTGACAGAAAATGAGGAATTTCAAGGGAAGAAAAAAAGAAAGTATAATAAAACAATTCCACTGATCTGCATGTTGTGTTTCAGAGTTTACCAGCTGAATGTGCTTTTATATTGAACCTAAACTGGAAGGACTAGAGCACAAAGTAATACAAATGAGGCAAAGAACAAAATACCAGCTTCCTTTCAAGTACTGTGAGCAATTGTGGAATGATATGAAAACTCATCCCTATTTTCTCCTGTACATCTCACCTTGCAGACTTAATTCAGTGGCTCGTTTAAGGTCATCATCTTCTTTTTGTTCCCGCGCCTCCTGCTGGGGTAGAGAACCAAACTTAGTTCACTGAGACACTTCCTGTTCTTTTTATAGGTTCTCTGTTACTGCCACTGAGAACTATGCAACTCCAGTTTCTACAACAAACCTAATTCCCTGTGCAGGCACGTTTGAGACCAGCCAGAGCCCAAATGTTCCACAGGGCCAGCCTTAATTAAAAGGTTGTTCAAGTTGCTCAAGTTTGGTATGCAACACAGCAAGTCCCCAAGTGCCACAACAAGCTCTCTACAGCTTTTCTTTTGAAAAGTCTTGAAATGAATGTGAACTGCTTGCAAAGCACAATAGTTTTGAACAAAATTTCCCACAATGTAGCAAAACGTATGCTAATCTCTGCCTAAAGCTAAATGAGGACACAAGCCATTAATGAAGAATGGAAAAATCTGCTGCATTTAAGAAGAATTCTAAGAGTATCAGTGCTTGCAGCTTAACAAAAAACAGATTTCATCGGTAGGTGGCTCTGCATTCCCCAAAAGCCCTCTTACTTACTTCAATCAGGGCAGTTATAAGACAAACCCTTTTATTTTTAGAGTATTTTCCCTCATAATTCCCAATAATTCCCAATGACTATAATAATAATAATTTATTATTTATACCCCGCCCATCTGGCTGTGCTTCCCCAGCCACTATGGGCGGCTTCCAACAAAATATTAAAATACAGTAATGCATCAAACATTAAAAGCTTCCCTAAACACTACTATGCCTATTCAGCTCATCAGTTTGAAAGTATTCATGAAAGCTTTCAAATCCAGCTTTACAAAAGCTCTTCAATGCTCCCCACTCCCCGCCAAAGATTAGTAAACAAAGGTATCTTGTACCATGTTATGGAGCAGGCTAAAATAACCCCTCTTATACATCTTCTTAAAGGAGACACTAACTGTGCCCTGTGATTTCGTATCACCAGAGAAGGAATCTCTGGTTGGCTGCTTTGATTTCCAAGTGCTTGTGAAAGAGCATTGGCTCTTACTTGTTCTTGGAGGCTCTGAGCCAAAGCCTGCTGTAGCTCCTGTTCCTCTCTTTCTCGCTCCATGTCATACTGTTGCAGCCAATCAACCTCCCCTTGAGTGCCTTCCGGAGTTTTATTTTCCTTATTCTCATCAAAATCTTTAGTTATCTCAGGGAAGTTGGCAAAACCTATGGAAACAAAAATACCACGTTGATGCTTTAATTTTGTTTTTAGCAGCAGTTGCAGGGGGAACTTTTCTTGGTGGTCACCAGCTAAGTCCTTTTCATTCTACCCAAGTCTCAGGAGCAGAGTGACATCTACTGGTATTTCAGGATGAATTCTATCAAGCGGGGGGGGGGGGGAGTGTTTTCTGAAGTGAAGAACATTTCCCCACTTGATCAAGCCTTTAAAAATGAGTAGTATTAAGTATTTTAGTGTACACCTTTTAAAAAAATCACACTGAGCAAAGATTATTTGCACTTATGTGCCTGAAGTATGAAGCATGAGAAACCAAGCTCGCCCTAAACTTTGCCGTTCTGGACTTCTGATTTAATTTGGTATTCCCATTTTTTATTTTTACATTAAGTTTCTGAGAATGAAGAGAAATAGAAGGCAATTTTTGCATGATTCTCCACATTCTCTCAGACAAATGTCAAGTAAGGAAAAGAACCAGAGAAAGTTGTCCCCTATCTCCCTTGTTATTTTTCTTGATGTTAGAAATATTGCTTCAGAATATAAGCTGAAATGAAAGATATTGAAGTGGGATGTAGAGTCTATAAATTAAGGGCATTTGCTGATGATGTGGTGTTAACATTGAAACAACCATTGGAGAGCATTCCCAAACTGCTGGAAGAAATTAAAAGGTTTGGAGAAGTGGCAGGTTTTAAAATAAATTCAGACAAAATCAAAAGGTTGGTCAAAAACATGGATGTGCAGTTAAAAAAAGTTTTAGAAAGGTTGTCTGCTTATTTTGGAGTTGTTTGCTATAAATAATGTATATTATGTGAATAAAATAATAAAGGATTTTATTTAAAGAAGAGTGGAAAATGTTTATTGAATATATGGAAAATAATTGTACACAGCTGAAAACGCTGGCAGCATGAAGATAAATTCAACAAACAATATTTGATCAATGTAAAAGTGGAAAATTGATTTGAATGGTTATAGTAAAATAGGCAGGAAAGTATTATATATAATATAAACCATGGAAGGAGAAGAAGGGAAGTCATTGGATATTTTAAAGTTTGTAAAATGTTTTTGAAATGTAGAAAAATGATATATTATTTTAAAAAAAAACTGTTTGAAATGTTACTTTTACCTGGCTCTGCAAGGGCTTTAGGCTTCTCCACATCCATAGGTTCCATATGATCTGGCAATTCCTGCAGCTCATCATCTCCAAAGCCAGTGTCTGGACTATTTGTGGGCTTGTCTTCATCATGGCTCAGAGACAGTGATGTTTCCCTCTTACTGATTTCCAGGACTGCTGCTAGAAGTTCCTCCTCACTCATTCCATCAAAGCCAGCATTTGTTGGCTCTGAAGCCTTATCACTCTCTGTTTTGATTTTCTTTGAACCCTGCAGGTGATAAAGGCACAATGGTTTGGGTATGTATGGCTACCACAGAGGCTGAGCTAACCACTCACAAAACTAGTGCGACATTTTCTCGAGGGCCAAAGCTGTCTCTGATCACCAGATCTACAAGTGTCGGGTTTTCAGGACTCAAGAGGCACAGTTATGCCCTGAGAAGGGCTTCTCCCTTTGTTACCACCTGATGCATTGCTGCATACACTGCAGTGTATCTTTTCAGTGCATGTCCACACCAACTTATGGCTATTTGGAACTAATCTAGTATTTACACCAGTCCATGAGCCACTTCAAATGTTTGAAAATCTCTCCACACAAAGCAGCTCAAGATGAAAAGAATGTGTAAAAGAGCCAGAAGGTACCAGCAATGAGATGTCTGGCAATGTGAACCATGTTTTATGGACCTGTATTGCTCATTCCTCTTCAGGCTTTAGTGCCACTTGCTCCCAACTGGGCTGGCACCGGCCATAGCTTTTCACAGTTGTGCACACCCACACAGAGACAGGCAGATAAGACAGGAGGAGCGAGAGCGCACTTTTCCCTATTCCTGTCTTCTCAATCATCAGCTTTGCATATGGGCAATAAAGCAGCTTTCCTCAACCTGATGTCCTCTAGTTGTTTTGTATTCCAACTTCTAGCTCCCCCAACTAGGCTATACTGGCTGGGGCTGATGGAAGTTGTGGCCCAAAGTATATGAAGAGCACTAGATTGGGGAAGACAGGTAACAGAGCATGTTTGCTTCTCCTGCCCCTAACCCTCTCCTTACTTTCTCTAGTTCTTCTCGTTGCTGTTCCCTGCTTTGGAAATCACATTGTTTTTGGCTGTTTGCAACGGGACGTTTCAGCGGTTCATCTTCACTGTCTGAATCCAGGGTGCTTAGATTAGGACATTTAAACTTGAACGAGTACTTTCTGAAAAGTAAACACAGAACCTTTATTCCTTACCTTTGAAAAAGTCTGCCAGGGACAAATAACATCAGGTTAAAAAAGGAGGTTTCACATAACAGCTATACAATTTTAATACACAAATTCAAATAAATCCATCAACCTACTGCAATTCTACAGTTCAGTTAACACTGACGCTTAACAATAAGATATTAAAAATTTCTTAATCCACATTTAGAATGTTCTGCACAAGGTAAGGATTAGTATTCCTGCAGCTCTTGAGCACCAAGATTACAAACTTCCGTCTGGTTCAATGGCATTTTCCAAGTCACTGATGGTTGATGGTGGTCACTCAACAACTTTTTTAAAAAATGGTTTGGTAACCAGCTCAGCAATTTTTAACTGGTTCAGATATAATATACAAAGGGCAAATCCACATCATACGTGTAAAGCACATGACCTTCCCCAAAGAATCCACTGTAATTCCTCCCTCACAAACAGAGCTAAAAGTCCAAACACCCTTAATAAACTACAGTTCCCAGGATTGTTGGGGGAAGCCATGAGCAGTAAATATGCTTTAAGTGTACGGTGTGGATCTGCTCATAGAATGCTTCATGCTAAAATTTACTATTTCAGTGTAATCCATATAAAATACATGACACATCCTTTTCACTTGTCATTATGAATATGAAATGAGCTGGGTCAGTCGGCTTGGAAAGCTGTGCATTAAGAAACCAAAATGTTTTGCTGAAGCCAGGTGCATTTGGGAGGGAACATGGCTCACACAGGAACATGGCTCATTCCCACAGAGAGGAGAAACAATTTGTCAGACTGGGATTGTTTCAGACAGGGTCTTAGCTTGAAACAGCCACAGCAGTAAAATATTATTTTTATCTACAATTTAACCAAGTGGAGAAAATACAGCTACCAAATGTCCAACATGCTTCAGCCTGCTTGCTAATCCCCACACTGAATTAATCTGATTATAAAAGCAAGGATGTACAGTAAAAAAGTAAGGGGAATCAGGGTTGTTTTTGTATACTTATTCACTGCAGGTTCCATAGCCATGTAAACCTGTTACTTACCGACAGGGCGTGAAAATGCTGGCAGAACAGGAATTCACCATTTGGGATACTTTCAGTGGTCGAGAGCTAATTAAAACAAAAGCAGATGTTTACGGTATGACATTTGAAAGCCTACTATGCATGACCATTTTGATGGTGACCCCAAACTCTAGTCTATATCTTTAAAGAAATGTGACAAGAGACCTTTGCAATACAATGCTACAAAATATATGTTAAAATACCTTATCCCTTTACACTTTTTGCAATGGGCACTGCTGAAGCCTGTTCCTGTCTAACTAATTTTTCCAAATCTACACTTTATAGTTATCCTCATTCTTGAGCAATCCCCAACTAGCACCCTCAATTAACTTTATTCAAGTTCCTTGTTATGTCCTGGAAGTCACAGACCAGCGAGAACGACCTGCAGAACAGGACAACTGAGTCAAACCTCTAAGATCAAGTTGGTTAAATGCAATATAAAAAGGAAATGATCACAACCTTTTCCTAAAGAAAAGTATCTATCATGAAGTATTTCAAAGATGTTTGTAGGCTTGTAGGTAAAGGAGGAATAAAAGGCGTAGCTTACATTGCTGACTGTGCACTCCACCCCAGATTAAGTGGGGACCTTGTGCTTTCTGTACAGTGTGACTGCAGGGTTAAAAATCTTGGTATAACCACTTGCTGTCCAACTTTGTGATTGAGGGAGTGTGCCACATTGAAGCTGTACCGTTTCAGGTGAAGAATCAAGACCCTTCAAGACACAAAAACAGTTGGAAACTTCATAAATGTCTTTTTAAGAAAGATACAAAGTTGTTGTTCATTCCCAGACAGAATACTTCTCCCGCAACACAGAGACCTGGTGCTCTTTCCCCAGCTTGCTATCAATACATAGTAAAACTGTGTGGGTGGGAAAGGTCATAAGAATATATAGTTTTTCATCTAGCATCAAAGTATGCCACAATTTTTGTTAGAATGAGAATTCTGCAGCTGCAAGTCCCTTCTGTCAAACAGGGATGCTATAAAGCATTCTCAAGGCCATCTACTGAACTCCTATTTTCAGGGCTAACATTATTTTGTTCTCATTTACAATCGAGCAAGGCAGCCACTTTTAAACCAATATTAAACTTTTACCCATCATTCATTTTGTTCATCTTCTATATATCCTGAAAGTTACTAGTATTTTCATACAATTTTGTACCAAGCCCATATACCTACCTGGGAAACCGACTGAATTTGTGTGTAACAAGAGCAGATTTTCCATTGCATTTCTCGCAAGAATATTCTATCTCCTCGGCCTAAGAGACATAATACAAACAATGAATACAATACAAGGATTGTAATCTATCAAACTTTATTTTAGGAACAGGTAACTTTCTATCTCAGAAGTGCAGAGACCCACTTTCTATTTCAGAATGCAATTGGCAAATAAATTGTATGGCTCACATCGATTATAGTGCTCTGCGGGAGGCTGGTGTCTGTCTAGCGCAGAGGCTACCCTGTGGACTCCAGCTTTATGGGAACTATAATCAGCTCAGATATATGACTAAACCCAACAGTATGGCAGCACTGAAAGAAGTGTTTTGTTCTATCAATCAGTACAAACCCATGCATCTTCATTCAGCAGTTGCTCTGCTTTGAAAGGGGTTTACTCCCAGGTAAATGTGCAGCATAGGTTTCATTAATGTGATTGGATACTGCTGAGGTCTGATCAGCATATGTGTTAGATATTGTTGGTTCGAATTTTGCTACTGGTCTCTAAATGGTTACATAAGTTGCCTTGAACGTTCCAACTAGCTATTCTGTGAACCACCCTGAGACCCCCGGGTATAGGGAGGTATATAAATTCAATAAATAATTAGGATAATAGTGGGACAAATAAGCTTAGTGTTGGAAAGGTAGCTTTGCCAAGTGTGGGGTCAAAGCTGAGCGGTGTAGAATCAAGTTATTTCTTCTCATTATGTGTTCTCTGCACTATTACCCAAAGTAAGTACTACAATATACTTGGAGAAGTGTCGCTTATCTGAGATTCAAACACAAAAACTAGACAGACGATTCTAATATTCCTAACCAAGGGCAAATTCTCCTGTACTTGGCCACCTAGTGTCAAAGGTAGATTTATATACCAATTTTCATTGACTCTCTCTCTCATTCCACTCCCCATCTCCGTGCATAATTCACAAAGGCCTAAATTACTTAGATCCAGTTCCTCGTGCTCTACCTGGATCACTGAGAGCCTCTGATGAGGCACTTCTGGTGGCTCCCCATGCCCCTGTGATTCAGTTGGCCTTTACTAGGAACCAATATTTTAAGAGCTGATGGGGAACCCATGCAAATCTATGCATTCATCCTTAGCTTTGCATGAAGAAAAGAATGGATAGCAAGAAGTATTCAGACACTTCGATGGTGAGATGAGGGGGGAGGATCTGTTAATCAAAGATATGCTGAATGATATTAAAAAGCCTTGTATATTGCATACCCTAAAAAAGAGGTCCAAGGAATCTTGGATAGATCGAGACGGATGAAGTTTTTTTCTTCTTGGAAAGTCAATTGAAAGGTCATTAAACTGCTCCCGTTTGGTGACTGTTTCACCGCACCTGCATTGAAAAAAAAATGTCCTTGTGTATTTTAGTCTACCCACATATTCCCTATTCATTACAAGTTGTATTAGTAACTCATAAATATATCCAAATTTCTGAGTATATGAGTCATACTCAGATATCTTAAGAATAAGCATTACATAAAAGATGTAATACCAGTCTGTAAAAAACCATGTAGAATAAATAAATAAATACATATTTACATTCCACCTAAACATTAGGAAGAACTTCCTGACAGTAAGAGCTGTTCGACAGTGGAATTTGCTGCCAAGGAGTGTGGTGGAGTCTCCTTCTTTGGAGGTCTTTAAGCAGAGGCTTGACAACCATATGTCAGGAGTGCTCTGATGGTGTTTCCTGCTTGGCAGGGGGTTGGACTCGATGGCCCTTGTGGTCTATTCCAATCTATGATTCTATGATTCTATATTTTGGCATATATTTAGTGGAAGAGGTAAGAGAAATAGTCTCACTGAATTAACTACCAAAGATAGAAGAGGATATGTAATTGAAGCAATGAAACATAAAACCATGTTTATATTAATAGGAATTCTATAAACCAATTTATATTAATAGGAATTCTATATTGCTGTATTTTGTAGTTACTTTATTTAATATTATAAAAACCAAAATAAACATTAAAAAATAGAATAGGATATCAAAAAGAGGTCCAAACTGCAATTTCTTTGACAACAATAGCACTTATTAAAATGAAGTAGTTGTTTCTAACATTAACATTACAAAAGAAGGGTGGGAGAAAAGTAGAAATGTATTTATCATTTGGGGCAAAAGAGCTAGAATTACAAAGGGAATGCCTAGTAGTAATGGGTATTACATGACAGCAGCATAGATGGTATAGCTCTCTAGGCATGAGATCCAGCACCACCCCAATGGATGTGATGGAATTCCTCTTCCCACCCACCCTGACTTCTGGAGCAGATTTTGGGGGAGCAGAGGAAAAGGAAAGGAGGAGACAGAAGCGTAGAACAATGAAACAAGGGGGGGAAACTGTTAAAATACTTACATTTTACATATGATAGAATGTTGAACTTCAAATTCTAAGTTTGCAATTACTGGGCATGTGTACACTCTGGTGGCTGACAAGTCATCAGATATACGTCCTAGAGAGCTGTCTTCACCAGATATTGGCTCAGTCTTCCAAGTTTTGTTCAGCTTCTCCACATCCTCCTTCAGCTGATCCAAGCACTGACTTAAGAATTCATGAGCATCCTAAAAACATGTATACATTTCCTTAGAATAGTGACTTTCAAGACCCATTCACACATTTATTTAAATGTATCTTATATATAAACCAAATTTACCTCAATTTCTTGAAGAGGGTAAGGTCCCAAACAATACATTCATACCAGAATCTACATATTCAAATCAATTTGAATTACAAATATCCCAAATAACTAGGTTTTAAAACATAGTTTTAATAAAACCTAAAATTCTCCTCCTTACTAGCTCTGCGTATTTGTGGTTTTCATTTCCCCCAATACGTAATCACAACTTTGTTTATTTAAGGTGAAAAAGAACAAAACAGAAAAAAGATCTAACTTTAACCAAACAAAAGCAAATTAAGAGAGAGGCTAAAGGAAAAAAAGAATGCAAAAATTAATAATAAACTAAACATTTTACTAAACCAAAACACACATTATGTGTATACAGACACGGGACCAAATGCATCTCATGCTTAAAGGGTATTTTTCAGTGGGAAATTATACAATTTTATGCAGCTCTTTTTGCATCAATATTTCCATAGTTGGTCACATCACTCCTTAAAATACTTCAGCTGCTAGAAAGCGAAATACTTACATTTTGCATGTAACCAGAGAATCTCTCTGCAGTAGCTGAAATTGCATTTTTCACCTTCTTAAGTAGGTCTTTCTTTACTTCAGGGCTACAAACATCTTTTTTAGCAAGTAGATGGGTAAAGCGCCTGGACAAATTAATGCAGTGACATTTAAATGTCAAAAAGCAAGTTAGGCATTGTTTAATGCTAAAAATATCTGCAAAATTAACCCTTAGAAATTTGTTCACACTCCTTAGAAATTTGTTCACACTCCTTCCCATTATATTGCATGTATTTTAAAATCAACTCACATAAAATATGTTATGCTTATTAGCAGGATCTTGTATGAGCAGTAAAAAAACGACTGGCCCAATACCCTTTTTATAGGAATGTATTATTCAAACTTTGGTATGCCCCTCTCCACATAACCAGGAAACTTATGACTTACTGTTTTTCTAAGCATCCATTTATTGTGCTTGCAAAACTTTTTCAATACAATGCACACATCTATTCATTACCATAGCAAAGAAAGAGGAAAAAGCAGAGGCTCAATAAATGAGGAACTGCAGTAATAAAAGCAGCAACCTTAGAAAATATAGGACTTTATCAAAAATATATGCAAGAACAGTGCTACAAATCTGAATGCTTCTTTTCAAGCTGTACTAGGAAAAAATGTTTACTTAACTCACAAAGCTGGTGCTTACCTGATAAGTGCATTGTTTGGAACTTTTCTCCATGGAATATTTTGTTTCAAAAGATCATTAGCAAATGATTGAATTGAAAATAGAGATTGTAAAATAGCATTCATGTAACAGGTATTCCCTAAGTTTGTAAACCTGTAAAGAAGCACAAGGTGACACAATTGTTACATTGGAACATTTCCAACACAGATATTTTACACTGACTACAGAAGGTCAGCAAACTTTTTCAGCAGGGGGCCGGTCCACTGTCCCTCAGACCTTGTGAGGGGCCAGACTATATTTTGGAGAAAAAATAATGAATGAATTCCTACGCCCCACAAATAACCCAGAGATGCATTTTAAATAAAAGGACACATTCTACTCATGTAAAAACACGCTGATTCCCGGACCATACGCGGGCCGGATTTAGAAGGTGATTGGGCCAGATCCGTCCCCCGGGCCTTAGTCTGCCTACCCATGGACTACAGTGTGCACACACATGCATACACACACTGATTAGTAGGAGTCTGTCTGCTTGAAGTATGCAATGAATAACAATCATAACATTACACAACAGAGTGTGGAAAGATTTCTAAACAAACCTTTGTATGATGTTTATAGATAAGAGCCAATTAGACTCCAGATTCCATTTAGGCTTCTTAAGTAGTAGACCTGTACTTGTAAGGTCTATAAGCATGATCTTATAAACTGTCATCCAAACTACCCAGAAGATGCTTGTGACAAATCCATCTGAAGATATTATTAATTTTCTTCAAACATAACAAAAAATAATAATTTCTTTTTTACAAAAAGGCTCTTGAAACAAACCATGCAAGGAATGCAAAAGAGGGGGAAACTAATAGATTTGTCACACACTGAGATTCCTTATTATCACAGATTTTTTCTAGAAACCTGATGGGCAATCCTCAATACAAGGAATCATTACTTCACATGTTTAATTTGCAGACGAAGAGGTAAAAAAGGAAACAGAAGATGAAAAGATTTAGGACAATGGAAATACATTCAAAACCCTACTTGTAAAACAGGGCATGTTGTAAGAATGTAAGTACTGTATTTTTCTGTCTATAAAACACCCCATGTATAAGATGCCCCCTATTTTGGCGGACTTGGATTTAAGAAAATTGAGGGAGATGTATCCGTGTATAAGACGCCCCCTAATTTTTGACATTATTTTAAAGGGGAAAAATCTAGTCTTATACACGGGAAAATATGGTAACTCTGGTCCGCCCTTGCTCACTGTCTTAACAATCTACAAAGCTATTAAATTGTTAAATACTGAGTTTGCATGAACATAAGTGGCAGCCCCTGCTCAAAGGGACTCTAACTTAATGTTAAACACACAGCACAAACACGAAGAATAAGTTTTTAAAAATGAAGACATGGAGATATGGTGCTGGAAGGATATCTAGTTTTAGAAAAAGCTGACAAGTTGGATTTATTTCTATGTAACCAATACCTAAACTGAGCACACAGTGTGCCCACACACAGATACTGAAAATCTAAAAACTTACCCTTGCAGTTGCTGCTGTGGGTGAGTGGAAAGGGGGACTCGTGGCTTGTTCCATCCCATGTAATCCTGGTTAGGTCTCATTTTTTTAACAGAGAGAGGGGCTGGCTGAGAGAGAAACCCCAAGCTTCTTTTCGCAGAAGGAGTCTGATTCAACAGGTTAGTCCTATAAGGCGAGATGGATAAATAGCCATCAAATCCATCTCAAGAATAACAATGCCGGCTACTGCCACCAGTGATATAGCAGCAGTCATATTCCATGAGCATTGAGGATGCTTTGAATGGGGATGCATCAATAGGAAGTTATCACAAGGTGGACAGCCTCCCAAAATGTTTGTTCATTCTTCCTCTTCCTCTCACACATGCAGGATGCTTTGCATCCACAGAAGGGCCATATGTGATTATGAATCACATATATATTATTTTTTTTATAAAGATTTTTATTACATTTTCAGTTGCAAAGTCAGAAACGTATAATCACATTTATACAGCCTACAAAGACTCCTCTGAGTATTAGTCACAGACCCCACTAAAGAGCAACACATTTCCAGCTCCCTGTTGTAGATAAACTTGCTGGAAGTAGAAGTAAAAAGAATTCTAAATTCATTTTTCAACTTGCACAGTTTTTAAGTATGTATAACAAGTTCTCCTTAAAAATACTTTACTTTTGAAATAAAGCATTGTGAAATAAAATTGTTGTTGTTGTTATATTTGTATACCGCCTTTCATCCAAAGATCCCAGGGTGGTTCATAACAGAAGAATACAAAATACATAATGAAACAAAAACAAAAACCAATACCCCCCCCCAATACAGTGGTACCTTGGGTTAAGTACTTAATTCATTCCGGAGGTCCGTTCTTAACCTGAAACTGTTCTTAACCTGAAGCACCACTTTAGCTAATGGGACCTCCTGCTGCTACTGCGCCGCCAGAGCATGATTTCTGTTCTCACCCTGAAGCAAAGTTCTTAACCCGAGGTAATATTTCTGGGTTAGCAGAGTCTGTAACCTGAAGCGTATGTAACCTGAAGCATATGTAACCCGAGGTACCACTGTAAATAAATGCCATCTGTTCCCCAAACACTTAAAATATGTATACTTCCATTGCTGCTCACAGTGCTAAACATACTCCAGGAGAAGATGAGCAGAAATAAAATTTGGCTAGCATGCTGAATACCCCACAGGCATGGGAGTTTGAAGCATAATACATAGTTGTAGCAGATACTAGATGAAGCAGGCTAGACCAGTCTTAGCAAAAATAATACCTGCTTTCTATCTCTTTAACCCATGGATGTGATTACTGATCATACTGGATGAGGCTGAAGGGAGTTGTAGTCATAGAATCATAGAATTGTAGAGCCAGAAGGCACCCCAAGGGTCATCTAGTCAAATCCCCTACAATGCAGGAATCTGAACATGCTCCCCCCACATCCAATCTGAAACTATACTGGACCTTGCTTAGCTTTGCAAATGTACTAACCGTTTTATTGCTGCACCTTTGGCAGGCCACAGGTTACCACCCCTACTCTAATCTCCTCCTAGCTACAGCAACATGGAGTTTATAAATTATGGCCACCCATTCCAAGTTTCCCTTTGTGCACATTTCTGTAGACTATAATTAGTATTACTCTACCCAAGAAAGTTTAACATAAAGGTTTTCCTTGACTGTAGTGGCTGATTACTACCTTTTGGACAAGGCATTAGATGGCAGCCATAAGCCATATGCACCATTAGGTACTCTAGTCTTGTACATACTAAACAACCAAGAGGTTTTCTGACACTGTAGAAAAGGAGCTTCCCTGGCCGCAGCTAGTAGATGAGGAAGATGCAACAACCCAAGAGCCACAGTTTTTTTTGCTTGGGTACAAAGGTCTGCCAAAATGTCTTGCTGACTAGTATCAGGCTGATCTGCATGTGTGTATTTACCCATTTATACAGGACAGGGTATGAGCTCTTATATCACCTAGATGTATTCAATTAGCACAGCACCCAGCATTTTATGATTTGTTTACTCCTGTGCAGAAAACGTTTGAAATGGTGCTAGTAGTAACATAAGAAGCTGTTTTAATGAACCAACTACACCATTTAATGAATGGAGCACTCCAATGAACAAGAATTTGAAAGAAAATAGCCAAGGAATGCTGTACTTACCTGTCCAAATTAGAACTCCCAGCTGAATAATCCTTTGAAGATGATCTGCTTCCATAAAATGAAGAAGATTGTAAAGGCAAAACTCCTTAAAAGGAAAAAGAAATCAATTTCTGTAAGAACTGCCTTAGAAAGTAAACTATACAACTGTCCAACAGTCAACATTTCAAAGGAGATGCAACAATTAAACTGTGATTAGTTTCTGTCAAAGGCTTCATCCCTGCTATAAAATACTGCAATGGATATATCTGCTAGGCAAAATACAGATATTTCACATCATATGAACCTTGGGAATCTTTTGCCCTTATTACGTCTCAAAACTCTACGCCTTAGCTACAGCAATGAGATTTATAAGGTACGTCATGGCTTCACTTAACCTCCAGAAAGCTTAGTTTTATGCAATATAAGTGGGTGTTTGTGTAACTATATTACACACAAAGTATTTTAAAACCCTCCAAGACAGGACATATGTGATTTTATATTATATGTGGAGGCACAATGTAGACTATTAGGGTTGCTTTACTAATCTGGAAACTTCAGAGTCAAAGCCAGAAGAAGAAAGAAGCATGTCTTTCCCCAACATAGTTTCCAGCAAACATCTACTGAGTGATGATCTTATAATTACTCCTGGAACAGTCAACTTTAGCATTACTTTTTACTGAAAATACACAGTGCATTGTTTATCAAAATAAATTTAAAATGCTATTTCCTAAATTTCAATGTAAGTACGGAATGTCTAATTTAGTTACTATCTCCAGGGAGAATTAATTTATTGATCACCATGGTGGAATAATAAGGAAAGTCAGTGGGAAGTCAGAAAAAAAATTCAGAATCATTTCTGTAATACGTAATCGTAGCACTCTCTCCTCCTCCTAATCCCCCATTTAAACAATTATCAAGATAAAACTCTCATTTAGACTTCCTTGCTTTCAGCTATCCTCAAGCATATGGTTTACATTTTAATTTTTGCCCTTCTAATGTTCCTCAAGTGAGAACAAAGATAATTTCATTATACAGAGACTTTTAGAAGCTCAGTTTTCAAAATAAAAACAAAATGTGTTTAGTTTTAACTAGTTAGCCATTGTACAAGATGGTCAAAAACAGTATCATTTTTTTACCTGATGTCCTATTCTCCTCAGTCTGTTTCAAGCTCATCTGTTTTTCCCTGCTGCTATATAAGAATTTCCGTGCTGGATCAGTCATGGCTTTGTTATTGCTGCAGATAAACCCATATAACTTAAAATAAGTTATGTAAAACAATATTGTACACCACTTCCCTTGGTTTACATTTATTAACCACCATTACAAGTTCCCTAAAATCTCACCCCAAATTCACCATCAGATCACATAGCATGTCCATGGCTACAGCCTGCACCAAAAATCCATACATCCATTGTTTCGTGGGGCCGCAATGGTGCAAAAACGTGGTTACAAAGCACGGATCTACATGGATCCTCAGGATTTTTGCATTGGGTCACCCCAAACTCACCGTCAAATCACATATCATGTCTGTGGCCACAGCATGAACCACAAAAATCATACACCCACTGTTTTGTTCAGAATATTTTTTTTCTTGTTTTCCTCCTCTAAAAACTAGGTGCGCCTTATGGGGTGAAAAATACGGTAAATTCATAACCGGAGGTACCACTGTATACTATTTGGGGGCTGTCAAATTTTGGGGGTCCATATGGAATTTTGAGAGGGTGCTGGGTGCACCAGCCTATCTGCTCACTTGTCTCCCCACCACTCCCTCAGACAGACGGTATGTACACACAAACTTCTGCTTTTCCGTAGGGTCTGAGTAAATGTCAGACCTAGTGGAACTAAAACGGATCCTCTTGAATTTGCATGGTTTTACCAAAAAAAGCATCAAATTGCAGTTTACAATGGGAGAGCACACAATAATTAAAAACTAAAACTAAAGTCAGAGATCCAGAAACTGCTAGCACCACAAAAATAATGACCCAAGGCATAGACATTTATGATTTGTGTATAGGATATGATAACGAAAAACGAAACACAGCTCTGGACACTAAGGTGACCTATGATATGGTTGTAATTTTGAGGAGATACATTGTAAAAATTATAATGATTTATAAGGATCTGTGCCTCTGAGCCACGTTTTTGCAACGTATCTGCAACATGATTTTTATGTTTTAGTGAATGGACACAGATACCTGTGGTTTGGGGGGCTCCTGAAAAATCATAAAACAATTTCAAGAGAATCATTTTTGTAGATCCAACTTGTGTGTGTGCACACATTACTTCTAACATCCATTCTTTTTCTCTTTGGCATGCTCTCCCTCCTGACTCATATAGGATCCCACTTTCTTCTTCCCATCTAGAACTTAAAAGCATAGGAAGTGTTGCTGGATGAGAACGATGATCCATCTGGTCCAGCATTCTGGTCTCACAGTGGCCAACAAAATGCTTCTAAGAAGTCCATAAGCGGGACCTGACTGCAACAGCACTCTTACCATTTGTGCTTTCTCCAACTCATATTCCTGCCTCCCCTCTGGTTATGGTTTCCCTCCCGTCTCACAGAACACTCCCTTTATCCTACTCAGTCACTCTTCTTTCTGTTCAGCTGCTTAGGTGCCTGTTCATAACTTTGAAAAGCCAGAGAGTTTAAATTAAAAGGAAAGGGTGTTGCCCTTCTAACTTCATTTTAAGCTCTATATAGTTTGCAGGAGTGAGGAGAAGGTACAAAGACTTTGTGGGCCTCAGGGGAAGTCCTCAAGGATGCCACTGATTCCACTGGCAACCACAGCAATACAAATTGTTAAAAATACCATAACTACACTCATTGATGCTAAAAAATAATAATCTAGACTTACATTTTAATAGTAAAATTATAAAAGACCATTAGATTCAAATCACTCATTCAGTAATCACCATGAAGGGCAACTATGAAGAACATTTTTAACTGGCATACCAAATTAAAAACATACAACATTCCATATTTCTGAATCCTTACAATTTTCAAGTGCTTCATGTTTGCAAGGCATTATTTTCAAGTGCTTCATGTTTGCAAGGTATTATGAAATAAGAGTGAAGAGAGATTAAGGAGTTTTTTCCAACAGAATTAATGTGGGGGGAGGGGAATAAAAAGTAAGAACCATAACAACATACGTTGATGAATCATTCTCTTTTGGGTAATCTTCATTCATTTCGGAGGTAGGTGGTGTCCTTTTCCTTCTTTCACTGTTTTATTTGGGGGGGGGGGAGAAATCCTTTAGTCAACAGGGAAACAATGTGAGCCCAACTCACATTCTCATGCAACATCCATAAGCCTTATCATAAAATGTAAAAATGGTTAACTGCCTTCCAGCTAGTTTAGAGTTAAAGCTTTTAGTACATTTTCCAAAGAGTGTTAATAAAGACATGGAAAAGCAGTTTACTAATACTATGTTCAAAGCTATTCATGTTTTAATGAATGCCTATCAAAGGCTGCAGTGCCTTAAAAGTTTATTTTCATACCGGTTTTCCAACAGCCCTGTTCTGTGAGGTGTTGAAGCAGCAGAAGGACTAGAAATGGTAACTCGGTAGCCAGGCGTTCCAGTTACTGAAGAATTCTTAATGGATGCCCTTCCTGGGTTGCCCAGCACCTTACGAAGTTGAGTTTCATCTTTATTTTCTACAATCCCTTTTTTTGAAGGAGTCTATGAGAATCATAAACACTGTAATCAGTACAGCATACTGTATTTCAAATCATGGACCCATTTCAGAGAGTCAGTGGCACATACGCAATCAGCAGGCCACCTGGCAACCCAGCAAACACTGCATATGGATTACATCTGTAGTACAGTGGTGCCTCGCAAGACGAAATTAATTCGTTCCGCAAGTCTCTTCGTCTTGCGAGTTTTTCGTCTTGCGATGCACGGTTTCCCATAGGAATGCATTGAAAATCAATTAATGCGTTCCTAGGGAAACCAACTTCAGACCAGGTCCGGGGACAGTCTGTCCCCCGACCTCTTCTGAAGGCTGGGGGGGGGACAAGGGCTTTTCTTCCCACCCCCAGCATTTTAAAAAACCCCGGGACAGCGGAGGACGTCTCCGCTGTCCGGGGCGATCTTAAAATGCTGACGGGCGGCATTTTAAAATCACCCGGGACAGCGGAGGACTTCTCCGCTGTCCGGGGCGATTTAAAAGCCCCTGGGAAGGCAGGCAGGGGGGACAAAGACTTTCGCCCCCGCCAGCCTTCAGAAGAGGTCCTGGACCTCTTCTGAAGGCTGGCGGCGGGCGAAAGTCTTTGCTCCCCCCGCATGCCTTCAAAAGCTGTCCGGCCCAGGCTTCGCGGACCTCTCCGCAAGCAGCGGCAGCGCTGCCGCTGCTTGCGGACAGGTGCCAGCATGCCGAAGCCTGCGCGCGCTGAGATCAGCGCGCCCAGGCTTCCCGCCCCGCCTCCCGGCATCGGGGCATCGTCCCGATGGCGGGCGGCAGCGGAGGCGTTCCCCCCCCCCCGCCGCCCGGGATCGGGGCATCGTCCCGATGGCGGGCGGCGGAGGAGGCGTTCCCCCCCCGCCGCCCGGGATCGGGGCATCGTCCCGATGGCGGGCGGCGGAGGAGGCGTTCACCCCCCGCCGCCCGGGATCGGGGCATCGTCCCAATGGCGGGCGGCGGAGGCGTCCCCCCCCCGCCGCCCGGGATCGGGGCATCGTCCCGATGGCGGGCGGCGGGGGGAGGCGTTCCCCCCCCGCCGCCCGGGATCGGGGCATCGTCCCGATGGCGGGCGGCGGAGGAGGCGTTCCCCCCCCGCCGCCCGGGATCGGGGCATCGTCCCGATGGCGGGCGGCGGAGGAGGCGTTCACCCCCCGCCGCCCGGGATCGGGGCATCGTCCCGATGGCGGGCGGCGGAGGCGTCCCCCCCCCGCCGCCCGGGATCGGGGCATCGTCCCGATGGCGGGCGGCGGGGGGAGGCGTTCCTGCCCCGCCGCCCGGGATGGGGGCATCGTCCCGATGGCGCGCAGCGGCGTTCCCCCGCCGCCGCCCGGGATCGGGGCATCGTCCCGATGGCGGGCGGCGGAGGAGGCGTTCCCCCCCCGCCGCCCGGGATCGGGGCATCGTCCCGATGGCGGGCGGCGGGGGGAGGCGTTCCCGCCCCGCCGCCCGGGATCGGGGCATCGTCCCGATGGCGCGCGGCGGCGGAGGCGTCCCCCCCCGCCCGGCATCGGGGCATCGTCCCGATGGCGGGCGGCGGCGGAGGCGTTCCCCCCCCCCGCCCGGCATCGGGGCATCGTTCCGAAGCCCGGCGGCGGCGGGAGGAGGTGTCCCCGCCCCGCCACCAGGCTTCGGAGGAGGTCCAAGGACAGCGGGGAAGACGCGCTGCGCTTCCCCGCTGTCCCGGAGATTTCCCTATGGGCTGTCGTCTTGCGAAGCAAGCCCATAGGGAAATTCGTTTTGCGAAGCGCCTCCAAAACGGAAAACCCTTTCGTCTAGCGGGTTTTCCGTCTTGCGAGGCGTTCGTCTTGCGAGGTACCACTGTAACTGGCACTTTCATACAGAACTTATAAGCAGCTGCCATAATTTTACTGCAATAGCCATATTTCAAGTTGCCATGATGACAGACTTCGCTGCAGTCACTGATTCACGCACAGGATCCCAAATGGTCTGTGAACCTGCTAGATTACCTGTGTAGGCTAACTAGATGCCTGGCTGTATGTAACCACCTCACATCAGAAATCCTCTTTGGCCAGGTTGAATATTGTAAATGAAAAGCAAAAAGAATAGTAGAACAGTTTGAAGAACAAGATCTTAGGAGGCACCTCCTTACCGTCCAAATAAAGTTAAGATACAGGTGTGGTATTCAGATTTAGTCTCAATCAGCCTCTAACTACTATTCCTTTATTTGGCGGACTAGACTACAAGTGCTACGGAGTCAGAAGCAATATATATTCTTTAAGAACAGTGGCCTGAAACGGAACCTTGAACTTATCGTGAGTGTTCCTTCTCCTTGGAGATGGGAGAGCATCCTGCGAGTGACTCCACCCATCAGTCTCCAGGCGAAGGGCTACACTAAACTTCCTATCTCAACTCTTGGTGGGCAGGGGGGCTGTCTCCTTCCAGTTCGAAGACAAAATTTAGAAACAATTGCCCCAAATGTGTCCCATGTGACATTCTAAATTGATCTGAAACTTCAGGAAAAGGAAAGCATATGTGTCAGAGGCCACCAATATGGCTGCTCGCCACACTGAGCAGGACAAGAGACCTTCTGGGGTTGGAAGAAGTCGAAACTAGTAGCCAAGGCTGACAGACCCACCTACTGAAGGTGAACTTAGAAATGTCTTCCCTGAATAGATGGATGAAATAATAAAGTCTTTTGTTCTTCCCTACAGACACCAAGAAGGTTCTGCCTAATCTCTCTTAGGTGCAACAATTTGGGGCAGAAGGACGGGAAGCAAAGTTACTGTATTCTGTATAAGATAGTTTTAACCTTTGAGATCAGTGAAATCATCAACCCGTGGGAATAAAGGGACTTTTTCCATATCTGGTGGGAATGACCACAGGCTGTTTTATTCTGGAATGAAATTTATCAGGAGATATTAAAGATTATTAAATACACAAATTCAATTGTTTCCCATTTATCACTACTAAATATGTGGACAGATAATATTTATTGTATACCGCAGATATAGAAAAAGGAGCATAAGAAAAGAAGGAAACAGATTAAAATACCTGGTTTTCAATATATGGGAATTGCCTATTAGAATCCTTCTGTGTGGTTCTACTGCCCAGAACACCAAAACTGCCAGACCCTTGGGATGATTTCACAGCTACAACAAAAATACACAATTTTATGATTTTTAAATGTATATACAATAAGTTTTACTAGCATTTTATTTTTTCACTAACAGTAGACTTTGTTTATAAAAGTTGATTTTAGCCTAAACAAGCAGTGAAGTCATTTCCCCACACTCCAAATCTATAATTAACACTAACCTGTATGAACTCCATTTTGAACAGCTTCCAGAAACTGCTTCATTTCCTCTGCATCCTTAGGTGGTATTTTATCCACTGTCAGGTAACTAGTATCATTTAATGATATAATCAAGGAACACAGTTTCCCTCTACTTGGTCGCACAGTCACATTTTTTATATTATGGTTTAGCTGTAAAACAGTAAGTATCATATGGATAGTTTAAAAGATACATATTTCCATACTAAGAAAGATGCATTTAAATATGCTTCACACTGACAAAGACTATGTATGTTCATATGCTATCCCACACCAGTAAACAATTCCTACTCAGTACACTTTTAAAAACAATTCCCTCAGCTCCTATCTTTTCAATTTTGCAACATTTATATGTACACATTAAGGATAGTGAATATAACAAAAAACACTTACTAAAGAAAATTTTAGTTTCCATTTATGAAGGACTTTTAAACCATAATAAATTTGTTTTAGTCTCTAGATTTCTTCCCCCCAAAAGCAATAGCAGCAATGCTGGTTATCTTTCCAGACTAGACTACATATAAACGTTGTAAATAGAAGAAAAGAGATGAGCTGTGCACCAGCAGCCAGCTAGACATGAAGTGAAATCTTATGCAGGAGCTACTGTGGCCATTGGGGCTTACTCCCAGATTAGTGTGATAAGACTGTAGCCTTGGATACAAAATCCCCATGAATCTAAAATGCCACTATGACTCACAGCTAATTATGGGAAGAGTGTATACAGAGAAATAATCTAACAATGAATCTACATTAAGAATTTTCAATATTATAACCAGCAGAAAATGAAACAGACAACAAATAAAGTTTTATTTACTACCAGTGCCAGTAGTATCCTAATACCTAAAATATTTCATCTAATTGAAAATCTTTTGTAAGCCAGCTTGAGGGCCTCTAGGAGCCACAAAACAGGATTAAAATATTCTAAATAACTAAATAATGAAACATCTAGGTATTATTTTCTCACAATGTTTAGTTGTTGTTTTTTAAAATCATCCTTGCTCTACGAGTACAGTGGTAACTTGGGTTAAGTACTTAATTCGTTCTGGAGGTCCGTTCTTAACCTGAAACTGTTCTTAACCTGAAGCACTACTTTAGCTAATGGGGCCTCCTGCTGCCGCCGCTCCGCCACAGTACGATTTCTGTTCTCATCCTGAAGCAAAGTTTTTAACCCGAGGTACTATTTCTGGGTTAGTGGAGTCTGTAACATGAAGCATATGTAACCTGAAGCGTATGTAACCCGAGGTACCACTGTACATTGAACAGTACACCTCAATAATTCCCAGTGTAATACAGTAGGATCAGTGTTCTAGAAAGAAGAAAAAAGAATAAGTCTCTAAGGAAAGTTCAAGTGACAGCTAAATGGACTTTAAAAGGACAGTTGTTCAGAGGCATGCAGCTCCTGCACAACTTCAAAACAAAAGGCCTTTGAGATTCTGAGGTACCTGAAATATCTTTGGCATTCCTCCAGCATTGTAGTGAACCGCCAGAGTCACTTTGCTATCCTTATCAACTATTTCGAATGTCCCTTCTTTCCATTTTGTAGTCCCAGTCTGTATGCTGCGCAAGCGAATAGTCCCACGTAATTTCAGTGGAGCCATGTTTTCATACAACTAGTCTATGAAAATAATGAAGTTTGCTTTTAAACACAAATCCTGTTTTAGAAAGAAAGGAACGAAGTTAGCAGCTTCTCAATAACCATCTTCAAAACTAAGCAACTGTTTTAAATCGAAGAGCTATATTATTTTTACAGATTGTTATCTCATCTTTCAGGGCATGTACTCAGTGTGCATAACTCTTTTTTTAAAATACGGTCTCCCAGAGATTATTAAATCTGCTCTACGTTACTTGTCTTTTTTTAAAAAATCGAAGTAGGTAATTGAGAACAGGTTTCACACACAAAAAGACACAATAGAGTATGGAATTAAACTTGATAACACTTGTCAATTTACTAGCACCACCCACATTTTAGCCACTGCTGAAGTTGATGCGACAGGCATACAGACCAACATCTTTCTAGGGAAACTTGGGAACTCTTCAAGTTTCCATGTACAGCAGGTCACACTGCTACCGTAATCACTGTGGCCAAGCTGTCCTTTGGTTGCATTTGCTGCATCAACTGCAGCTGAACAAAGGCACTCTGTGCCATTGAAGATACCTGTGCCTCCAGTGAGAGATTTATATCCAGGGTACGCCCAGTCAATGCACCTGCTCCTTCAAGGGCAGTATAAACCCCATCAAGAGGTAATTCCCCTAATTCCTGGAACCAACAAGCCACAGCATCTCATGTCTTAGCAGTCTTAGCCAGTCCATTACAGGCAATGGGTCCAGAACTTGCAACCCCAACTGACTAATGTAAGTAAAGCTCAAAGTCATCCACATATTGGTGGCACTCAATTTCCTGAAGAACTGCATGGATTAACTTCCTTGTGGATGAGCAACGTATTGCAATACCACCCCTCCAGTGTTCGAAACTCCCATTGTTCTAGGCGCATTTTGCAACAGGAAATTTCATTGGTGTGAGCAGTTTCTGAGCTCTGGGCACAGCACTGTGCCGAAGATTTCAGATTAAAACTGCAGAGTGGAAGGAAAGGAAGAACTTTTTCTGCCTCCCCACTTCCAGCTACTCTCTGAAGACTGGAGAAGAGACACGCTAATAATTAGCGGGTGGGCAGGGGAAGGACAAGACCATGTGAAAAATGAACATAATATTTTAGCTGCAGTTCATTCATTTTCAGCTTTGTTTTCATGTTTTTAAAAAAGCTCGCCTGACATACTGTTGTTGCGCCCATAACCTAGGTTTAAGGTGCCATTTAGCTCCTGGCTTTCATATCTTAGTTTCTGCACCTCTCTAGTACTGTCCCATAAGTTGAAGTACAACCAGTGCAAAATCATATCCTCCACTAAACCAAAGCCACTGAGAAATCCAGCAGACTCAACAAGGTCACACTACTCTGCCTCACTTCGAGAGGTAATCTATCAGGGTAACCAAAGCAATTTTAGTCCCAAACAGGTCTGAAACCAGACTAAAAGTGATCAAGATAACCAGTCTCTTTCATGAGCATTTGCAGCTGAGCGGCCACCCCCCTCTCAGGCATCTTGCCCAAAAAGGTTTGTGACTGACAAGGAGTCCAGAGAGGGCTTTTACAGGGGTCATAACATTGCATCCTTCAAGGCAGTGGGAAATTTCTCCTGATGCAATGACCACTCCCTACTAGCTCTTATTAGCTATACGCCATGGTGGTTAAAACCACTGCATGCTCTCAAGCTGCAAAAACTGAACTGATTCCTTGTTGCACAAATGTGACTGCCCTATAAATCCCATTAATGTTTTAAAATTCAATGATGACAGTTCCCTAAAAGTTAGGGGTGTATCCCCAATTTCGGGGGGGGGGGGCAACTTCCAGATGTTTAGTCACCCAAGTTGAAACCCAACTACATAAAGTTCAGTGAAAATATGTTAAGGGAACATGTACCAAGTCCTGTCTTCTTGCTTGTCTGGTTCATTATTAGAATTTGAGTATATCAGCATGTACTATAAACAGTTGTTTCTTTAGCATTTTATTTAATTGTAAATTCTGCAAGTTACTTTGAGAGCCTTCTGGAACCATAAAACCTGATATATGTATTTAACAAATAAAAATGAAAAATTAAAGCTGCAATCCTTACTTAGGAGTAAGCATCACTGAATTCAGTGGGACTTATGGTACTTCAGAGCAGGCATGTACAAAATTGCACAATAAGTGAGCACATACCCAAAAAAATGGAGTGTAAATCCTTAAATGCACTAGAACTATCCACAAAAAGTGCCTACACTCCACAGCATTCAAAAAGACAATCAGGAGCCTTAATGTTCTAAATATAACAGCATTACAATCCATTATTTTAACAGGTACAAGAGACATTGAAGTTTTCAGCCCGGCCTATTTCCACAAAATAGGAACCACTTGTTCCGTACAGATCATAATCTACAACAACTGTTTAGGGCAAACAGTGTACGTGCAAGGGCAACAGTAAAGAATGTTGGGTGGATTTTCAACACATATATCACCTCAGCAAAGAGTTGAAGGCAAACAAAGAAACGGTGGTGAAAGACATGGTGGAGCCCTAATGGAGATCTGTGCCCCTACTATCATTTCCTAACCAAACTCTGTTGCATTTGTGAATGCTTTCACTGAAAAGCAAGCAGGAACCCAGTCACCTGAATACTGTACAGCATCTGGTACACTGACTTGGAAAGTGGCTGCTGGACCCTTGCAAGTAAATTTCTGATCAGCGGGACAAAGTTAAAACCAGCCAAGTCTACATTTCAGAAGGGAGACGTGAACAATCCCAGGAGGAACGGAGCAGGAGCGGGAAAGCAACCGAAGAAGAGGACGGCGCTAGTTGCCGACGCTGCGTTGTTTTTAACCTTTGTCGTGTTTGCGAACAGCCCGGCAGGCAGAAATTCCCCACGAGGAGAAGCTCTCGTCCTATCTCTACGTGCTGCCTGGGGCAAAGCTAGTAATCTGGCTAGCTGGCTACCCGACCGGCCGCTACGTCTTGGGGCCTTGGGGTACGCCTGGGAGAGGCAGCTAAACCAGCGGGGGGAAGGCAACAGAGGGAGGAGGGCCGAGGGTCAGCTTTGGAGCAGCCGCACCGTAGTCGGAGAGCGGCCAGCCGGCTGGGCCTGAGGAAGCGAAAGGGGCCAGGCTAAGGTCAAGGGCGCGGGGGGGGAGAGAGAGAGACGCTGAGGCGCGGCGACCCCCCCCCCCTCAGCAGCTACGGAGACCCCACCTCCGCCTCCACAGCCGACCGGCCGCCGCCCACGCACAGCCGCCCCCGACCCTTCCCTGCTCCGCGAGTACCAATGGGGCTCCCTCGTGCCCTCGCCCGCAGTCAGCCGCTCCGAGGAAGCCCCAAGACCCACCGCCACTGCCCGGGCGCACTCACCGGCGATGGCGGGCGGGTGGCGGCTTTCCCTTCCACCTCCCGCTTCCTCACAGACCAGTCCCGGCCTGGACGTTGTCTCCCTGCTGCTGCCGCCGCCGCCGCTGCTGCCGCTTCCTTCCTACTTCGGGGTTATTCTCCACTTTAGCCCCGGCGCCGGCCTGGCCTGGCTCGACCCACCGCGGCCCGGCCTCCTCTTAGCTTAGTGGAAAGGGCAGATGGCGGGAACCAGATCAGCCGCGCCACGGTCCGCCTGACGCAAGCACGCAGCACGCAAAAAGAAAAAAACAACAACTGCGCGACGGGAGGAGGGGGGAGGAAGAGGAGCGACGAGGGGGGAATCCCTACGTCATCACGGCGACGGCTGGCTGGCTTTCTCCGCCGTCGACAGGCCTTAGCGAAAGAAGCAACTTTTACTCGAGAAGTGACGACGACGCTCGTAACTTCTGCGCACGCGCAAACTCGTGCTTTTTTTTTTTAGTTCGCTTAAAGATAGCATGGCGCATGCGCCCGGCCAGTCTCCTTGGGCCTACCGCTGAGGCCCAGAGAGAGGTCAGAGGTCGCGGCGGTAGCAGCAGCGGCGGCAGAGCCAGGAGGAGGAGGAGGAAGAGGCGGCGACCTCTGCTTCGATCCATGATGGCGGCGGCTGAAGTAGAAGAGGCCTCCTGAGCTCTACTTCGCGCAGAAGTTCCGACCATGCACAGTTTGGCAACGGCCGCGGTAAGTCGCTTGCCGTTTCCACGCAGGGCGACGAGGGCCTTGGCTGAGAAGCGTGAGAGGCACCCTCCCCCTTCTCTCTCCCCCTCTCTCTCCTCATTGGTCGGAGAGATATGGGGAGGGGGGCACAGAACGGAGCGGGGCTCTATTTTCCCGCCAAATTGCCCTCCTAAGGAACGGGCGTCTCCTAACGGCCTTTCCTCCTGCGCGAGGCGGCGGCCTTTGCTGTCCTCCAAGGGGAGGCAAAGGGAGCTTCTCCGCAGGCTTCTCCCTTCAGGTGCTCGTGCATGAGCCAGGCGTCGCTTGTGTGCGTTTTCCATATGCTAATCTATGCGGGTTCCTAATTGCCCATGGCTCAATGCTGCTGGATAAAAGGTGGCTCGAGAGGCTGGATGCAGATGCCTATAGACAGACACATATCCTGACAGGTGCACCACTCTCGTTCAAGCGCCTCTCAACAAGGCTTGCCGAGTTTCACGTCTGCAATAATGTGCCGCCACAAAACAGGGTTTACTTCTCTTTCATCTGTTGTCTGGGAAGTCCGTTTATAACCGCGCTAGCGTGAAAGTAAGCCCCACGCTGAGCTGAATTCGATTTTTCTCTCGGTGTTTACGATTGCAGCCTTAAAATGCAAAAAGTCCACGTGGGACATTCATTCATGTTTTAATTTAACAGTGGCGTGGCTCGTGTGCGTTGCTTGTAATGAGACAAGTGGTGATGATAACGGGAAGTAAAATAACTTGGTTAGTAGCGTACCTCTTGGGAATTATATTGACTGACATTCCTGCCACTAGGAAAAAAGTTTTCTTATATGCAACCGCTGCGGCCAGAATGATTATAGCAAAAAATTGAAAGGGAAAAAAACTCCCTCAATAAGAGAATGGCAAATAAGATTTTGTGACTATATAGAATCAGCAAGTCTTACAGCAGTGGTAAGAAGCCAATCAGACCAAAGACTGATAGAGGAGTGGACTTGCGTGAAGGAATACATCAAAAAACATTGTTCTGGTATTAATATATCGATATGCAATGGGTGAAACTTACAGAGTAAAAAAGAAGAAATGGGTATAAGATGAGATAGTCAAAAATAATACTGATAACAGCGAAAAGAAGAAAAGAAACAAAGGAAGCAACATATATGTGGAGGGAAGTCAAGATTTATGTCTGTATGTTTAGTTTGTATGTTTGTTTGTGTTTTGTAATCTATGTTGAGAGCTGTATGTATAATAAGTTTGTTTAGTGTTCCGGTTTGTGATTGTAAGTATTGCAATTATTAATAAAAGTTTTTTAAAAAACCCATATTAGAGAACTAGGTACCCCTTTGCAGCATCTTCACAGGACTTGCCGTGCAACGTTTCCTTTCTAGCCACCAGTAGGGGAATGAATCCAGAATGATTCCGTTTGAGCACTTGCTTGTATGCTTTGAGTTTAATACTCTAAGGCTGCTTACTAAGTAGAGATATGTAAATATCTTGATTTATTTTGCTAGGCTGACTTAGGTAGTTTGTCTCTTCTGGCTCAGTAGGTATTTATGGGTTTTGCCCAGTAAAAATCACCAGTAGTAGTAACAATAATAATACCAATTTAATTAGTTGTACCCTGCCCATCTGGCTGGGTTGTCCCAGCCACTCTGGGCAGCTTTCAACATATATAGTAAACACTATATCAACTTTGGATGAAACTGTACATAACGAAGAACATGGAATTGCTTCTAAAAACTGCAGTTTCATCTTAAAAAACCCCTTATCTTTTCTATATTGTACAGAAATTGAAATACGGTATAGAAATTAAATTAATAAAATTAATAAAATAATAAACATGTAATGAATTGTATCCAGCTACGTTCTACTCAGTAGACCCACTGAAAATTATGAGCCTAAGTTAGCCATGTCCACTAACCTTAATGTGTCTGCCCTGAGTGTGACTAACTTTGGATAGAATAATATTGCAATACATATCGCTGATCATGTTATGTAGGAGGGTAGAGAGAATGTCACACAGGTTTGCTGATTTTTGTGGCAGCCCTGTCTCACCTAGTTCTGGTCTTTGACAGTTCACTCAGGTGAAACAGAATTTGTGCTAGCTCCACTAACAAGCAGTACTTCTGTCTGACATAATATTTAGGCATTTTCTTGCTTGTATTATACTTACTGTAGGTTTTAAGTGGATCTGCTACTTCAGATGGTGAACACTTGACTTTTTCAGGACTTGACAGTCTTAATAGCAGACTTTAGTCTAATTAGTGCATTTATTTTTATCAAGTTCATGCTGAAGTTCTGGAACTGTGCATTTTTAATGGATAGGGTAGGCACACCACTACAGCATCTGTCACTGGAAAAATGATTTTAAAGATCTTTCCATTTACCATGAAGGTAATTATGAAATGAGGCCTCTTGAAGGGCTATAAAAATAATTTCCTTTGCAAAGTACCTTCATATGCTTTAAGGCAAGTGAAATACTAAGTGACTAGAAATGTCTAGCTTACAAAAGCAATACTGTAGCAATTATCCTGAAAAAGGTTGCTTATATTCATTTTTTTATTACTGTGGTTGCCTGAATTTCTGTAAGTAATGGAAAGATAAGCTCGTCTCTTATGCTGCTGCTCAGATAAAGCATATTTTCTGATCTTCATGTTGAACTGCCACAGTTGGATCATGGGGTGTTATCGGCCTTTCTTTCCTGCAACTTTCCACTCCTGTATTTGTCCCTGAATCTATTGTTCTGTGACTGGAGCCAACTGTTCAACATGGTGACACTATGAGCCATTTTAAACACAATTATTTCACTAATAGTTTTCTGGGTAAGAGATGTTGGTCCTTTAATAAAATCCCAAAAGAAAGCAGAGTCCCATAATAGAAGGAATGTGTTAACAAAGCAGACATAAAGCACTGAGGATTCATTTGCTGTGGAGCAGCCCTAGAGTTTTGAACAAGGGATTTTTGCACAGCTGATGAAAAAGTGTGCAATGCTTAGGACTACTACCCCTCATTGGATGCAGTAGTAGAGGGATATTTCATTTATTAACTTTAATCATCACTTTGCACCCCCCTGAAGCAGGAGTGGGCAACCTTTTTTCTGTCAGGTATTGAGGGAGGGAAGTATCAGTAGCAATGGGCAGAGCCAGAGCCATACACAGAACTGTTTCGGATTAATTAATCTGGAGCAGACTGAGATAAAGAGTGGTGGCAATGAGAGAGGGACTATATCTCAAGATCTTGAGCATGGAAGGCTTTTATGCTCCACTGCTTTATGTTAGTTGCTGAAGTTGAATTGGTATTGATTCTCTGCTTTATTTTTGTTGTCATGGATTTGTAGCCTTTTGTGCTGTATTAACCAGTTTTGTTGATAGTCATTTTTAAAGTGCTATATTATTTTTGTTTGGTGCCCAAATGACTTTGTTTACTTATTTATTATTATGTTTAACAATGATGGTTTTAATAACTCAGCTGCTACAGTATGGTAAAATGATTGCACAGCTGCAGTGAGTACAGACAAAGCAATGGAACTATCATCCCGCAACTTTTCCCCCCCTGCTGTGACATATTCCTTCCCCTGTGCTGTTATTGTGCCTTGGCTAGAAGCAAGTCCCACTAAAATATGTGGGACTTAATCTCAACTATGTTTACTTGGAAGTGTCTACTAATCACTCCTGATCACCCTTGAAGTTTTGTACAAGGTTGTATTACTGTTTATATTGATTTGACTTGGGACCAAAGGCCTTGACTTGAACCTTTTGTCTTCCTTTAAAGCCTGTGCCAACGGCACTGGCTCAGGTTGATCGAGAGAAGATTTATCAGTGGATCAATGAGCTTTCCAGCCCAGAGACTCGTGAGAATGCACTGTTGGAGCTGAGTAAAAAGCGAGAGTCTGTCCCTGATCTCGCACCAATGTTGTGGCACTCTTTTGGTACAATTGCAGCTCTCTTACAGGTGGGTAGCATATTACTTTTAACTGAAATAGCTTGCTAGACTCTTGCAAGCAATCTGCTAGATGTCTTTCTGAAAGTCTTGAGATACTGAGGGTTTTGAAATTCTGTCTCTTGACCTAATAAAAGTTTGGGACAATAAAAGATGGCAATGAAGAACTTGAGCCACCCAAGTAAGGACATCTTATTGGGGCATATGTATTTTAGTTCCTGTCTGATATGTTAACAGCTTTTGTAGCTAGCTCTGTGCTGTTAGTGTAGGGGCAGAAATTCTTTCAAACTGAGACATTAATCAATCACAAGTAATTAGTGGGAGGATTTTGACTCAGAATATTGGAGTGCTTAAATGTGTGGAAAAAATTTCACACAAATATTTCCTGTTTCTTTCTTTCATAGGAAATTGTAAATATCTATCCATCTATAAATCCACCAACTTTGACAGCTCATCAGTCCAACAGAGTCTGCAATGCTCTGGCACTTCTGCAGTGTGTTGCATCGCATCCAGAAACAAGGTTAATATACTCGAGTGTATTGGATCTCTGGAAAAAATAACTTTTGGTTAGTGTGGTATATGCCCAGACTAGAGAAAATATGCTGCCGCCAAGCCTCTTTATCTGCAGGGCTCTGTACGTCAACAGAACTATATTCTCAGTCACATCCACACCATACATTAGAAGCACATGGTATCTGTAACTTGCTAGTTTTTACACTGTTTTTAGAGTGCATTAGTGACTTGAGCCAACTCAGTGAATAAAACAGTCAAGCTGCCTGTCTTACTGGTCAGTTTGTCAGTAAGAAAACTAGTTTTACAGGCATATTTCCTCATATTTCTTCTCTTTCTAAAGGTGAGGTCCTAATTCAGTTCCCTAGCCTTCACAAAGTAACTCTGTGTAAGCAAATATCCAAAAGACACATTCTAAATGCTTTTTTCTTCTTTTGTCTAGATCAGCCTTCCTTGCTGCTCACATCCCTCTCTTCTTGTATCCCTTCTTGCACACTGTCAGCAAGACTCGACCCTTCGAGTACCTACGACTCACAAGTCTTGGAGTAATTGGTAAGTGACTGTGATGCTGGGAATGGTAGGTCCTCATCAGTTTGTAGGTCAGAAAAGGGTTTTGATCTGATTTGAACTCTTCTGAGACTTAGCCATGCATTGTAAAAGAGGGAATTCTAACATTCCAGAGAAATAGAGAATCATGTAGCATACTCTCATTTCTAGAAATAATTTCCATGTTGTTCCTCTTTACTGTTGTTAACATCTGGGATTCTGGGAAGTACACCAGTCCTGGGCCCAATTCAAAGTTATGTATATTTGTGTTTTTATATTGTAAATTACCCTGTGATCCTCGGATGAATGACAAATTTCCAGTCTCATTCTCCCAAATTACCTTAAGGAAAGATGGAAATAGCAGGGCTGGGAATCCTAGAACACTGAAGGGATCATTACTAATGCACATCCTATCTATCCACTCAAATACTGCACACAGCTTCAGTGTGCTCATAGATGTAATGGTTAGTACTTGCAACTGTGTATTATAACCTCATGGACCACACCAGAAATTTTTCAGGAAGCTTTATTTGGTGCAGCATGCAACAAGCTGCCTTTTTATTGCCATTGAGAAGCCGCATAGCCAGCCAATGCAGAAGCAGCTGCACGGGCTCCTAGCCAGCTGACAGGGCTAGCAGCTCTATTAAGATCATAGCAGCATCTCTTTGGGTGATTGAACCCAATGAGTTAAAAAAGTTGAATGTATTATGTTCACTGGTCTTCATGATTAACTTTGCTGGACAATCCAAAACTTGTAGTTGCCAACCTCCCCTCATACCCATCCTACCCTGGTAAACCACACACACGGTGCAAGGAGAGTATTCTGGCTTGAGTACCACTGCTTAAAAGCATCCTAACACCATTGCAGAACAGTGCCCCCCCCATCTGTCTTTTGTGAGTGGAGGACCAGTAAGAAGAGCAGCCAGTTGGATACCACAATTGTAAGATGCACAGAGCATCTTGCAGCAGTAACATTCAGCCATGCCACTGTCCAACAACTCTCACCTTTCCTCTGAACCTTGGAGCTGGAGAGAAGGCAGAGATCACAGCACAACTGTCAGAGCAATCTCTGCCCGCCGCTGCAGCTTCACAATGGAAAGCATGACTGGCTGCTTGTCATACTTGTCACAAGGTAGTGCTGTACTTGCCTTGGCAAGCATGACAGATGGAATTGCTGTTCTATAGGTAAGAGTGTAAAAGGCTTTAGATATTTCATTGGCTAAAGGAGGAATTTGTGATTGGTGGAGGAAAGGTTAAAAGGCTGCTGCTTCAATAAAATAATAATCCTTAGTATTTGCTCCTGGGTTCTTGGGAGCTCAACCATGTGCTTATCCAGTAATTTCCCACTTCTTCTCCAGACTGCACTGATTTTCTGTTAGCCCTGGTTGTTTCCTATATGCATGTTTCTGTTAGGCCTTTTCAAAGTTATATGAAACACTTTGGGGTTTTTTGCTTATATTTCAAAGGGGCCCTGGTGAAGACAGATGAGCAAGAAGTAATCAACTTCTTACTGACAACGGAAATTATCCCTTTGTGCTTACGCATCATGGAGTCTGGCAGCGAACTTTCCAAAACGGTATTGCTTTTAGTGTAATGAAGTGGTTCTAGTTTCTTGACTGTTTTCTCTTTACTTTCCAATGCATCATGTTCCTGCATGCAGCAGACTTCTCCATCTGAGGTTAGCTGGCTGTTTCTCTCTGAGGAGTGATTGCAGATGTACCCACTTCAAATTGTAATGATTGGCTGCCTCTTTCAAAACACTATTATGAGAGGAAAGCTGGATAGGACATTTATTCTCTTTTTGTGCAGTTTCTCACCCAAGGTGCTTTTGTACTCATTTCTTGCTGCAACTCTGCAGTACTTTTTCCAGCAACTGTATGAAAAGGATCTATTATTGTGTAAGTGCCATCCCAGTATCAGTTATTTGAGAAGCCTGCAGGTGGTGCCTGTGTGCTTCTCAAGATCCTTAGCATCTTTTATGTCACACTCACGAGTCAGTTTATTCCTAGTCACACCTTTATGCATCTGTCACTCTTCATTAGGTTATTAATTTTATCTAGCCACCAACCTGTCACCATTTGTCTGCAAAACTTAAGCAGGTTTCTTCCTCTGGTCAACAGGATCAATAAAATTTTAGTTGCTAGCACCAAGATAGATAATTTCATTACCTGCTTCTCCTCTTGTCAGTGCTATATGAGGTTTTTATTTGGTTTCATAGTGGTAAAATCTCTTCTCATAGGTCTTCTCCCGAGTTTTTGGTAATATGACATCCCACCCTAATCCTGCACAGTCTGCAATTCAAGTGTTTGTTCAACCCTATTCTTTTCTGTCTTTCAGGTTGCTACTTTTATTCTACAAAAGATTTTATTGGATGATACGGGGTTGGCTTATATCTGTCAGACTTACGAACGATTTTCTCACGTTGCAATGATATTGGTATGTGGCTTTGATTGTAAAGGGCTTGGTAACTCAGCATTGCTCCTGCATTTAGAGGAGCTAAATGCTCTTTGGTGGAAAGTGTAGTGAATGTAATTTGGATCTTTGTAGTAGTCACGTCTAATCATAACAACAGTGCCACCTCTTCATACTTCTAATCTCAAGGAAGAAATATGCCAGAGCATTACATAGCAACACAATTCATGGTGTTATGGCTGTGTGAAAGCACTCCCATTTTTGAGGAGATTGGTTCTCCAACACCTGAGGAGCAAGTCACTGCTAATGCTTGACAGTGTTTCGTGGGGTGAGACATATTAGAGACAGAATTAGCTTTCCAGACATTTGCCTTGCTTTTTAGGAGCTTATACTTTACAATCTAAATTAAACTAGGGTGGGGATGAGGAGTAGCAAAAGGTAACAAGGGATAAACGTGAACAAATGCTGTTACACATACTTAACCAGCAAATGTCCTTGTTCTAAATTCTCTGTTTTTAAACCAGGGTAAAATGGTCCTGCAGCTTTCCAAGGAGCCTTCTGCCAGGCTGCTGAAACATGTGGTCCGTTGTTACCTCCGCCTTTCTGATAATCCAAGGTAGACACCTTAGAAGTTTCTTGGGATCTCCTGATAGGGGTGGGGTGCAGGTTGGTGTTGTGATGCAGAACCAGGGACAGTTGCACTTTGCAGTGCCAGGATGGGAGTCCAGCTCCTTCTGTATCTCCAGAGCAAATCAACATAACCTGGCAATTCTTACAATAAATGCCAGGAGCTTAAAGTCCAAGTAGTTTTTTCTGACCGCCTCATCAAGATTCTGAAGACTGAAGCAAGATCATGTAAGATTATACTTATTTAAGCAAACTTGTTTTAGCACTAGAGTCTTCTCACTGTTCAGGAACATGTATTGACAGTAATTATGAGAGAGTTTATAATCTTTTCCTCTTCAATCTCTAACTGCAAAAATGTCTGTGTTTATTCAGCCAGCCAGCCAGCAGTCATCATGTGCTTGACTGCTCTGGATGCCTAACATTAGGCAAGTCATTAATCTTCCTTCATAAGTCACATTCTGACTCCATTGGTCAGGGTGGAGAAGATGCAGGATAGCGTATGGAGTTGAAGTGACTATCCTGTGGCCTCCAAATGTCATTGGACTCCAACCTCCATCAGTGCCAGTTAGCATAGCCAGTGGTCAGGGATGCTGTGAGTTGTAGTCCAGCAAATGTCTGTGGCGCCACGGTTTAGCCACCCCTGGTATAAAGAATATGGTTGTACCCTGCAGGTATGAGTAGATGCTTCTGATACAAAGTGCTTCTGATACAGCAATTGTAGCCTTAAGTATTCAAGAGGGGGGCCTGCTCCCCTCTTGTCCATGTGAGTTTATTTGTTGGCCCCCCTCTTTCTTGTCTCCTGATGTAGGGCACGGGAAGCCCTCAGGCAGTGCCTTCCTGACCAGCTGAAAGACACCACCTTTGCCCAGGTTCTGAAAGACGATACTACCACCAAGCGTTGGCTGGCACAGCTGGTCAAGAATCTGCAGGAAGGCCAAGTCACCGACCCCAGGGGCATCCCCCTTCCTCCGCAGTGACAGCCAAGGAGGTGGCAGAACCCAGGAGGAAACAGCTCAGGTTTACAGAGAGCCAGGAACCAATGACCTCTTCCAGATCCCGTCAGGCATGGTTGGGCAGCTCCTTGGACTGTCAGTAGCTACCTGGACTGCAGGCCCTTTCTATAGCAACGTTCACCATGCCTCTGAGGATTATGACACCAGCAAACACAGTTGGGACAGAGAAGCCCTCTTTTAGGGTGTGGGCTTTGTTGCGATGATCAGTTGAGTACCAAGCTGGGCAGTGCTGCTACCAATGGCGTATCTACCTTTCTGGTTCAGTGCGGCAGGCTTGGGAAGTATTCCTCAGTTTCTTTGTTATTCAGTGTTTACATGTAAGTTCAATAAAGGTTGGTCTGATCATTTGACCCTCTTAGGCGTACCTTTTGAGCTGAATCTAGCTCTAAGCAGAGGAGGCCTGTTTCCCTTTTCCCAACTGGGAATTGCGCTTTCATAAGATGAGCCCCACTGATCCTTTAAAAAAAAAAGTTCAGCCTTTGGGACTGAAGCCCAATCTCGGGGGGATTGGGAGAGGGGTGATAACATAGTATATCCACAGGTTCTTAAAGGATTTTTCCTGGTATGTCAGAAGGCAGAGACTTCCTGGACTCCATTCCTTTGGCCACACATTAGAACAGTCCCTGCCTCTGTGACTGTATTTGAACCAGTGTCAAATGTTCTATGGATGATCCTCCACCACCTAGTCAGTAAGATCCAGAATGCCACCAAAACATTCCTTCAGCTTTCAAACTGTGCCAGAGGAGAAAGTTGTTGCATGGATGCCATGGCCGGCAAGCCATGTGGCCTTCCACTTTGTAGCAGCCCATGCCTCTGGTTAGGGTAGGGTTAACTCTAAGTGTGAACAAAACAGACAGGGACCAAGAGCTATTTCAGACAGTCTGTAAAGGCTGCAGGTATTTCAGCCTTGCTGGCTAGTGCTGGAAAGCATAATGGCTGCAAAACGTAAGGGCTCTCATGCTCTTTATCTTATCCTTCCCCTGCTACCAGGCTAAGTGCATCCAATTTATCACCTTGAACCTGCTCCTGTTTGTTGGCGTCTGCGATGGATGAGGAGCTATTAAGCAGTCAGCAGAGACATCTTCTCCCCTGCCCTCTAAATGAGAGAAGCAAACAAAAAGAAGGGGAGGGAGGGGGAAATCATCCAAGCTGTTTTGTCAGTTGCACAACAAGGCTGGGAGCAGGTGGCTTCTGGTCCCTTGCCAGATCCCTTGGCCTCAGCACCTGCTGCTGTTTTGGGTAGGAACCTATCTTCCATTTCCTCTCTTTTCTTTGCTGATGGCTGGCCATGCCATGCCAAGGGTGTCTTAACTCTTCCCTCTCCATGGACTGCTTTTGCTCTTACAGCGGCTCCGTTTTATAACAGCCTTGTTTTATCCATCCCTGCCTTGAGTGGACTTTACCAACTGCTTTCTGTTTTGTAACTTGAATAAAAAATAAGCCAAATGAATCTGGATCCTCTTTGACTTAAAATAATGGCTTGGAAGAATGGCAGGGAGGGTTGTAGACATTACCAAAAATGTCCTCTCAAAGCCTTTTATCACTGGGCAATATAGCATTTCCCTCCAGTTGAGAGAGCTGTGCTTTTTGCCCAGAGAGCCCTTAGCTGTTGGGTTGGAGTGAGCGTCACTATGCTGGGTAGCAGTTCACAACCTGTGTGTGTGTGTGTGTGTGTGTGTGTGTGTGTCACATGTAGCCTATTTTGGTAAACCAAGGTGGAGTCACATGCTTAGCAACTCTGCTTTATTTTAAGAACCATGGTTCAAGAGCATAGTGTCATTTTTTAAAACAAAATATATATACCATCTGAGTGCAATAAAACCCCTAAGTGGTTTTCAAGAAATATTAAAATTATCAATAAATTTAAAACCATTGAAAACATTTTAAAATAATTAAAATGAACAGTAAAAGAGATCAAAACAACTACATGTCTGGATAGGTTTGCCTTTAAAAATGTTTTAAGCAGGTGACAAAAAGAGTACAATAAAATATTCTTCACTGCATCACAGACATAAAGGGAGTATGCCATAATTTTAGCAAGATCTTTAAATAATTTGCAGAAGATGGACCAGTGTGATCTGAGAAAGAGATAAAAGCGAATAGCTGGGAAGGTATGAAGTGCCAATGTTAAAGTTGAGCAGATATTGGCCAGTGTAATAATGTCTGCTTGAGAGCTACTTCTGGCTTCCCATGTGATCTGTTCTGAGCATCCTTAATGTTCAGAGCAAAATATATAGATTAGGAAGGGTGTACTCTTAAATACATCTCTTACAATACGGCCTTTTTGGTATGCTAATTTATGACTAGGCACTTCAAAGAAGATTGGTGATCTATATAAAAATGTTACCTGAATCTTCAATATGCTAAAATTCAGCATAATAAAAAAATAATTTTATGATTATTGCATTTATATCCCACCTTTCCTCCAAGAAGCTTGAGGGTAGCATACATTTTCCTCCCCCATCTCCATTATATCCTCGCAACAACCCTGCAAGGTAGGTTAGGCTGAGAGACTGTGATTGGCCCAGGTCAGCCAGTAAGCATCATGGCTGGGTGGGGATTTGAACCCTGGTCTCCTGGGTCCTAATCTGGTTCTAACATGTTTCACCACATTATGCCCTTGCCTTGCAGAATTATGGAATACAATACCCATGGGCTTGTAGATTGTATCCTGGCCAGCGAGCTGCATTTGTTCCAATCAGAATGGCATTTCATGGATCATCTGTTCTGTTCTGGGTTCTGTCTTGCCACTGAATTGGTTCTGCAGGCACCTGGCCAAGACCTAAGAAACTTGTCCTCTTTGTTACCAAGAATAGCAATGAAATGTTCAGTTAATACTACAGCAGTGGGTGCTGCCGAAAGCTTAATCCTCATAGCGTAAGGCACTACGAGAGTTGGGATTCCAGTGCTTCAGGGGACAGCAGGCTGGAATGAAGTATGTTTCCAAAGTAATGGTACAGTCACATCCCACTCTAGCCACTGGCAAAATGTCCATTGATGTTAAGGTTCTGGATTGTCACCTTAACCGTATGACATAAACTGGGTGCATACATGTGTTCACAACATGTGCTCCGTTTATCACAGCTGACTGCAAAGATTTCTCATAACATTTGCTAATTAATTTTCAATGGATTGTATCCAACGCTGCCCATGTACAAGCCAAACAGCCTTCTGCTCACACAATGTTGGCTTCGGCCCAGTATTTACTTTGTTCTTTTTTAATAGATACATGGGTGATCTGTTGCGGCAACCGCTGTGTATTTGTTACTTAATGCATTAATAGCACATGAATGTAGAAAGCTCTTAATGACCTTTATTTTGCTTTTCCTTTCACTCCCCAAAATAGTACTACAATTTTCTGAATGCATTACCCAAGTGACACTACATCCTGAACTGAGCAAAGGTATTGCAAGTCCTAAAATTTGCCCACTAGCATCCAAAAGCAAGTACAGTGGTACATCGGGTTACATACGCTTCAGGTTACATATGCTTCAGGTTACAGACTCCGCTAACCCAGAAATAGTGCTTCTGGTTAAGAACTTTGCTTCAGGATGAGAACAGAAATCGTGCTCCAGCAGCGCGGCGGCAGGAGGCCCCATTAGCTAAAGTGGTGCTTCAGGTTAAGAACAGTTTCAGGTTAAGAACGGACCTCCGGAAGTACTTAACCTGAGGTACCACTGTATGGAACTTTGGGGGAAAGGCCACATCTTGATGATAAGGTCATATATTACATATGCATAGACAAAACTGCCTAGTTACAGTGCCTTCCTAGTTGCCTTCTTGAATAGGTCATGCTTCCAAAGCTACAGTGGATGTGATCAGTGCTTAATTTCTAAAATATGCTCAAAGCACATCTCATCTCTTAGCTGGAATCCACCTTTTCTAATATGGGAATAATCTTCATGCTCGAGGCAGTCCAATTATTTCTCTTTAAAAAACCCTTAGGTAGAAAACTGATTCTAGAGGTGAGTCCCGACTCCAATTAAGCTCCATCTCAGAGATTAGGGAAAGAGAAGATCCAAAGTGTGCAAGTAACCAGGTTGGCTGTGTTACCTTCCCCTCCTGTTCCCTGGCACTAAGCTTTCCCCCTCTTGAGTTACAGACTCGCCCTTTATAATTAATGGATGGTATTTGATCAAGTAGGTTTCCGATTGGTCTAAAAGCAGCTGCCATGGGCAGCAGAGGGTGTTCCCATGCCCCTTGGGAATTGCATATCTGTAGTGAGCTTTGTCATGAGGCTCATGAAGCTCCCTGGAAAGCTGCTTGTGAGTTTCTGTTCCCAGCTAGCTTTTCAAAGTACCACAAGTAACAAAGCAGTCATCAGGACACTCAGATTTCAGACCAGAGCAGTGTGTTGTGTATAATGTCTCAAGCTATTCGGAATCATTGTAGCTGTCTGTCACCTATCTCTTGAACTGCAACTGAACAATAAAAAAGACACTGGTGTTTGATTTGAGGCAATTGTTCCATACTCACAAAAATGGACCCTTAATTCTTGGCTGCTGCAAAAAAATGCCTTCTAAAGCCCTAAGACTGCTCTGACTCACAGCACAAGGCTATCTCCTTATCAAAGGCAGACATGCAGACTTCAGATGGCATAGATAAAACTGGGACACCTTTATAACATGCAGACTTCAGATGGCATAGATAAAACTGGGACACCTTTATACAGAGGGTTGTGTTGCAGAGAAAGACAATAGGCATTTCCCCATGTTTCCAATACCAGATTACAGTATATACTGGATTGTACTCAAGTCAACTTTCAACATGCATATTAAAACTACATGCATGAGCTTTGCAGCAAACAAATATCTTGGAGAATGAGGATTCACACACACTCCTAATGGGCTTGTACAGTCTTGAGCAATAAATGCTTACATCCCATGCTGACAAATCTTTAAATCAAAGCCACAATTCAAATCCTGAGAGAGACGTCTTTCCTCATGGTCCTAAATAATAATCTGAGTAGCAACGGTGGGGAGGAGAGGTGGGGAAGCCCCATTGTACTAGCAATGGCCCAGTAAGGTTACTCTGCTTGGATCAGATCCTTCTGTGTGGTACAATCATTTATACATTGCAAAGCACACACACACACCCTCATTAAAATTAGTACCAATAAATTGGGTATTAATATTTAGTTTTCAAAAAATTATACTGCTTAAAATAATAAAACTCTTAAGAGGTTTTCACAAGAACAATAAGAATAAGCATGTTTCCACTAACTAATATTTATTTAATAATTATATTAAATGGTACAGTCCTCAGTTTTCAGATTGCAAGAGATCTTTTAGATCTCACATACCTGAGGCATGCGCTTCCCATAAATGTTTTTATAGTGAGACGTTACAACTTTATAACAAGTAATAGACCACTTAAAGCAAACTTACCACAAAGGTGTCACTACTGTCACAAGCTGAATAAAGGTGATTATGGATATGAGGGCTGAGCGTATGATTATTAGCTCAGAGGTCCCTCAGAGACATTTGAGCTGCATCATTATATCTGACACATTATATCTGAAAATGCATCCTGTGGCTGTAGAAGTTGGATACAATCCTCCAGAGAGCAGCTGTTATGTGAGGCTCACTTTAAAAGAGAAATGCCGTGGGGGGAAAGTCACTTTCATTTTTTGAAGGAAAAAGTGACCAATTACTACAATGCAATGCAATAAATATATCACAAGATGGGGTTGCCTTTCCTCTCCTTTCCCTGAGCAGCAACGCCTCCCAATCTCCCATCATCTTTGCCTCTTTGCCATACTTGCCAAGACTGATGGCAGTTGTATTTCAGCAACAGCTGGGGGGCCCAAGGCTTCCCACACCTGGGGAAAAGAAGCATAACAATGTTTGCCTCTCAATCTTTGGAAACAATATATTGCCTCAGAGAGCCTAGCCCCATCTTCAGGTGGTTCAAAATCCTATTCCTCCAGTTTAGGATACCAAGCAGCTCAGAACCCTCCAGCTATTCAGTAAAGCAAGTTTCTCTTTATTGATGTTTTCTACATAGCAAGGAACCTGTGTGGTTTGCCTAAGGATGCAGACAAATTTACAAAACAGCTGGGTTTTTTCTATTTACAGATAATAGAAAAACTCCTTTGGTTGCCCTAATAAAGGTATCACCCTAATGTGGTCTTGGAACTTGTCCTATGGTCCAACAGGCCTACCTATACTTTGCCGGTGGGTAGGGCAGGGATTTAGAAATCCACTGCAACTACCACAGGTGAGTGTGGTGGCATGTGTTCTCTCTTCTCGTGTGTGTGTGTGTGTGTGTGTGTGTGTGTTGGACTTGGGCAACACTGCAGAAAGCTGAGTCAGGCTTGGGCAAGTAATTTGTCATCTTACCTTCTATATGAGGCAGGCAGAAGGTAGAGTGGTAGATGGTTGGGTTATTTGCAGTAGGTCATCAATATTTTGGGGGTGGAATGCAATGTAGCACTAAGCCAACACTTAATCAGCCTAAGGATTTATGCTTCTGGGGTGGGGGAACCATTGTCCTTCTCTCCTCCCTCTCCCTACACTCCCCAACAGATGACTCCAATTCCCATCTTCCCCAGCCAGCATGGACAGTGGTCAAGCAGTCTGCTTGATGCTACAGACAGAGTCTGAAGCTGCAGCAATGGAAGGAACAGGACCCTCTTGGGATGTAAATACTCTGCACTCCCTCCATCTGTGCTCAGATTGTATATATGTATAAATAAACCATATATCATAAAGATACCAAGTCTCTCCTGTGCCTCTTTTCGAAAGGAAACACAGACCCCGGGTAAATGCCTGGACCCCTGGAATCTAACACCACTGAGAGGCTGGGGTGGTATATAACAATACTGAAATTCAACATGTGAGCAGGGATACTCAAGGCTCTGTTATTCATGAAGGAAAGCACTGGAGGTGAGCATTAATCTTCACATTGGAGGCCTTTGGTGCAGGCTTCCTCAAGCAACATTCCCAATAATTTGACAGTCTAGAATTCTTCAGTAGGAAAGACTGGTGGCTTATTGGTCATTTAATGCATTTACAAATATCTATGCATCTTAATATATGCAACTCTAAAATGACTTATCGCTCAGGGCAGAACTAAATTGCTTAGTCCCTGTATTCTTAAATGCCCTCTGGATTTGCTAATTCACTGCCCCTCGGTAATTCTAAAGTGGTGGCAGAGCTAACGAGAATAGGGTAATATGGGCAGGAATGTTTCACAAGATGAAAAAGATGTTGAAATATACATTTGTTAAGAAACCAGAAGTATTTTTACTTGGCATTGTAGGTGATGAGATTAACAGACAGGATTGTAAGTTGTTTTTATATGCAATGATGGCAGCAAGAATATTATTGGCACAAAAAGGGAAGCAAGAAGAATTACCAACGAAAGAAGAATGGAAGATGAAATTGATGGACTATGCAGAACTTGAAGGATTTGAAACCTGCGGGATCAGAGATTCTTAGAAGACTGGAGTAAATATACAAACTATTTGGAAAGTAATTGTACTGAACAGATTACACAAGTAGGACTGCAATAAGTTTTGTAAGGAGGATTATTCGAAATATTGCAGCGAAGACTATGAGGAGAATTATTAGTTAATGACAATTAAGAGTAATAGGGAAATTAAGAAATGCAGAAAAAGTGATAAAGAACAAAAAATCATCAGAGGTCTGATGGAAGTCTAAAATATTGTATAAGATTAAAAGTTATGTTATATGACTGTTGGAAATGATATGTTAAAAAAACCAATAAAAATGTATATATATAGAAAAAAGGAATGCTTCACAAGAACTAAGAACTAAGAACTCCACCAGACGACCTGCTTGTTCAGCCTCCATCCTGATTCACTTGCACAAAGTTTGCATGGAGGTTAGATTACGTTTGGTCTTTACTGAGTATTTGTTCTGATTTGTTTGCTGGGAGGCTATATAACAATGAGCACCCATCCTAATTTGCTTGCCGCATGTTTATACGTCTTCCAGCTAGTCATTCATTCATCCCACCCTTTTCAATGCCTTTCCCTGGTCACGTTCCTAACCTCAGGAAAAAGTCAGTGTTAAGTCGCGCTAGAGCGGCACAACACATTAACCCGCTTTAACTATGTGCACTTAAATTTCCCAGGATGCATATGAATCTCTCCCATAAAACAGTGGCACTCTGGAGGTGCCCCAAACTGGACTGAACATCTGCCTGTTTAGATGCATCCATATGTATAGATATTTATACATAGGTATGGATATTTATGCATAGTTATATGTATTCATCCAAATGCTGTAACTGTCAGAGCGGCTATTTTTGTCTCCTCCAACTCTGAGCCAAGGCTGATCAGCTTTGCCAGGTGGCGGGGTGACAAATAAGCCTCTAGCTCTGTGCCTTTAAGTGAGGAGGCAAAGCACTGGGCAGGGCTGGACTGCTGTGAGATCATTTTTCCTTTTCCTTCGTGCAAGCTCAGCTGCTGCGTCAGTAGCAGTCCTGTGTGCCAACAGCATGAGGTGGTAAGGCAGAGTAGTCGGGGAACCCGGAGCAGGATCTGCCTCCGCCGTCGCCGCCATGCCACTCCAAGACCTGGAGACACTTTGAAACAGGGCCCTTGTTCCAACCCAGGGATCTTCTGTCTACTGGTAAGAGAGCTGTATTACAAGGACTTGGTGCAACTAGGGGAAATTGGGACATTTTGCTGCAGTGCTCACTGGAAACAGAGAGGCAGCGAGGGAAGGAGGAACAAGCACTCAGAGACAAGCCACGAGTGTGTGCTATATTTTTAAAATGAGAGACAACGTTACTCTGGTGTGCACAGAAATGACACCATCTACCATGGACAGCTTCAAGCCTAACTCAGCATCCACAGGATTTTGTTGTGGTTACTTGGTGGCAAGGAAAAGGCACTCTGTGTGGGTTCAGAGGTATGGCTGTTTTCTCCCATTCCCTGGCTGAGGCACAGATAGTCCAGAAAATGGGTTCTGATAAATGAAAGCCTTGAGTGGAGTGAGTTATTGATCAGATGTGAGCTCACGAGCACGCATGCAGATAGGTGTCACTCTGGATGTGAGCTCTAAAGCTCACTGAGGGCTCGCATGGAGATGAGAAATGTGTGCATGTTTACTTGGAGCATGTGTGGGTGATGCTCAGTGTTTGATGTGAGGCAGGATGTCGAGCATCTGTGCTCAAACGTAGTAGTTAGAATTAACTTTCTTTTTTGGATTCCTGACTGTTGAAGACAAAACTGAACAGAACAAAGCCGAAGCTATTTTGCATCAGGCAGTGGTGGGTTGTTTATTATAAGAAAATCCCAAACATCTGGGTACCAGGACATGAAACAGGGTGAAGCACTGAAGCAAGCCGCAAGGGGACAGAGCAAATTAAATTAATTGCTGATCACGGCACTTGACAGCCACAAGGCGCATACGACAGCAAAGCCTTTGAGAAGCAAAGCCGCCTCAACTCTGCTTTTGTTCCGATGTGCATTTTTGATTCTGGGGGTTCATGCATGCATTTGTATGGCGTTCCACTAAATTCAGAAATGAGCCTGAGTCCCCATCCCTGGAAAGCTGCCTTGGAAAGGGCAAATGTTTCAGGGGAGAGATTAAATCCCTGAGAGTTTTATAAAGAAAAGCTGATTTTTTTTAATGCTGCAGTTTGTTCTGCTGGCTGCCACTTAAGGGTCAGTAAATCTTCCTCCTGGCTTTTGTCATATCTGTGAATAATAAATAAAAGCAGGAAGGAATTAGGATGGGGAAATATAATGAGTCTGAGGGATGGGAGCTGTGAGAAATGAAATGAGAATGGCTAGATTTTCCTCAAGAAGAAAAATGTGAGGGGATAAGAAGAAGGAACTTGAAAAAGCTTTAAAAAGAGGCAAGAAAATACTTTGGGAAAGAGGGGTGGGGTGTGGAGACCACTGAAGCCAAGGGTACTTTTGCTTTCTTTTAATTTACAAAGTGCTTTACAGTCTTTCAGATTTCAAGATGACTTTTTCTATGCTTACTCAGAAGTAAGCCTCATTGATTTAAGTAGGATCTACTTCCTAGTAAGTTTGCATCCTAGCAGCAACTCTGAGAGATAGGGTAATTGCCCCCCCCCATTTTAAGGACACAGGACTAAGATTGTGTAATAACATGCCAATGAGTTGTCAAGAGGTAGGATCTGAACCCTGATCCAAAAGCAGATTTTTCTGGCATCTGTTTTAGAAACAGAGGTTTATGGTCAGAGTGACAGCAGAATAAGGTTGTAAGGAACACCAAAACGCCCCTGAGCACTTTTCCATCTCTTTCTGTCTCTGGTACTAAAAGTTCTTGTTTTGGGTGTACCGGAGTTCCACTGTGGATCAGGCACAGCTACAGCTGTTAAGGCAAGGGAACAATTTCATCACTACTTGGAGATCTTGCAAAACTGGGCATGAGGTTATTGCGAGGCTGTTCTATTAGGCAAGCCCCTAGATCCCCTCCAGGTGACACGTGTTCTTCATTTATACTCCTATTGGCATACACAAAATATCGAAATGTTGGTTGTTGCTTTTAAATGACAATATTACTATGCATTCACCCAATGTCCATCTTTGCTTCCTGCTAGCGTCACTTGAAACCAACTAAAACATCACAAAAAACAACAGCAACAATCTTGCTGTACCTGAAAAGCTAGTCAGTTTATTGTGACTTAAGCAAATGTGTTATATCTAGTCCACAAGTGCTTCTGTCAGAATAAATGCATTTAGTCTTTCAGATGCTGCAAGACTGTTGCTTTTGCTGCATCAAACTATTAATCCTCAGAAGGATCCCTTGAAAATATACAATCCTGACAGACTCTGCCTTTGGAAGCTGTTAACAAAATAACAAGCAGGCCTCGGGGTTCATCACAAGTCTTCATCAGATAGGATGTTAAGCTAAACAGCAAAAAGGCAGAAGATAGGAGATGTTGGGGCCGGCGCTACCATTAGGTAGAGTGAGGCTGCCATTTCATATGGCAAATGCTGGTGTGCAGTGAGGTGCTGAAGGACTGGTCTATCTGTGCACCCTTTAGGCAAGCCTGCTGCCCTTAGATGCAGTGGAGGATGGCCCATCACCAGTGCTGACATGAGATTCAACTCCCAGTCTGGTCAGCTTCTGTCAATGGAATGGAAGAGGCTGCCATCTCACCCTTTGCCTCAGGCAGTGGAATGTCTTGACCCAGCCCTAGGAGAAGCTGTTCTCTCTCCATAAAAAGATCAAGAAGCACACAGTGGCGTAGCGTGGGTTGTCAGCACCCGGGGCAAGGCAAGTAATTTGTGCCCCCTAACCCGTGGATTTGCGCCCCCTAACCCGTGGATTTGCGCCCCCTAACCTGTGGATTTGCCCTAACCCCAGATGTTGCGCCCGGTGCGGCCGGCCCCCCCTGCACCCCCCACGCTACGCCACTGGAAGCACAGCCTGCTTTTTTGCATTATACTGAGGCAGTAGTACGTGCTGTTAATATGCCTGTGTGTCTAGGCACCCTGGGCCTCCTGCTTTCACAATCCATGCAGCCCAGCATGTGAAATCAAATGATGAGTCCCCCTTCCTTTCTTGTGTATGCAAAGGGGAGGAGGTGTGTTGCTCGCTCCTGCAGGATTGAGACAGGAGATTGCATTACTGTGCCAGATCTCAGAGGAATTAAATATAAGCCCTGGAGTTCAATTCAGGATAAGTTGCTTTCAGCTTCTGGGAAAGCCTGAAGCAAGGCACATCTGAGACAAGGCAAATTTGGTGTCCCAAAGCAAATCCTGCAAGGCAGCTCAATTTGTTTTGGGACTCTGTATTTAATAATTTTGTTGTCTCTTTCATCACAAAAAATAGATAATTCCTTCCTTCCTTCCTTCCTTCCCACCCCTCTCTTGCCTGGCATGTACAGATAATTCTACTATTTCACTGCAGTACACCTTACTGCCCTCTCAAACCACTCTGGGGAAATGTCAAAATGGCTTGCCACATTTTGACGTGGATCACCACATTTGACATCTAAAAGAGCCCTTCAGCTATGAGGTCCAAAGTTACAGTACTGTGCAATTTCAGAACAGTAAAGGGTCACTGGATTCTGTTTCTAACAGTCAATCCTTCTTACCAGAGAACTCTGGGAATTGTTGCTCTGTGAGTGGAATAAATGTCTCAAAACTGCTCTCAGCATCCTTAATAAACTACAGCTCCCAAGGTTCTTTGGGGGAATCCGTGACTGTTTAAAGTGGTATCATAGTACTTCATATGTATGGTGTGAATGTGACCTAGGTGAAGCTTGAATCAGGTCCAGCGTGGGTTTCCTTATGTTTTAAACAAGAGAATGATAACCTGTTGAAGATGATGAACCTTATAGTCCAGTAGTAGGGAATCTCTAGCCTATGATTCTAAGTTGGCCCAGCACTAGTCCCAATTTGGTCCACAAGGCTGTTTTCCCCAAACCACAACCACCTGCTCCATACCTGATGTCATGTGTGATGTTGTCATAAGGATGTGGCTACAAAGGAACAGTTGGGGAGTTTAAAGTGAGCTCCTAATTCTTCCTTTGCAGGTGTGGCTCGTACACCGGCTGGGATCAGTGTCACAAACAAAATCAGTATATTCCAACAACATCCTCAGGGCCACAGGTTACTCATTCCAGTTCTAGATACTTGCACATTTATTACACCCCATGCTATTTTTCTAGAAAAACAGGTACTGGAACTCACCATTAACATGTCCCTTGTACTCTTATAACAGCAATAGCATCCACCTGAGAGGTGCCAGCAAGTTCCGGCTGAAAAAAAGCACTGATTACAGCTACTTATATGACCGTATCAGCCTAACAATTCCCTGCACTCCAGTCATTATGTATTGCTGCAGACTCTTTTGCTAGCTGTTAAATCTTGTATTTGTTTATTCCACAATAGCTGCTATTTTTGTCCTGCAATAAATTCTGAAGCAGAGCATGTTAATATACTGATCATCCCCTTAGGAATGTTTAATAGTTTGCTCTTACAATGGTTGCGTTGATTACACTGTAATCGCTGCAAAATGGCCACTGTAATAATACTTAGACATATTCAGAAACATTTTTGAGCTTTGGTTATTGGGGGAGAGAGGAAATGGAAGCATTTTCCTGTTTATGCCCATGTACATGCACGAGAACTGGTGTGGGGAACATTTGGCCCTCCAATTGTTTCTGAAATACATTTCCCACCACCCCTGGCCATTAGCCATTCTTGCTACGGCGGATGGGAGTCCTAGATCAGCAACAATTGGAGAGCCAAAGGTTCCCCCCCCACCAACCTTCACTAGAGATGGGCTCCCCTGCTTCCCATTTTATTTGCAGAGAACAGGGAGAGGGAGGCAAGACCACTCTAGTGCCTATGGGTACAAACTAACAACATCTAAAAAGTATCCCCAACATCTCCCCAAATGTAAAGTTAGAGACAAAATAGTCTCACTGTTGTACTAGGAACAGGTACCAGATAACAGGGAGCATCCCTGGCAAGCTGACCCAACCCAAGGCATTTTGCTGCCTGAGGCAAGAACAAGGTGCAGTGGTACCTCGGGTTACATACGCTTCAGGTTACAGACTCCGCTAACCCAGAAATAGTACCTCGGGTTAAGAACTTTGCTTCAGGATGAGAACAGAAATCGGGCTCCGGCGGCAGCGG